AAATATCTGTGTACCAAATGACAGACAGACAGAGTTACTTTCTCATTTATAATATTAGTATAGATTTTGACGAAATTTGATTCCCATGAGGTGATCTCAAAAGATATACAAAATACACAAAATATACAAAAATATCTAAGACGCGGTTCTAAATTGTTTAAGTGTCAATAAAACACTTTTAACTGTTTCAAATTTTAAATATATCACTTAATATAACTGATAGTAGTTTTTAACTCTATTTAAATTTCATAAAAATCATACCACAACAGAACTGCTCCTTCACAATCCTTCATCTTTATAACTCGGCGGATATAAAAGATATAAGAGATTTCAACGTTATTTAAAATGAATGATTTAATAAATAAGTAACGGTAATTTTACAAGCTTTTAAAGCATTGATAACTCGGCGACGCTGTTTTACTGTGAAAATCCGATAAATAGGTCGACAAGATAATGTTTCCTTTTATGCTAAGACGAAGATACTGTCGTAATAGCCTGAATTTTTCTATAAATAACTTAACATTCCCTGAATTAATCTGATAATTGTTATCTGATAAGGGACAGACTGAAAATCAGCGCTTAGCAAGTCTTGCTGAGTCTTAATGCTTTTTTAGCACAGTAATTTTTTTTTAATTTTCATTTTAAGTTTTTTTTTATAACTTTTATATTTTGTGATAATAAAGGGATCATTTATTTATTTATAATACTGAATAAACAAACAATCAACGGTAAATGATAACTGAAGCTGTCAGGAGTCGTCCCAATTAGAGTACATGAAACACAAATTTGTTCTCGGCGACGATAGGTTACTAATTAAAGATTTTAATTTTACGCGAACAAAATTTCGAGCGTAATTCTAGTTTTTATAACCATCATGATCATTATCAGTACATATAAGTCCACCGCTACACGTAGGCTTCACCCAAAGCATGACGCTCGGCTATCTCTTGAGCTTTATTTATCAATTTGCTGCTGGCTACTTTCTTCAGGTCATTAGTCCACCGTGCTGCTGGACATCCTGCACTACATTTGCCTCATCGTGGTCTCTATGTGTCTGTTCCAGCGACCATCTTCTCTCCTACAGACCTGGTTAGGACATTGCAGTTACACTGCAAATGACTTTAACATAAAATTATTTTCTTTCTTTCATCTATCTTTCAAATCCATGGGATTATTTAAATGAAATGTGAAATATCCCAACTCAAAAATATCTAAGTACGGCTGTCGACCTTTTAATTATTTTTTTCAGTGATCTAGAAACTATAACTGAAACGTAAATATACACTTCGCAACTTGATCTATTTGTGGACATTGTTTTAATGAGCGGAATAAATCCGATATCTTTTTAAGACTATTTTATACCTGTGTCAGTATTTCTTAGAATAAATTACATTCACCTGCAAAGCCTTTAAAAACAGGCTCTAGAAGAGATAGATTATAGATAAATAGATTCGCTAGAACGCTAAAAACTCGTAATTTGCATTTATAGAATACGCGATATCTTTCAAAAGATCCAGGCGTCAGGATTTATTATTTCGTAGAATATTAAAATACAGATAATACTTAAAGCACAAAACTGTTTTCAATTTGCTGATTCATCGTAATAAATATATGATTTACTGTCGTTTTATGCTCTAATTTAAGTTCAATTTTCTTGCTTATTTCGTTATCGTTTATAAGTTTGTATATGCCTATTCAACGAAATTCAAGTTGTTGCATATTCTAGGTTATCGCGTATTGTTCTTCTTTCTTTAGTAAAAAAGAATAATAATAAATAGTTATTTGCGTAAAAAAAATATATTTCAAACAAGAACCAGTTATTTGTCTACAACACTATATTGAGACATTGATATTGTAGTACCAATTACTAATATTTTTATTTCCGTGTCTTCTTTTTGTCGTTATTGAGTGTGTGTATACTTTATAACAAGACAAGGTAGAACAACTAAAGACAAAGATATCATAATAATGTGTATAATTGTATTGTAGTGTAGAATTGTTTAGCGTATACTCCCGGGTTTCGGCACCAAAAACTGTTGCGTACAACAGTTCGTAAAAGTATACGTGAATGTATTTGCTAACGTTATGCTGTAGAGTTAACAGCGTTGATGTGATAAAGGTTAAGATTAGGATAAGTTTAAGAGGGAGGCGAGGTAATCAAACCCAATGAGTGCTGTAGTGCAACTAATTTATTTCCTATCAATATTGTTATAAGATAATTTACAAGAAAATTGGAAAATAGGACGCTCACTAAGCTAACCTTGTAAATTTGCTTTTAATATAAACATTGAAGTGAGCACGACGCTGACATAGATTTAGAATTAAGCTAGCTATGCTATAAAATAATATTATTATAAAAATACAGTAAATTTGTACGGGCGTTTGTCCGTACATCTATAAAATGATTGTATTTTAACCTGATTTCTAACTGTACAAAAAAAAAATATGTCAAACCTATTCATAATTCTGTACCAAACAATAGACAGCACGGATATTTTTAAACTTTCTCTATTAACATACAATTTGTAAGTTTATTAATACAAAATGACGGCGGTCCATTAATTTCATGTTACAATAATTAATATGACATGACAGCTCGTTTATACTTCACTGAGGCACAGTTCGACGATCGAAAGGTCTACTCATTAAAACCATATTATCATTTCTTTAAGGGTTTGTTTTTTCAGACCTAAAGAATGTTTGGAAACTTAACACTTTAGCAACCTTCCTTTTTCATTATGTTTGACTCTTAAAATTCGTATCTATACTAATATTTATAATATGAAGAGTTTGTTTGTTTTTTTGTGCTAATCTTTAGTACTGCTTCTAACTAAAGAAACATTGTTCAAAATCTGGTTATCAAGACGATATTCGTTTAAGCTCCTACATAGTATCGTAGCGGGCCCAATCTCTCAGGACCAACGGCTGTAGTTCCGAATGATCTCAATAGATTTGGGATTTACATTTTTGTGGTGATCGTGGACACTGTAAGGACACAAGTAAAAGATTCAGGTAAGTATATGAGTTTGAGCTTACAGAATGTTGAATTTAACGGTATGCTACTTATTTTGATGCCTGAAACTAATTACACTAGTCTATTTTTATTTCAAAATTTACAGATAATATTAGCATCCTTTCGATAAAAAAAAGGTTATAAATGACCCCAAAAACACTTTTCTCAATACTCTTTCTTTTGAACCTTCCTTACTTATTATATAGTTACTAGGACAAATTTATGATTTTTAAAGAGTAGGCTTTTAAATGGCGCATCTAATTTTGCCTTAATCGAATACACAATAATTAATCACGCAGGTGCATTTTGCAATATCGAGATATTTAAAAGAAAATAACAAAGTTTTTTTTTTTTTTAATCTTTATTAGATTAAACACCTGTTTTCATACTGTCAGCATTTTTTATTAAAAAAAGATAAAAATCTTAATCATTAAAAATTTCCTTTTCATTACTTTATACTTTAAAAAAATTAATTTATATTTCATATTAAGCCAGTATTATAGTAGTTTTGTAATATTGAGCTTATCAGTATAATATTACGATGACAAAGATCTACACTGTATACCTTGACTTTTAATTCAACATACTTTGTGAGTAACGATGAACGACGAAAGGATGCGGTCTCTCTAGAGGCACTCAGGGTTGGCTGAAATTTGTGCTTTTTGTGTTTGTTAGACTATTATTTTAAATATATCACGCAATATTTAAAGCAGTTTGCATTGCATATATGTTGTGTATTAAATTTTTAACAGGTCATGATGGTATTAAATTATGTAATTTAAAACGTACTAACAACATACGACACGGACAGAGCTCGAACCGGAACCCACAGCAAGCTGTCTAACCAATCGGGCTACGTGTATATATAAATTATATTATCGGGGGATTTTAATTTTAAGCGTTTTATATTTAACACTTGACTCTTTGATTTTTTTATCACAAAGAGGGACAGACAAGCGTTGAATGTGAAATACACTAGCCATAAAACACCTAAACAAGATGCGTTGTCGGCTTTTTTTTGTTTCGGATATTCGAAAATGTCGAACAGGTCGGCAGCCCATCTGAGATTCTTTGCAGTACGATAAAATGCATCATATAGTACGCGTTTTAAATCGTTAATTATTTCTACATAATATGGTCTATCTGCGTAAATTACATAAAAGATTTCGCTTACTTCAAGCCTCATTAAATGCACAGGTTCCTATAGAATACAGTGCAGTTAGTTAGCCTTACTGCATGATACTTGCCATACACAATGGAGTATAACATTTCCCTGGAGCTCGGAAAAGTATTGTTAGCCTCTACATACCCTATTCATACGAAAAAGCTGGCGGCGGCTGTCGGCTTCCTGATACCACAGTTTATTCTGAACATTCTATTAAATTAACTAAATAGTCAAATTAACTCGCTTTAAGAGCATTTCTTTAATTTTCATATTGCTTTGTTGTTGTTGTCCCTTTTGAAAATTCTTCCTAGTATGGTGTTTTGCTAAACATTTACGAGTCGTAAGTTTTATCTTCACGGGGTACAAAATGTTGTAAAAATTATTGTAAGACATGTTGGAAAGGTATGTATTGAAATCCCGCTCATGCTAAATGGAATTATGTGCATTTCGGTTTCAGTTTATGGATTTCCGAAATCGAAAGCAAAATAGCTCTACAGCATATCTTTTGTAGGTATGGAAAATGTCATATATTTTTAATGTATTTTACACATTATATGTATAGTTAATTTGGACATTTCACCTTCCTTTATCTAGTAAATTCTGTGCTTGTCTGTTTTCCTTTGTCTTTTTTTAATGTACACATTCATTTATTAAATGAATTAACTTATACGTTTTGATTGAAGATTTTTTTAAATCATTTATAAATGTGATCAGCTTAAAGTTCATTTTCCCATCTAATCGAAGTGTTTTTGGATTTATTCCTGTTTTCCAATATGGAAACAAGATAGAAATGAAAGATGAAACAAAGAAAATGTTATATTCTTATATGATTTGCAAGATTTTCGCGCCATCGCTCGGATTACAAATAAAGAAAGTCGGATTCCCTTTGTACTCCTTGAGAACTCTGCTTTTAACATCTTCGACGTATTTTTCTTCGACCTGCAAGGGAAATAATTATGTAAACTATATTTTTATTGCTTACAAAATGTTTATGCTAATTCTATAAAGGGATAAGGTGTTGTGATTTAAGAGTTAGCGCATGTAATAACATTTCATATCGTATTTACTCATATTAAACATTTATCCACACATTTACCTATACGTTAAAAACACGAATTATATCGCATAAAACGTAGTGCTCCTTATTTCGTATAAGTAACGTAGCGACATCTTAGTTAGTTATGTATCATTTGTCGTGAAACATTCCAACGACATCGTCAGGATAGACAGATATAAGAGGCCTTGGCCTAGTAAGCTCTATGCCACGATTTAGCCCTTTCTAGCTACTGATACTTGAATTCGTTACATATGAACATTCATATATATATATCCCTTTTAACCCGCGGAGTGGTTCAATGTAAAAGTAAATACGACAAGAACGATACTTGTTTGCTACGACCCTTTACGCTGTAGACACTACGCGTGATTATGTAGCAACAGTGCGTAGAGCATGTAGTAGAGTGCTACGAAATCCGTAGCGAAGCGAAAACAAATTTTCCGCTACGTGACAATCTATTATTTTTATCATATCATGCATTAAAAAACGTGTCTCTAGCTGAGGTTGTGAATACATTTGAAAGAAAATAAACCAGTCCCAGCGAACTTTGCACCGCCTAACGTATGATTATTTAATTTTTCATTACATCGCAATTAAACATATGTATTATGATCTCTCTAACTTTATTTAATGGTATTATATAAAGTTCGAAATATACATTCACTTACATAATTTCATAAATTAACTTTTATGTATGAATCATTTTTAATGTAGTTTTTCTATACCTACAAGCTTCAGGCTTTTTTTACATTTCTCTCTGTTAAAACCATCCCCGTACCACAAAGAATATTGTTAAAGAATAAACGAAATGAAAAAAGCTTTTTTAGAAATTGGCGCTTAGCAACCCGTTCTGCGATTCACTTTTATATTAAAGATTATGCCACTTTGCTGGTAACTATATAATTTCGTTTATACGGTTAGGTTAGTGTTAGCGTGAATTTGAGATTAGTTTTTATTGTAAATTTCTTTTTTTTTTTAAGAAAAAAGTTCTTTTAGGAACACTTACAGATCTTAAAATATTTTCTTATTACAAAATTATTCCAATCGAGTTTTTTAAATAATTTTATCATTGAAACTTTATTTCGAACTTTGAAATCAATTTAATGAAATGGAACAGTTAGAAGACGTTTAAGCTGAGAGAAAATATTTATTAAAATTCAATTTACGTTAGAAGTAACTATTTAAATCTATAAGGATTTTTAAAATTTATTTATACATAAACATTCTAACAGGTCCAATAAAACATTGCCTTTAGAAGCGTACATTTCTTTTCAACCAAAGTTACGAGATACTCGGTTTTGATTAAATTGTATAAGGCTTTCGAACATTTTCCAATGATAACTGCCGAAAAGTTTGAAAAACTAGCATTGTGCACTCGCACTCTCGGTAGTACGCATTCGCAGTAGTCCAGAGAAATAAACCTCACAGAGAGCCAATGTGGCGCAAATGTAGGGATGTCTTTACATTCTGACAATTTTAATAAAATTTTGTGTCAACATTGCTGGCAGCTTGGAATAATACAAAATGGTTTTAAGAGTTGCGGCTCTGCGGGGAAAATGAAGAATTTGAAAAGCATGTTTTTTTAGCTAAAATTTTACGAAGCGTATCTATAAGTATACTAATATTTTAAAGCTGAAGAATTTGTTTGTTTGTTTATACACGCTAAACTGAGGAACAGGTACAGGTTTGTATTGAAAAGTTCGAAATTCTTTTTGACTTAGAGTAATTATAAAAACTATTATTCTTGTAAGTTTTCGTTACGCGCGCTGCGAAAACGGTTCCAGATACCCAAAAAGATGTATTGATCTAAAATAATTAACACAATTGTATATGACTTGCAAGAACGACGGGACGCGGACGACTTCGTGGGCTGTAATTTATAGAGATTATTCGCAAAGAAAAATTTATGCACAAAACAACTATTCTACGCGGACGAAGTCGCTGGCATAGCTAGTCCATTATATTACGTAAAACGCACAGCTTACTAGTGGGCACGAAGATATTAAAGGGCTTTTATGGAAGTAGTGGGGGTACGGAACACAGTAAGCATAAACCGCAAAGATAACTGTTATGTTAATGAATAATAAATAAATATATGAAAACGTTTTTCGCACGAATTTGTCGCAGACGAGATAAGTCAAAAAGCACTTTACGTGTCAAAATCCATCAAGCCATTTAGGGTATGCTTAAGAGATGGTGCACATTTTAAAATTGCATTAAGAAGGAGATTAGAAAGCTTTTTACCTTTCAGTCATTAGGTATGTCAAAATTTCTTAAATAATTCGTTTAAGAAGACGCACATAGCGCGGAAATTTTAAGATGACATCGTAAAAAAAGGGGAGGAAATATAATTTGATAAGTGGAAGCTAATATAAATAAAGATGCTCAGCAGAAGTAGCAAGCAAAATTATACAAAAAAGAACGGCCAAATATTTTGCCAATTCTATTGCATTGTCTTTTTAAAGAGAGAGGTCCTGCGAATGAATCGTGACACAATTAAATAGTTATAATCGAGGGTAGAAAGAGAGAGAGAGACGGACAATAATACAATCGATCAGCGAACACCCACACAAGCGAAAACCACACATGTGTCCACCCAAGGTCCTACAAAGGGAAATTGAAATTTCTCACATTTTCGCGGCTTTCATCTCAAATTAAAAATAGAAAACACATACTAAATTTAATTGATTATCGGATCGCGCTGTTAGAACATTCTTATTTTAACAATCTTCTTATTCACAGATCAGAGAAAATTTTGCATAAATCAAGCACCATTTTTGAACGTTTTATCAGTCTACATAAGTACGATTTAATAATATCGCATATAAAAAAGTCTACAAAAACATAGATTAAAAGTCGATTTTAACAAAATTTACGACATGGCCAAGACTTGGCACGATGGCACGGTTAATTGCTTAGAGCAACAGCATCTTAAATCGATTTATATTTCTAAATAAATTCCTCCATCATGTACATTAACATGTGAAAATATATAGCGTTATCACTTAGGAATAACCGAGATCGGCTCTTTACATCATATCTAAAATATATGTCTTACCAGAGCAATCATACATCCGCCAAATCCGCCTCCTGTCATTCTGGCTCCATACACCCCGGGTGAGGATCTCATTATGTCCACCAGCTGATCAAGTTCCGGACAAGAAACCTCCATCAATTTACTTAGAGAATCGTGTGATTCATAGAACAATCTTCCAACCTGTAAAATATTGTTTTGAAGAATAAAGCTTACCGAAGTTTCAACGGTTTATAACGCAATATAAATTGGTTAACTTATTTGTGATCTCGGGAGAGCGTACCCTAAAAATAAGTTAACTAATAAATTAAGAACATTGTATTTATTCAGTATAAAGTATGTGGCAATACTTAGTGTCTAAAGATTGCTCGATATTTTTATATCTTTCGACGGTCTACACAGTTCAAATATTTACATAATATTTAGTTCTAATAAAAAATAGCAATATTAACACAAAACTTATAGCTCGATAGGACTCGGTAGATCAATTGGTAGAGCAACAGCACGAAACGCTGACGATGCCGGTTCAAGTCCTGCCCGAGTCGATTTTTTTTTTTTCAATTTAAAAAAAAAACAAACGTTAGTTAAGGAATAAAGTCATTCACTATAATCAAATTTACATTACGAACGTGTATTTAGAAGAATTACACTTAACTCTATTTTTTATGATAGAGGAGGACAGACAAGAACGAAGATCACATGAGATATGTCGTCAACCTATTTTAGCCGGACTTTTGGAATTCTACGGGAAACCAAAACGCGATTAAACTTTTTTATCTGCGCAAGGTGCTTATATTTAAATATATTAGACCTGGTGATGTTCAAACCCACGACCTGTAGATTATTAGCCATACATAGTTACTACGCGTCAGTAACCAAAACTTGCGATGTGATCCTAAGCTATCAGACTGCACTAATCTATAATTGACATTGGTCAATTCGATTCTGTTTCTATATAAATGGAGTCAAACTCATAACATTCAAATCCAATAATAAGTAAAGAAATATTTTTCTAGCAACAATAAAAAAAAATCCGATTACACGAGAAAATAATTCGCAAATTAGCCGGGGAAATAGGCTCAAATATCGTTTAATAGCGATAAATTATTGAAATGTTTTGTAATTCTTAAAATTAATGATCCCGAGGCAATTTCCTGCCCAATTCGTAGTACAAATTCCTTCTTGACATACTTTTCTTTATTTAGAAAGAATTATATTCCTTAACCTCATTTTTATAAAAAAACGTTAAAAAATTCGCACCCTTTCGCATTTCAAAATTATATTTAAGCTTGCTGTTAAAAAAACATCTATAATAATATTATAAAGCTGTAGAGTTGTTTCAACGTACTTATCTTAGGAAATACCGGTTCGAGTTGAAACATTCTTTTCTGTAGGTTAAAGTTATAAAACATCTACCAGTGCTCAAAGCACTGTAGCGGGCTGGTGATGTGTTCGAGGGCTATTGTCTTCGAGGAGGTTGTACGATTTACCACATTCCCCACGTCACTAGTGCCCGACGTGGGCGCGCATTAGCAATTCACACCATCAGTTAATTAAAAAAAGGCTATAAAAAATTACGCTGCGATCAATAGGAGCGAGGAAACGATGGGAAATGTGGGCAAACGGGAAAAGATATTTAAACTATGAGGGTTTACATTGCGTGCGCTTTAAAAATGGTTGGAGATGTAAAACCTAACTTATGCATTAGTCTTGTACTCGGGATGTATGTCATTTTCCTACTTATTCAAAAACGTAAAGAGTTATTCTATTCGTAAGGTAGGTCAGGTACAAATTCAATTTTATTAATGGCAAAAAATAACGTTGGTAAGATAACTCACTTCTTCTAGATCCTTCTTTGGTAACAGCGTGGCTGCGTCCTCAGTGCGTTTTATCTCTTCAACAACATGCTTTGCTCTTTTGATGACATCTGGATCGGATGTCAACCGTTTTAGCTCTGCAACAAAATAAATATTATACTACCCGAATCAGCGACTTCGTCCGCGTAAAATAGATATTTTGGGGGTCCAATTTTTTTTTGCAAACTGTTTTCAAACCTACGTTATCGGACGCGTCTCATCGCTTGCGACCCGTCGTCGTCGTTCTTGCGAAACCATCGTAAGAAATATAAATATACTGTCGCAGACATTTTTTGGGATAATTTAAAGAAGAATCATCCTCACATACATAATTTATGTGTATCTTGAACCATTTTCGCAGCGTACGCATCGGAAACCTAGAAAGATGATTGATTTTCTTCGTTTTTACCGCAGTTTTCGCTGTTTCTTCTCTCTTATTAGTCACAGCGTAATTTTGTATAGCCTATAGCCTTCTTCGATAATTCCCTAACCAACAAAAAAATATTTTTTTTAATTCGAACCAGTAGTTCCTTAGATAAGCGCGTTCAAACAAACAAACTCTTCAGTTGTATATATTAGTAAGTATAGATGTATAATATTATATTGGTTGTCTCAAACATCTTTAATCTGTAGTTTACGCGAGTAGTATCCATTTAAATAAAACATTTTAACGGGGATTCTCCCCGTGACCACGGCTTCTGCAAAGCGTCCGAAACGTCGGGCCGTAGTTAAAATAATTTTCAAAAGAGTTTAACTAATATATATCGCGTTTAAACCGTCAAAGTGTTTTATTTAAATATTGTACTTACGTCACGTCACGTAAAAATTGGTTAAAAAACTTTTAAAGTTAAACGGTTTTATGTTAAACATACATTGCAATGTTTAAGATAAATGTACTAAAAACCAAAAAATAATAAAATAGATACAGTCGTGGGAATTATAAACATATGCATAGACTAGACTAAAATAAAACCGTGGGGCATGTCAATTGTCTGCCTAACGATGAGTTAAACGATTCTTCTATCGCACATTAATTCGATATTTAGTGAACAATTGACGTGCCCCACGGTTTTATTTTAGTCTAGTCTATGCACATGTTTATAATTCCCACGACTGTATCTATTGCAGTCGTGCAGCAGTCAGCAGCCGTGATCACGGCTGCTGCAAAGCATCCGAAACGTCGGGCCGAAGTTAAAAATCATTTTCAAATAAGTTTAACTATTATATCGCGTTTTAAATTGTTTAAGGGTTTTATTTAGTCTCCCCGTGACCACGGCTGCTGCAAAGCATCCGAAACGTCGGGCCAAAGTTGAAAATAAATTGAAAAAATTTTTCGACTCAGGCAGGACTTGAACCGGCATCGTCAGCTTTCCGTGCTGTTTCTCTACCAATTGAGCTACCGAGTCCTACACCTCATCGTCGAATTTTTTCAACTTATTGATACATGCACCTCTCGCGCAGTGTAATTTCAACCTTAACACTTGCGTACTAAGGTAGAAGTAAACGTCTTAAACCATAAACAATGAGCCATATAACATATCAACTCAAGTCACTTTAACCTGATATCTTGAAATAATGCCAATAAATTGTATTTAAGTCACGAGTAAAGAATACCTATTCTATTTCAGCCTTATAACATTGAAGTTAATTAATTACCTCTCATATCTATTTGATATAATGATAATCTACACGTTTCGTTTAAAGACAACAGGGAATCAATTTTTTATTAAAAGTCAAAAACGCAAACGGTTACGCAACTACTCTAGTTGGTTATTCCATGAAGCATAACATCTTAACAAAGCTGTGCCCGCGACTTCGTCCATGTGAAATAGTTATGTTGAGCATCAACAATTTTTACGCAAACAACCTCCTTAGCTTTATAAATTATAGATATTATTATCCACGACGTCGCCCGCGTCCCGTCGTTCTTGTAAAATTTTGTTGTTAAGTATGACGTAAGTTAAGAACTAATTAACATCCTTTAATACTTCTAATATTAGTATTCAAGGCATTTGCTAATAAATTTGCAATATGCAGCCGCGCGTAACTCTATTAATTGATTACAGATACCTCCTAAGTCTTCGCTATGCGCCTCACGTAGTGAGGGTAGTTTGAGCACTTTTGCCGCTTCCTGACACTGAGCCCGCCGTAACGGGTACTCGCTACCCGTGAGTTGATGTTTGACGTTCGAATTAATTACCAGGATAACAGCATCGTCTGTTTGTAGAGGAATCTGTGTCGCTTGTAGGGACCTGTAAGATATTGATTAGTAACAGAATTTAAATAAAACACTTCAACGTTTTAAAACGTGATATATTTCAGTTACAATTGTTTGAAAATTATTTTTAACTACGGTCCGACGTTACGGACGCTTTCCAGCAGCTGTGGTCATGGGGGGACACGGGGACGGGTGTTTTATTTAAACAGCTAACTTTTATCATCTGTCAGTCTTACATTTAAGTACTTAAGCTGATCTACGAGTAAATATTATGTATAATAAGTTACTTGACAGTATACAAAACGTCAAGTGAATAAACAATCTTTTTAAATATTAATATTGCAGAATACCTTAAACTTTGAGCTTTCTTTAAATATATCGTTGTTTCGCTTAATAAAAGGGCCGATGGATGTAAACACACAACACATTTAAGTATTATTTTTTCCCTTAAAGTGAATATGTGTGTTTCATACTAAAACACTTACTTACTTACCTAGCTATGGCGTTACGTCAGATAATAACTATTAGACAGTAGGTGCTATTTTTAATACAACAATATACACAATACTCAAAATTTTGGTTGAAGATTTAAGCAATCCATAAAGGACATTAAACTAGGAAATCACTTTTTCCTATGCAAAATATTGGTTGAAAATTTTAATATTTTTTACATGTTATTGCACATGAAGGCACTATATAATTTAAAAATCGAAAATAAATTGAAAAAATTTTCAACTCGGGCAGGACTTGAACCGGCATCGTCAGCGTTCTGTGCTGTTGCTCTACCACTACCAACCGAATTCAGATTCGGTTTAGTCAGTCGTGATAGTTTTGACTCAGAAAATACAGCAACGAAATTCCGTAAGACTCGAACTTATGACCCGTGGTTTTCCGATATAATATGCAATTAAATAAACTCTAGGATTACGTATTTACTATCAGCTAGCAACAGCACGCTGCTTAGTTTACGCTAGGATTATATCAGTTATCTAGACTTAGCTAGACTAGGTCGAAATATAATGGGACATTAGAGTAGAAAAGTGTATCTGGGTACACACATTATAAAAAAAGTGAGTGCTTCTGAGTCTGTTTCACTAATTTATTTATCAGTGAGCGATCTACTAAACTTTTTTTCACTGATTTTCCTTAATTGACAGGTGCCTGAACCCTTCTTTTATGTTTACATATTAAATTTCGAACTTTGGAAAGCAAAAAAAGTGACTAAGGGAAGCGGACAATAAGGAGAGAGTTTTCATGGCTTATCGGAAAGATCACACAATCTACAAACAGTTCCGTCTCGACCACGCCCACCTGATTCGAACTAAAATAATATAATAAAGAACGCGATATATTTCCAGATGCGTTCTGTTTAATTAAGTCGCGTAGTACATATTAAAATAAAATACTTTTAACGTTTTAAAATATATGTTTTACCGTAACGTGCGAAATACATGTCTTACCGTACCACAGCTGCTGGAAAGCATCCGAACGTCGGCCCGTAGTAAAAATTTATTGTAAATATTTAACGAATATATTCGTCGCACATAATGGCAGTATATACATTAAAAATTGAAAAAAAGGGTCGACTCGGGCAGGATTTGAACCGGCATCGTCAGCGTTCCGTCCTCTTACTCTAACCAATTGAGCTACCGAGTCTTACACTTCATAGTCTAATTTTTTCTCGCAATTTTTGCGCGAGAGGTGCTTGTATTAATAAGTTAATATATTTCGTGTTTAAAACAGTTAAAGGCGATTTATTTAAACCAATTTAGTTGTGCCAGAGCAACAGCATATTAGATTTGCGATTAAGTCTGTTAAAGACGTTATAACGTTGATTAATTTGATCATGATTTGACAATTAATTGAAAACTAATATAAATTCCAAACTACCAAATAGTTGCGATACATCCTTTTGTTATTCCAATAAATAACGGTGACTAAGCGGTATTGTCCCGCCCAGTCGTTGTATTGAGTTATCAAGTCTAATACTAAAAGCGTAATTTTCCATAGGGGAAGGCCGTTATAAAGTAATTAATTAAATTGTTTACCCAGACCAGTAAACGTACATTTTGTAACTTTCATTTGTTTTCCGACTCGTTGTAATTACAGCCCATAATAATCCAAATTATAATAGTGTATTTTTTCTAACTTGGCAAAAGACCGCAACAAATATTTGACCGATTCCAAACCATAGATTCGGAAGCTCCTCTTCGTCGGGCCGAAGTTAAAAATCATTTTCAAATAAGTTTAACTAATATATCGCGTTTTAAACCGTTAATGTGTTTTATTTAAAAGGTAATATGTGATAGTTTATTGGTTTAATACATAATCCAGTGTCGCGGAGTGTTTTAGTGTGAATCAATGTAAAGCTTGTGAGAAAATCACGATTTCATGTAAATTGAGTGTTTGTTTACCAAAAATGCCAAAGAGGAAAAAAAACCCTATAAGTACATATTAGCTTATTAGTTCACCTGCAGTCTATCAATAGTGCATGGTCCTTCTTGCCCATGCTGACGATGTACTGGTCCATAATTCCGCAGGGCATTCCGGGAAACTCGTGTTCCGCTTTCTGACAAAGTTTTGCTTTTTCCACGAGCCTGTCAAGGTAACGCAGTTCACATTAAAAAGTGGAAATCCGTTTTCTCCTTTGGGGCATGGTGTGAACACATTTCTATGCCCCTTTAACTGATCGATTGCATTTACAGGCAATGATTAGATCACACTTTCGTGCCCAAACGAAACAGTTTATTTTCCTATGATTCGAACCCAGAATCTCGCAAGTTTAACGATTTTAACTGAGCAATGGAGACGGCTATATAATAGGCTAGCTGCTATGCTAGCGACTTCAATGCGTAGAATGGGCGTAGATAATTCGTTTTTGTAAAGGTTTGAAAGTATGCATGAATAGGTACTCATCTTTATACATTATAGCTATTACCCACGACGTCATCCACGCATCGTCGTTCTTGCAAGTTAATAAAAATATATATTGTGAGATATGTTTGTTCTTTCTGTCTTAGGTCCCATAAGTCAAAGTATGCGATAACAGTTAGACGGCAGCAATATCAAAGTTTTGCAGTTCAGTTTATTAACTTTAAGGGAAATTGACTCGCTCTGTTTGAGAACGGACGTGCGATCAGTTCAAACTTCAAAGCTACCCAGGTTTATTTATATAGACCGACCGGTGAAGACGGTTTGTGAATGCATTTGAATAGATGGGTGATACAGCTACTTAAGTCAACACAAATAGATAATCTGAACCGAATTAAGTTTGTTGGCAATTCGAGCCGATAGCTTAGAATATATAAGATAGATAGTCGTGACTGTGAATAGTTCTAGACAGTATTTGCTTAGTTGAACATGATGACGAAATATTAAGATTTCTTTACTTAACTACTGATAAATAGTACATGATTCCAGTAGCTTTACAAGACGACAAAAGGCTAATACAATTTATTTCATACTAGTTTACGACTTCGATCCGCGATGACAATAGTAACTTTAAGCATTATGATAATTCGATTTTAAATTTTTATTAAGTGCCCCACATATATATTACTCACTGTGCCCGCGACTTCGTTCGCATCAATTTCTGTTATTATTTTAGGCCGTCAAGTGTTAAAAGCACATGTGAGATATTCTTAAAAGATTGACATCGTCGTGGAATTTTTTTAGATCACTACAGACGAATTTATCGAAATAGTGAGAAATGTGTTTCCACTATTTCCAGTTTTTCCACTTTTTAATTGTCGTGGTGTTTAATAAAACAAGAGATATGAAACAAGTCTTTATAATAAAAAAAATACTTTTTGTACTAACCCAGTACGCTGTCCTGTTAGTGATTCTAGGAACGTGAAGAAAGCTACTTCCAATGAGGCGCTACTTGAAACCCCAGCGCCCATGGGCACATCCGATACTATAACTGCGTCGAAGCCTCGGACCGCTACTAAAATATAGATATCGTTGAATTATATAACTATTAGGTGCAAAGTCAAATAATAAACATGGTGTTATTTGTAGAAAACACTCTTTCTGTTAAAAAAAACTCACACAAATCACTTTTTGAGAAAATAATATATATACAAATGATTTTTATGAATGACATATTTTAACCACAACATACAATATATCTAAATATAACCCGATGTTTGGGATGCTTTGAACCAAATTTGCATTCTTTAAAAAAAATCTGAATTTAGTTGGATCAAAACAGCACCTACCACAGGGTAACTAAAAAGTTTCACTTTAAAAAATATTTCGCCTCCCTTTAGCGATGCATTTTTTCTTTGAACAAATATTGCGTTTGACGTACATGACAGAAAGGGGGTGACAGAAAACCAGCTTTGTGATGTCAACCTACCTGAAACCTATGCAAGGGATTTTAGTTTTAAACTCTTCGCCTGATGCTGGAACACGTCATTAAAAGTTTTCTTGGCGTGTTTGAAAGATTATTGACATAGTCGTGTACTCAGTCTCGTTTTTGCCCCACCGCTGGAAATGGGGGTCCTCTCTTATAAAAGAGAATATTTTATAGCTTAGACACAGCACGCTGTCGCAATGCGGTTTGATGGACTACAACGACTGCTTCCACTAAACGTGTGATGGTAACCAGTACCGGCGGCTTATCGTGTACGCCGAGACACAAGGGACATCTTATTCAATACTTCGAATTTTTCCTAAAAACCTCCAATTATCGTACTAACATTTTCGCGTTTTTCGTAATTTAGACCGGGACCTCGTGATCTGGATTTGAGTTCACCGACAAGACCAACGAAAGAACAAGAAACTTAGGGATTTGTAGCACATAAATGTATATGCCACAAATTTCCATCAATATATTATGGCTAATTAATAAATTATTTTCCAGATAAAAACAAAAATTCACTAACAATAATTCTATGAAATGTATAATTAATAATACCTCGCTTAATATTATTCTCAAAACCAACTGACATAATAAAAAAATGTATTAATTCCAGTGTTGAGGTCAAATGGTATCAAACCAACAATATTTTGCCACAAAACTGTACGTCATAAGATTAAGTAAATATCGATAAAAGATACTAGGAAGTATGAGATAGCATTGTTGTGGTATTAAACACGGATGTTTAAAGCATATATAATTAACCACCATATAATTAAAACCAGCGCGACCTATTTTTATTTTCGAACTCTTCGACTAACCTAATTGAGAAATGATTGTCCACTAAGCGAATACTGACCAATGTTATTCGACTCGAAACATCTCCTGATAAATGACATCCACTCGTGGCAGTTTCCTCGAGGACTATTTCTTAATTACGACGTCCTAACATCAAAAGCTCAACTAATTTTGTATATAAATCAAGAATTGAACATATCTTTCTATAATTGAGGAAAAGCTTAAAAAATGTGATGAGAATTTTTGTTACGAAACAAAAATTCCAAAATTAATGGTTTATAAAGCCTCTTTTGGAAGAATACGCGAGATAATTGGGCGTTCTATTTTGAGTCCCCAAATACTTGGCTTTCAGCGGTGGTCACGAGGGAACTCTGGGAGCTAACCATACTTTAATTAAATATATAGATAATTTAATTGTACTTATGTACAGTAATATTTATATTATATAATATACTAATAAAGAGAAGTTTATACCCGACCGGGGTTATGTCTTACTCTTAATAACGCACTGGACTCACTATTTCATATTTACAAATGTTTTTAACATTTACATTTGCGTGTTCTTAAATAATTTTCCGTAGAGTACTATATTCATAAAAGTGTATTACATTTTTAAAGGGCCATTTTTTTAAATATTATTATTCGCCGCACAAATGTTGGCAACAGCATTGAACGGTATTATAAATAAAAAAGTCAGCTTTGACACGTCTTATAGAATATTAATAAAAAAAAGAACTAATTACTTTTGCTAACGTCGTAAATACGCAGTTGTTTTAAGACCGCCCGACGGCATGTTGCGAACGTAACAATGAAAAAACAATTCTCTATTTATAGACCCTACAGGAATTTATTATAAAATGGTGTATAACTATTTTTATAATTCCACGCATTTTCATCTCGTCACGATCTCGTGAAAGTGGGATTTGGGGGAAAGTGGGGTTTTACGCATTTTCTCTTCCCTCAAGTTTTGATCTCAACTTGTGATCTCACAAAATGCGGATTTTGTGCTGAAAAACGTCTCCAATAATAGCGACTACAGGAAATCAAATATAAACTATTGTGAACGAGTTGAATCGCAATTTTTGTAGAGTCGTTGAATAAATTCAATCAATAATATCTAGAGGAATGCACAAAAGAAATGTAGAAAAATTGAAAACTTACCTTTTGTGACAATGCGATGGACCCCATTTAAATATAATCTTTTGAATGGCACCTAGACCCGATTGTGGTGGATATTTTAACCCACCCTAAATTTCGGTTTTAATCATAACAACAACACTGATAAGAAATTATTTGAAATAGACACGAGCGAACAACTTCTCTAGTCTTATATATTATTAAAGTATTATTTTTCAATATTTTAAGTTTCAGTACCTGGAAAGTTTGCAAGCACGCCTTTAACATAATTAGCCCACGCCGGGTCCCCAGGTTTCAAAGGTTCCGCTGATGAAGACGGAAAACTCGTCTTCAACTCTTCACCGCTGGCGAGCACGGTGTGTATTCGACATTCCTCTAAGCTATTATAGGCCCCCACTACAATCGTTGTGAACGGCAGAGCCTTAAAAAATAAAAATACAGTGTAACATTCAGACCTCAAATCTAATCAAATATTTGACAGAAATAATGTAAGGATCCGTGACAAAATAAGCCTGGAACCCTCGACAGGTGGTGGCTTTGGCACTGTGATTGGTAGGTATGTTTTATAAATTTTTCAACCTCTTTTCAAATCGTCACACTATCCTTCAAAGAAATTATTTACAGCTTTAATTATCTTCGAAATATGCTTTTTTATGAACAGGAAAATCATATTTATAAAACGAGCTAATATAAATTAATTGTGTGTTTCATTGCCGTATGGAAATTACCTTTTCATTTATTTACACAAATAAAATCAGGAATTACATTTCTAAGCTTTGCCATGAATAAAGATTATGAAATAGGTATATATAGATTAAATTGTTTATCTGTCGTGGCCAAACATTTAACATAGAGTTTTTACATCGAAACGACTTATAAATCCAATATCAACAGTTTCTTAGGGTCGAAGCTGTAAGGTCAGTTGAATGTACTGTACACAACTCACAGACTAAACGAAACAGTTGGAGATTACCAAATCAACGCTGCACTTATTAATATGAATAAACATGTTAGTAATTGTAATAGTCTACGCTATCAACTCGTAATATCAAAACGTCGTAATCGAATTCTTAATGAGGATGGCCGAACAAATCGAGACCCAAGATGCCAAACATATTATTGTTAATTATATTATTTCTTCCCACCTTCCTTCTTTACCCAGTTTCTAAATTACTGTAATAAGAAGCAATTTATTTGACAAATAACCACTTCCACGAAAATGGGTCTTAGGCGTTTCCATCGATTCGTTTCGGGTAAAGGTCATGCTTAGGTTCTCTGTATTCCAATTTTAATCAATCTACTGTCGAAGCCAGTATATGTTCTTACACCATATTTCTCCATAAACACGCGTGAAGCGCCGCGTTTGTCTCTGCGCCTACTGTTTATTTTTTACTACTGAAGACGAGAATATCAATATTGGTTGTTCGAACGCTGAACGTGTTTAATTCTATTAAGAACTACAATTTGATATAATTACCACTAGACAGCCATTAATATTAATTAGGCTTAGAATTTGATTTCGTTATTAACGCGACATTGATAGCAATACTGCGTAAAATTTAAGTGTTTGTGTATTTTAAATATCGCGTAAAAGACAAGACTAGAAGATTAACGACTCGTAGATCCGCTTCTAATCAATTTATAATTTTTCCCGAAACACGTTGGACTTCGTGTGAAATATTTGAATACCGATGGAAAGAATATCGAAAATTCCATCGCGACCAACCGTCCACAGATGAAAAAAGCCGTAAAGTTTAGTCACATTTCGAATATCCAAAGCAAAAATTGGTCGTCATCGTATCTTGTTTAGATGTAATATAGCTGGAGTATTTCGCCTTCCATCAAATGAAATCCCTTCTCGTCTGTCCTTCTATAGCATGAATATGTGTTATTAAAAACTGATATGACGGTACTTCGGTCGCTTTATATAGCGTGAAATAGAAACACAAACTTATTTTACAGCTCATGTAAAGAGCTTGTGATATAATAAAATTATCACATCCTGTCCCGTCCGTATTGCCTTTCGTGTGCTCAGAAATACTGGTTCCGCTCAGGTACAGCTTAAGATTTTAATTTCAGTTATAAGCTAATGCGATAAAATACTTGAATATGCTGATGAATTTCGTGTGTGTAATGTATCACTATTTATACTAGATACTCGTTTCAAAGTCTGTAACGCTTGACTGGTAGACAACTGCGCCGCATGCTAGATTTTAACTGAATTTCGTACGCTTCCCGTAAAAAAGAAATGGCTCAATTTTTTTTTCTTCTATTTTGTAGATCAAAATCTGTCGCAGTAATGAATTCTAAAACTGAGCTAAAATGTAGTTGTAACTATACATTTTCGCATAACTCATAGACTTGATTAAATTAGAAATTTGAACATCCATTGTAAAGTAAATGTTGTCATTAACAGGGTAAAAAGGGGCTTCAACATTAGAATAGAGAATATTTGTGTTTCAAACTCGCAGGTTTTGTCAGGCACTAATGGTAATCTACTTATTTCTTCTAATCCACATTTGGATGCCAAAATAACTATTCTACGCGGACAAGGTCGCCGACACAGCTAGTTTGAACTAAAATTTATCTCATTAAAACCGGCAAAAATATATTTCAAAAGTTCTCCAATATCTATCACTGTCAAGTTCTGAGGTTTAACGTTCAACTAACATTTGCCGTTTTAAACCGTTAAAGTGTTTTTAGTAGTAATTAAATTAGCTTAGCAGCTTACATATTCGTGACTTTTGTTATTTACCTATTTGGATTCACATTCAGAAAATGTCCTCCTTTTTAATTTCGTCATGATATACTAACCACAGGCAAAACCAGTCCCTCGCAATAGTCCACATGTTCTCCAATAAGGTTTACTCGACCGGGAGCACTGGCTGCTGCTGCCGCCTTCTTGCCGAATATTGAACGGAATTTCTGCTTCGCCTCTTCAAACAGTGTCGCTTCACCCTTTGCTGTAATTTCGCACATCTGGAATCAATACAGTCCGAGCCATTTATGTAGGTTCTACGCGAATAACTTAAATAATTCTTGCTTAAGGGAAGACAAAAGAACGACTAACCTTCCATCACAACTTCAGCATAAAAATGTATTAAATGGCATAAGAATTACCTTTATAATATGCAAAACATTCGACTATTTGAATTAAAATTTGATGTCAATGCTGGTTTAAGTCTTGCCCGAGCCGTAAGTTTTTTTTAAATTTATAATCGACGTTTATATAGTGCCATCATATGCAATAACATGTAACAAATATAAAGTAAACTTTTTAAAGATTTGACTATTAGTTGCTTTTTATAATTACTTACTATTTATAAGACACTTTAACGGTTTAAAACGCGATATACTGGTTGAACTTATTTAGAAAATATTTCAACTACGGCCTAACATATCGGATGGTTTTATACAATACAAATAGTCAAGTGTCTTGCATTGAAGTGTTTTATTTAAATGTGTACTAATCGCGTAAACTGCAGACTGTATGTAATTACTTGCTATCAACAGTGAAAGACCTCAAAATTATTCTTACTTGATAATTCGTTGCATAAGTAACACTATTTAAACATTACTTTTTCTATGTTGTATGAGTGTACGTGTCTTTATAAACTATGGTACCATCATTTTCATTGGTTAAAACTACTTTACAAAAAATCATCCTTGAGAACATTTATAATTAAAATTGTTATCTGTTACATTTATCTATGTTATTTTATAAGCGTACAGAGCGGCTAACCTAATGATAACAATGGAATTGACACTATATAAAACGGTTTTTTATGAATAATAGGCAAGTTCGTGGACATATGTCCACGATGCGTAAGGCCACTCGAGTAGGAACTGTGTTTTATCTACTCCATCTTCAGAAAGATCCAACTTATACTGTTTTGGGAATACATACGGTAAGTCGTCCATAACTTAGCTGACCCACTAAGAGGGATCACGTAAAGCGCCTTGTGCTTTCTATCAACAAATGGAAGGAAGCCATATTCGAAAATTAAGCTAAGGCCGTCATTATGTTCTATGGAGAAAAGAATGAGGTCGGACAAGATTGTGTTGATCCAAGTGACTCGACTTTACTCAAGAAGAACTGTTTTCATATTGAGTTTAGCTATCCATCGTTACATCTTTAATTTCGTAGTTTATACTCGACTAAAACATTGAAATTCTTAGAAGCGATTTTCCCCATTTACAGGTTCTTCACACGAAAATGGCGCAACGATAACTTAGATCGACAAGTTAATTATTTTTTCAAATAAGAAGATAGTTACTAATGTGCCTAACACCTTAAACATAATGCACGGTTTCCGAATATCTAAATGGCTAGTGGTTATTATATGGCTGTGGTGTTATACCTACCATAGAGTTAACCCATCGCTCTCCTGTATTATAAAAAATGGAAACTTCTGTGTCTATTTCCCTAGTTTATTCTATATACAGTTGATCTGACTTGTGGAACTTCCCGATATTCGAACCCAGTACCTCTCATGCTTAACACAATTCAAGGCAAGCTTTTATTTACTTATACGTATACGTTCAGGATATGTTATGGGGAAATTAATACACAGTAATGGCACGGCAGGGTTTTGAAGATGATTTGTGATTAAAACGATGAGTACCACTTAGAGAAAATGTTTATCACTAAATAGTAATCTATACTGCATTCTATTATTAATTATTGTATGACTATTACTTTTAGAGATATAGTATATATTAAAGATAAGTCGAATTACATGCTATGATAGACATATTTTGGTGCTAAAACCGAGTTCGCCATCACTGACCTCATGGTATTGATAATAATCAAATAGAACATCGGGCTTACAAATACATATGATCCAAATCACAATTTAAGTATTGGTTTTCTAAGAAATTATAATGCTGACGTGTATATACATCTACATACCTATCATACCCTTATTAATATATAATAATAAAGGTATGATAAATTTCCCATAAGTCACACTTTTCGGGCATTGATTGGATTTTCAACCTTACAATTAAATAAATTTAGAATTTTATTATATTGTCATTAATCAATGACTTCTTTGACAGTTGTAGTATATTTATTATTAAAAAAATATCAATAAATTTAACAAATCCACATTTGCAAGATTTTAAAATCGTAATCAAATATATTTTTTGCGGGTACCATCTCACACTAGGTATATTTAACTAATACGTATCAACACAGCTGTTCTTTATTATATTTACACACTACAAAACGTCCACACACATACACTTTTGAAACATTCCTGTAACGAAATATTTAATAGACTCATTTTAATTAAATAAATAGAAAATGTTTTAAAATACCATCCGCTATAGGAATCTGATACACGTAAATCAGCCTAAAACTACTACTACTACTACGAGAGTACTTACCTTCTCACTATATAACTATTAGTATACATACTCATCGTTAATTACTCAAAAGATGCTAAACTTACAGAGTGACTAGAAAGAAAGGGAAAATGTTTTAAAATACCATCCGCTATAGGAATCTGATACACGTAAATCAGCCTAAAACTACTACTACTACTACGAGAGTACTTACCTTCTCACTATATAACTATTAGTATACATACTCATCGTTAATTACTCAAAAGATGCTAAACTTACAGAGTGACTAGAAAGAAAGGGATGGGTACATCTCAATAAACTAAATGCAGACGAATAACTAGTAATCGTATATAATTTTGGATGGCTTACCGTCAATATATATCGCACAAAATCGCACAAACTTATGTAAAATACAACAATGTCACGATCAAGCGCACAGTAAAATGTTATCATACGTAACGAGTTACACTCATTCAATCATAAAAGGACGCGGCCATAATGGCGGTTTATCTTAACAAGCAGAATTCAATTTCCTTAATTGTATAGCGTACAGTGTGAACACTTCTTTATTAAATATCCCTCCATCTTCAAAAATCAACTTATACAGTAAGTTACAACTATAGAAATTCAAGATTATAGTAACCTTTAAATGTAAGTTATCCGCACTCAAAACATTAACAAAATTTAAGTAACTAAGCTAAAATATATTTTATTGTAAATCTAAAGAATTAGACCGATACAGGTTTTGACTACAATGTGTATTGTATTAATTTAGTCTTTTAAACTGAATACAAAAAATAAACTTGACTCGGAATTGTATCTTCAAGGACTGACAGAACGGTTCCTTACACCAAAGAAGTACATAAAATGCAATACTTTTCGTAAGTGGTAAACATTTTGTGAAAGTTTTAATTACCCGCCTTTCAACTTTCTTTAAAGGAAAGCACGCAGGCGACTATTAAGTAAAAAAAGATTCAATAAGAGACATTAAGCTTTAATCTTATAAAAAATCAAGATTGTCTTTCTTTCAATATTTGCCAGGTAAATAATGTATTTCCTATAGTCTGAATTGATCAGTAGAGAGACATATAACAAAATTAATCTGCTCGCTTCACGTTTCTTATATAAAGATAAATTGAAGTAAGTTTTCTTACTTTCGCATTTATAACATTAGTATGGATTATTGCTTTAAAACTTTTATCCCAACATTTCGAAACGTAATCAATCAATCATATTGCTCGGGAGTTTTGGATTGACCTGTACTTCAATTTGCTAATTTAAGTATGAGTAGAACTGGAATATCAAATTTTATTATTACCATTATTTTTTTTATAAAATCATTTCGAAGAAGCCTCATACAAAGTTCAAGTACCAGGCAGTAAGAACACTGAAAGGGTCGCGATAACATTGTTTACAGCTACCGGCAATCTGTCGAACTCGTTTCGCTGCTTCCGTAATTTTGTGATTTTAAGAAGTAAATTAAGTTTAAATAAAAACATAATTTTAAATTAACGTGTCACGCTTTTTTACCCAATCCCGAACAATAAAGATATCTTTTTTATCTACTAATAAACTTAATATTATGATGATTTTACTGTTAAAGTAAATCAATAAAGATAATGTGATAAAGATAGTCTATTGCAAGTAATGATAGTTAAGGTACATAGAAATGCTAGAGTCAATACCTATAGTGATATAATATGAAAATATTAAAAAATCGCTTTTCCAAGTAAATCGTCGCCGTAAACACAGCTTTAGCTAAAATTAACCTTATCGACCGGTCAGACTTATTGTTTATTGCCCCTTCTATCACTGATAACAGTTATCTATTGTAAAACAATCGCGGTGTTGTAGTTAGTAGATGTAATGAGATGCTGTAAAAAGATAAGAAGGTTATCTCTTATTTCTTTATTAAAGCATACCATTTTATCTGCGGCAATCCAATTTTTTGCAAAATGAGATTGTGTTTATCTTTTAGCGCGGCTCAAATACATTTTAATTTATACCTGCTATAAGAGACTTATAAGTATCCCTTTTATAAGTTTAAGTATGTTTTTGATTTAATGATTTTCAAAAAGTATTAAACAATATTAGAATTTTTATATCTAAGTTTTTACACGCAGGCGATTTCTTTAGTAGAAATCGTTTATCGTGCTTCCGGAGCGTTACAAATAGGATAAAAAAAAGTTAGTTTTGTAGAAGAAGTTCATTGTGAAATTGCATCGTCAGATTCATTTCTTACGTACTAGGATATCAGACAAGAGTAGAAAATGTCCTCTTAAAAATTATATAGTCTATAATCACAAGAATACCACAGAGCAAAGTGAAATGCGATGTCACTAGCATCAATGTGTCAATTACCTTAATATTAAAATGACAATTTACTAGTTGTATTTACAGCAGCTGATTTGTGCGACTTAAAAATATAATTTTAATAAGTTTTAACTATCTTTTTTACAATTGAAAATAATGTATTAAGCCTCGGACGTATTTTAATTTGATGTAAATATAAAAAAAAATACACCGTATAATAATAAAATGTCGTTTAAAACCAAAGACGTAGTTCTATCTGCAGATCGGCCTAAAAGCCTTTTAATTCCGAAACATGCCGATTACTTAGCCAGCTATGGATTAAATAAAGATGATTTTGAATATTGCATGACTGAATATCTTAGAATGTCTGGTATCTATTGGAGTTTAACTGCTATGGAACTGATGGACCAAACCTCAAGGTACAAAACATAATGTGTTTAGCATATCATTGTCTTTCGGGCTGTTCGGCCGATGTGACCGAGAAGAGGTTCTCGACGTTTCGCCATCACGTGTGGACGGCATCATTAGCAGATGTTAGCTCCTCGATTGCTCGAAGAATTAATTCTTCTCGCTCCTCTTCTAGCTCACATCAGCCGAACACCCCGAAAGACAATGATATGCTAAACGATAGCCGTGAAAGCCTTACACAAATTATAATGTGTTTAGTCTTACTCGAATCTACATTTTAATTCTTTCATCAATTTCATATCAGTTGTGGTTTTGCTATTTTTTTCAATTTTCAAAATATAAGTTGCATGACCTCAGAGCAAGCCAAAATTTAAATCAGTCTATTAATACTTCAAATTTATTGTTTAGAATTTTATTTATATAAAGCTAAGTATCGTGAGAAAATACTTTTGTTTAAAGGTTATTGTTTTTAGAATGCCAAAAGATGACATCATACAATTTATAACCTCATGTCAAGATAATGAAAGTGGTGGAATCTCAGCTAGCAATGGTCATGATCCTCACATGCTATACACACTTAGTGCAGTACAGGTATGTTTCAAGAAAAGTAAAACATGCCAAAACAATTTTTTTGGATTACGCAATGCATCGCAATATGATAAATGAAGAAAATATTTTTCCTCAAAATTGTGTGGCACAATATTCCAGGTTTTGGCCATGTATGACAGATTGGATGCCATTGATGTTGATGGTGTGGTTCGATATGTTTCATCTATGCAACAAGAAGATGGTAGCTTTTATGGTAGGTCACTTTATATTTTTAATGCAGTTTGATGTTATGGAGTTTAACTTTGTTTAGAAAGCAATATTTCTTTTCTGTACTTTATTTAATGTAAATCATATATTTCACAACCACGACATAATTAAAAATCCTTTGCTAATTATCCTCTTTGATTACTTTCCCTTTTACAAAAACTACTATAGTGTAAATAAAGTTCAATGAACGGAAGCATTAAGCTAATATTATTCTCAGTTTACATTTTATTTCCAGCAGCTTGTACTCTGACCTAGGGTGGTGGTAATTTTTTTTTTTGTTCTATTGGGGACACCGATTGAAGACTGTGTGATCAGTTGGCATCAATTGCTGACCAATCTACCCATTTCCTCTTTCCGCCTTTGCGGAGGATATATATTGTGTTGGTATAACTCTTAATTTAACAATATTTTAAATATATTTTAGGTGATAAATGGGGAGAGGTTGACACTAGGTTTTCATTCTGTGCTGTAATGACTCTTTCACTATTACATCGTCTTGATGCTATCAATGTTAATAAAGCAGTTGACTTTGTACTTAGTTGTATGAATTTTGATGGTGGTTTCGGATCAAAGCCAGGCTCTGAAAGTCATGCCGGTAAGGGTATATTTTAAACTCTTGAATGTAAGGTTTTAAAAATGGGAACCTATTCATATAAGCATTCTTGTCTGTTTAGTATAATCTATTATACATTATAATTTTTTCTTTAAAGATATTTGTTAAGTGTTAATCTTGTTTATACTAACCATCCTTGTTTTATTTAGGTTTAATCTACTGCTGTGTGGGAACGTTATCTATATGTAATAGAATGGATGCTTTAAAAGCTGATGAATTAGCATGGTGGCTATGTGAACGACAGCTTCCCAGTGGAGGGTTAAATGGACGTCCTGAAAAGCTTCCTGATTTATGCTATTCTTGGTAAAACTTTCCACTATTTTGATAGAATTATTGTTAATAATAATTAGGAAATACTTGAAAGAAGGTTTAATATGATTTGATTAATAATTATCTCTTTTTTAGGTGGGTTATGGCATCTTTATCAATGCTAAACAGAATCCATTGGGTAGATAAAGATAACCTTGAACAATACATCTTAGCATGTCAAGATGCCGAGAGTGGAGGCTTCAGCGATAGACCTGGAGACATACCAGACCCATTCCATACATTATTCGGATTGGCAGGGTTGTCGTTACTTGGGAATTCCAGTATAAAAAGAGTAAACCCAACATATTGCATGCCTCAAGAAACCATAGATAGGCTCAGGCTGGAACCACAGATTTTACTTATTTAAAATATAATTATTGAAAATTCATATTTTTATTATATATTGTGCACAGTGTAAATTACTTTTAATTTAACAAATACATTTTTTAAATAATTAATAAATTTCTAATTTCAAGACCGTTATCATCACTTTTGACTAATGTTATCTGTAATAACCAATATAATCTATGCCCTTATTTCAATCTGTCAGTGTCAATATTCAATGATTAGTTTATCCTTTTCTTAGTAGTTTCTTATTAGGTAACAAAATATGTAAACACAACCGTATACTATGTAACTTGCTGGTAATTTTTTTACGTTTTTGTATTAAAAATGACGTGAATTTTAACTAATAATGGCTCCTATTTATATTTTCCAATACTTGATAATAAGTCTATGCGTACAAGCGTTTGGTGTGTTTGTTTACATTGTTTATTACACCGACTTTCTGTTGCCGACTCAAGTCTTGGAATCAAAAGTTTACGATTATATCATTGGTAAGTTATTGCTTTAAATATTAAATTCTTTCTTCATACAGTAGTAGTATATATTTATAGTAGTATGTATCTAGTTGGTCTTTTATTGGTGTATTTCACCTATTTCTGTTATAAAACTATTATTAATTATAATTTCAGTGGGTTCTGGAACAGCTGGTTCTCTCATAGCTCATAGATTAGCAACAGAAACAAACTACACATTTGTTGTAATAGAAGCTGGGGGTGCGAGTAATCCACTCTATGAGATCCCGATTCTGGGACCCATGCTGCATGGGTCTCCATACGATTGGCAATATGAAACAATACCACAGGAAAATGCTTGTCTTGCCATGGAGGGTAATGTAGGTATATTTTTTATTTTTATAATTACACATCTATAATTTTTTTTAGTTATTCTAATGGTTTCATTGATGGTATTGGTTTCTTTGAAACAAATATATCAAATAAATCATATTATACTTTGATGTCAAATTATTAGAAATTGAAAACTTATAACTTACAAAACTTTTTTATTTAAATTTTCAGAAGTGTAAACTGACGCAAGGAAAAATATTTGGTGGCTCAGCTAAGCTGAACAATATGATACACATCAGAGGAAACATTTCGCATTATGTCAACTGGTTCCATGGTGCACACTCTGAAAGTTACATAAGGCAACAGTTTGATTTTATTGAAGATAACATAATACAACTTAACAAATTGAGATTTACTAGTCAATTAAGTGATTATATTTTAGAAGCTGCTAAAGAACTTGGCTATGAAGAGCTCAATAACGAATATAAAATTGGTTTTGGTAAACCTTTAGTATCACAAATTAATGGTAAACGTTGGGCCACATCAGATAATGTTAAGCAGAAACATGTTCTCATAAATACAGTGGTTGAAAAGTTATTATTTAAGAAAAATAGATGTTATGGTATTCAATTAGTAAATAAAAAGTTGTTTGCTAGGAAAGGTGTCATTTTATCAGCTGGGGCATTCAACAGCCCAAAAATATTACAGTTATCCGGCGTTGGACCAGCCAAATTGTTGCAATCCTTAGAGATCCAACTAGTCCAAGAGTTGCCGGTAGGTAAAAATCTTCAAGACCATATTGGTACTGGTCTAGATTTAGTTCTATTCAATTATTCTTTATCCATCAATGCGTTCAATTTTTTCAATGCCTTACATGTTTATAATTATTTTAGCCAAGGCAAGGGTCCTTTAACGACAACTGGTTGTGAAGTTGTAGGTTTTGTGTCTACTAAAAGTGATACCCAACCTGATATTGAATTAATGGTGTTGCCAGTTGGCATAAGCGCAGATAGGGGTAGCCATTTAAGAAACATTTTAAGGATAAATGATGAGGTGTGGAATAATTATTTTGCTAAATTGTTTGATAAGCACGCATCAACGATACTAGCTTTAATTTTGCATACGAAAAGCAAAGGGGAAGTTTATATAAAAAGTAAAAATCCATATATACCTCCATTGATAGATCCCAAATACTTTACAGATGGGGAAGATGTAAAAATTTTAGTTACAGCAGTAAAAATGATTAAAGAGTTTATTCAGACAGAAAAGATGAAGTCTTTTGGTGCATATTTAAATGAAATTCCCTTCCCAGGCTGTGAGGGACACAAGTTCTTTTCCGATTCATATTTGGAATGCTACATTAGGCATTTGACGTTATCCGTCTTTCACCCGATCGGTACTTGCTCTATGGGGTTGCCAGATAATAAAAATTCAGTTGTAGATACGTCATTTAAAGTCATAGGCCTTGATAATTTGTATGTAGTGGACGCATCGGTGTTGCCAACATTACCGAGTAGCAATATCAACGCAGCAATCGCTATGATGGCAAGCGTGTTTTTCGACAGCCAAATAAAGCGAAAAAATATAGGACAATGCCACAAACGCCAAAGATGCTTTATAAATTATTTAAGTAAAGATATGTGTCTTAAAGGAGATATATTATTACATTGTGTTTAGCAAAGGAGAGTGAAATTCAAATCCTGAAGCATCTATAACTAGAGATTAGTATCAAATTAGTTGCAAGGATGTCTTTAAATAAGCAATTGTATATAATTCTCTAGTCATATTACCGAATATGTCAAAGAGTCTAGTAAAGTCTGAAAATATGTATTACATTACTTAACAGAGGAAAAAGTATTTTAATAAAGTGTATGTACCTTTTTTATATTACAAGGCCTCAAATGACAAAACATTCCAATTTTTAAGAGATTATTTTGTTTAAAATGTTCCTATTATTAGTACAAAGAGGTTGCTAAATAAAATATATTGTTTTAAATGTTTATTTTATAATTTAAATCCACCAATTCTATACATCCAATCGTACGTAACGTATATTAACCGTACGTTAAATAAACGTACATACATTCAAGTACAGAAATGTAAAATTCAAATATTCCGAAGAAAATCTACATCTTTCCTCCTATTGAATGATTACAATATTTCGAATGAATAAAAACATTTTTCTTTATTTTTTTAAGGTATTTTCATACGCAAGGACTATAATAAAATGACTAGATACTTATAAAGACATTCTCTCAGTCATAAATTGTATATGACAACACGTAAAAAGGATTTGTGAGTCTGTCTCTTTTACTCAAAATACAAATGGCGTCAAATTGACAAGGACAAAACATAGATTTTGATAGTTACGACACAATTTGGGTACTGATACTTTAAACCAAATGCATTTGGTCAGTACCCATCCAAAGACAAACTGTGTCCAAAAATCGTATTACTACTGTCGCTTATCCTAGTATAAGACACTAATCACATTTTAAATGTCCTATGACAAAACCTGTTGCCACGCTAAAGAAGGCTTTGGACGTCGTTTAGGACCATTGGGGCTTTCATATTTGTGTGAAAGTAACGATAGTTCAAATCTAATTATCATTTTTTCCACATTTACTTAATGATTCCAGATCAATTATAAAAATTGTATTAATAATTCACCTTCTTAAACATCCATGAATCTTAATACCTTAAAACCTTTCTTAGGTTCTAAATTAAAAGTAAATATAGAATTACAATTCAAAACGCTTTAGTACGCTTATATTCATTGTAATACAACACTTATAATTAAAATTATTATTCCACAACAATCACTTTGTGCTGAGCAAAGATTTAAACGCATTGGACGGAATGCCTGACAAATGGACAGATTTTTTAAAATTATACACTATAAATAGATTTTGAGCGTGACTGTACAGTAATCAAACCCTCTAAAAACGCTCTTTAGGGATTGTTATTTTAAAAATTACTAAAATTATTGCCAATATTGCTTACAAGACTGTAGCATTGTCAAATCTTAAATGATTAAGAAATTTATTTATAGGTATTTCTTATTTACCTGCGCGTCACAAACACAGTACGTGTCAAACATCGCATCTACTTACAAATTTAATAAATATAAAGTAATTAATACTGGACGGTAAAGACATACAACACATTAGTAAATATAGTTTTAAACTTAGTTACTAAAAATATTTGTGCTATTCACAATAGTACAGCTGCTTCGAAGCTAATTTATACATCGAATAAAACAAATGTCTTTCTAAGATTTTTTGTAAATATATGTATTTCTTTGATACTGAGCCTTGTTTGAGCAAAATTATTTCTTTCGCGTAAATAGTGATTTGGATTCTCAGAAGCATTCATGAATAGATTAACTGCTTTTTACAAATCTACAAAATACACAAGTTAAACACTACACATTTCTTAACGGCCCTACTATTATTATCATTAATACTGAACTATTTGACTAGACAATCACTTATCAAGTTCCTTGTCCTCTCTCTAAATATTATGTTGAAACCTTATGTATGGTTATTAGCGCTTTAATACATATATTTTTGTAACTAGCAACAGGATGGAAAAGCAACGATCTTAAACTGATGTGACATGTAATGTAAATTTTCAAATGGTTTACGTAAAAGGCTTCTATTTTTATCACTTGTCATTTATAGACATTATATTTTAACTAACAGAAATTATGGTAAACGACTCGCGCCATACTAGCCTCTTATTGTAAAACGTCAATTCAGATAGAGCGTCGTACAAGAAAAAAACAATGTATCTTGATAGAAATACCCACTTGCTTTACTTGAAGCATGGATCCAAATAGTTATCGAACATGTCCAGCTGCAAATCGCCCCAGTCCGTTGGATTTAGGAGCAGCGAAGACAAATCGTCATCAGGTATCAAAGGTGGGGGGATCGCCGGTTCTACTATCACATTCGCACCAATACTTGTATCCAAGTCCATTGGTAAATTGATTTCCGGCAAATGTAAGGTCACGGCCTGGTCTATTTCAGTAATGTCTAAGTGGGAATCCATCTGCGGTATGTTGGCTACTGCTATTTTGTCTTCGGTTTTAGAGTCCTTTTCCAGTTTTCTCTTCTTGTGAGGTCGATTGGACATGCGCTTAGTGCCCTCCAGGTGTGCTAGATCTAGTTTCCAGAAGCCGCCTTTGCCTGGCTCTTGCTTTGAACGCGCTACCTTTACGAACACCTTGTTCAGTGATAGGTTGTGTCTGATGGAGTTCTGTAAAGAAAAAATCAACAATCAAACAGATTTCGAAAGACATTGTCAGTTGTTAGACTTTCTGTTACAATTTAAACTTTACAAAACATTGTCAGAGTTACCTAAATATTTTTAACAAAAGAATATTTAAATACTGTCTATAGTTTACGCGAGTAGTACACATTTAAATAAAACAGGAGACAGGGGAGACTCCCCGTGACCACGGCTGCTGCAAAGCATCCGAAACGTCGGGCCGAAGTTAAAAATCATTTTCAAATAAGTTTAACTAATATATCGCGTTTTAAACCGTTAAAGTGTTTTATTTAAAAGAATATTTGTTATTGTTTAGCTATGATAAGATAAAAAGGCAACTTTTTCGGTCTTGGTTACCGGCTTTTCCAGTATTAAACTACAGTCTATATTCAACTCCGGTTCACTCCACAGATTAGTAAATCGGACACAGAAATGTGTTCACCCTATGTTCCACAAAACGGGATTTCAAACAAGAAAATTTTTTTGAATATCGAACATAGATTTTTATGAGAGTGTGTCTGTTACGCAAAAACAACTGGACTATATAATAAAACCTTAATGGTAATATTAGCCATACATCAAGCGGGGGAAGCCGCGGGCGGATGCTAGTAATATTGATAAAATATTTATAGAGCCGTTCTACTGTAACCCTTAACACGCCGGTTAACATTGCACATCTGTTATATTCAAAAAGTGACCGTTGCGGAACAGTATAGATCTAGTGTTACCCCCAGTTTTACTTACGCCAAGTGTATCATTTACGAATGCAATTCACTGGTATAATATCATTGTTAAAATATTATTTATCTACACAATATCTTATACATAGAATTTGAACAATCTCGGTTTTATTACTGTATTTGCTATACATTTTTCGACTTGATAGGAAATGAATTGCGGATAATAGCATTTTTATCGTTCAATATCCGAACACTATCCAAACAGGTCTAATAAGAAATTATTATTTCTTAATTATTTTTAAAAAATCTTCATAATAATATTTTCAAATAGACAGACACACTGTGCTTTTAAAATAATGTATGCAACTTAACCCTGTTTTGATATTAGTATTCGTATAACGAAATTCAATTACTCGTAATCTTATCACACGACCATTAAACACAGATTGAGGACAAATTATGTAGCTTTAGATATATGCGTGATCCCTATTCTGTTTTGCGGATTCGATAAGCCAATACAAGTGTACCTAAATCCATGCACCAAAATATCAAGAGAGTTCTTAACTTAACTTTTAGACGAGCTCGTTGGTCTAATGGCAGTAATGAATGGTTTATGGAAATTTAAATATTACATGGGTGGTAAGAATATCGGAAATTCCGTCTGGGTCACTAAACACTCTCCACAGATGAATAAGACGTGGTTTTCTATTCTCCTCTATCATTAAAAAAACTATAGCTAATAATCAACGACGTCCTTAATAGAAGTCCAATAAATGATACAAAGTAATCTTACAAAGCTTCTAAGCTCTATACATATTTGACAATAACTCATAGAAATCTGTCCACTGGTAGAAGTTAAAGGCCGCCCCGGCTCCCGTTGCAAACTCAGGAAAAATAATTGTTCTTGTTGTTTATTGTGTTAAGTATTATTTACTGTAAAGACCTTTATTAGAGTTTACATTTAGCACTACCTTGATTTATGGGCAATTTCTAATTGATAGAGAGAAGGAGACAACATAATGGCGACTATCGTGTGTTCTTGGGATTCAAAAATATTATATTCGCACAACAAAATGCTAACTCTACACGAAACCAGTGGCCACTGAAAATCAGTGTTGAGATAGTAGAGGTTGTGGACACTAAAGCGTGTAAGCCTCTTAGAGGTTACCATTGTCTAATTTAAAGCCGCATTTATATATCTTTATATTTTGTCCAAGTATAGTTAATTTAGTGCATGGTTCTTGTGTGCAATTTTAAAATAAGGAGTTTTTATTTATTTCAATATAATATACATCACCCAAAAACAAAGGGAACAATGGCAATATGTTAATGAGTGTAAGTTTCACCAATAAGTTCAGAACTATCTGGAATTGTTTTAAGTGAAGTTCACGTCCTCACGCTTAAACCAACATTTTGATTAGAAGCCCAATTAAGTCACTTTCCTATATATATTTTTTTGTTTCAATTGAATACCGGCGTTGTAAAGAAATATGTGAAATGTTTAAAGACTGCCTTTCTTTATCGATTTAGACATGTCTGGACGCATTTGAATAATTTAAATGAGGGAGAAACGCATTACAAACATAGTCTTATACTTGAAACAAGGAACAAAGAGATCTAAAATAAAATTAAATGTTTTATTTTTAAAATGTTTGAAGGTTTTAAATTAAGGTTCCACTAATTATAACTACATAATATCAAGCCACAGCTGAGACCTTTTAGGACATAATATCGTAAAATAAAGCGTCAAAATAATACTTAACTACGCCTGACTTAAATGAGGCTTAAGAATCTAAAATAGTCTTCTTTAAATAAAACACTCAACGGTTCAAAAATCGGTTCAACTCATTTTTAATTTATTTTCACGGCTGCGAACACGGCTACTCCAAAGCATTCGAAACGTCGGGCCCTAGTAAAATAAGTTAACTAATATTTTTCCAGTTTCAAACCGTTAAGAGTGTTTTATTTAAATGTCTACTACTCGCGTTAACTTCAGATAAGTAGAATTTGCACTTTATACAGAAAGATCTTTATCGTGACTTGACATATAAGGTGTAGTAGAACGAATTTTATTGGGTTCGAGTCCCGAGGAAAAATTAATGGTAACATATGTTACAAATATGGGAATGGATTAATGGGCTGATTTTCTTTTCATTTAAGGTCTGGAGCATCCGAAACATCGGCGTATAGTAAAAATTGTAAATAGGTATATGTTTAATTAAGGCGTAAAATAAGACAATATTGAAAGACACATACCTGCCACGTCGGATCCGCGTTCCTATAGTACTTGAAGTTGTCCCTGATCCACGCGTAGATCGCGGACAGCGTCATCTTGTCATGGTTGTACCTCATGGCCATGCAGATGAGGGTGCTGTACGAGTAGGGCGGCTTCTTCTCGCTGCCCTTATACAACTCCCGATTCGCCATGAAGTCCGCCTGGCACTTGGCTATCGTCTGATTAAACTTCTCCAGCCGCGTGCTCTGCACCTTCGGCGGCGGGGACTGCGGCACCGACATGATATTGGTGATGTTCTGCAGCCAGTTGAGGTTCGTGAGGTCCGTGTCCTCGTCCCTCTTCTTCGGCGCCTCGTAAACATACTCGATCTCTATCGTGTGCGAGGACTCGGGCACTCGGTGCTCGTTGCTGTCCAGCATTTCGCCAGATGCCGGCGACATGGACGCCGTGATGTGCATATCGATCGGGTGACGTAGCGCCGGTCAGTGGTGTGGCCCGCGCGACTGGTGGTGTTGGAGTGCGCGTGACGGCAGGTGCGCCCCGAACAGGTGCGATCAATAATTTTCCGTAAGAAGTGGCCCGCATACGATAGATCCGGACAATTAGTCACGCGGTTATCGGAGACTGCGGGTACTTCCTTGCTCTTCGAGTCACGATTAGCGTTGTCAGTGTGGAGTACTTTTTTACATTACGACTCTGCTAATTATATACACTACTGGTAGAATTGGATAGACATTTTTATGACGTAAGAAAGACAAGCATATGATACACTCGATCGAAGATGAACCTCTAGCAAAGATGCGCTATTTTCAAGGGCTTTTCATCTGTGAGCGGTGGTTCAATATAGATTATTTAATAATTATGATGTATCAATATGTTAAAAATTAGCTCCATTGGTTAGAGCGACAGCACGGAACATATTGGATACCGGTTCACGTCCCGCCGTTTCAATTGATTTCCCATTTAATATAAATTCAAATCTACAAACATTGATTATTAGCCTTACAATGTACTAACGAGCCTGTCAGACATTCGTTGACTGATCTTTTAAAGGTAGATATGAACGGGGAATGGCTAAGCAACTACTTGAACGGTATTAGGTACGTAGTATCTATGATAGAAACAAATCATAACTACGTGTTTCTTCAATATAATATGAAAAGATCGTTATTAAAAAGGGTTTAAAGAATACAAGCGGAATTCGAACCCGCAACAGTGGATCTTCATTTGAAATCTTTTGGTTTATTATTAAAACAATATCCCTACTTGTTCCAAACACACAATCAAATAATCTTTATATCGTTTTCACTGTTCACTTTGCGGTTGTTGGTTGAGCACTTTCAATAATTCTATTGTATCTATAGGGCGCTAGTGTTTGCCCTTGACAAATAAAAGACCGCGTTAGTCATAAACAGACAAGTGAAATTAAAAAAATATATAGTTTTATTTAGGTTAGTGGATATTTCATGTGTAAAAAAATCTTTGAGAAAAAAGACAATGAAAACTACTTTTAAACGGTTTAAAATGCGAAATATCTCAGTATTTTATTTTGTTTTAACTACGACCCGACATTTCGGCTACAGACAGCACTTAGCAAACTAATAAATAATAAAAAACACTTAAATATTTTTAAATGGGTGATAGAAATCACAAAAGTTAACATTAATTTTATTGAATTACAATTATATTAAATTATTTTTTATAATTATTATTATTACTAAATAATTTATTATGTATATTACGTTTATGTATATATATATATATATATATATATATATATATAAATGCCTTTCAGAATTTAAAAAAAGGTTCTTGTAATGTTGTAAAAATACAGTAAGAGCACCTTTTCCCCTGTCACCAGCGAAGCGGAACTCACCCCGTGCCAGGAACCGAATCCCGAACCGCCCCTATCCCCTATCTATACATATTTAATTGCTTTCGTCTCGTAGGATAATGAACTTGCCTTCTGTAGAATCACGACGAACGGACAGATAATTTTATAGGGAATAAAGTATATTTTATTTTATTTTTTATTTTCTGATATAACTTTTGAAACGGTTCTTTTCACTTCTTGCGACCAGCGGACTTAACTGGTTCTCGTGTATAGCGTAGTGAACAATATGCTCAAAACAAGTAATTTGTAATATAATCCCTAACTAAAAATAACTAACACAGCCTAAAGAACTCCGCAGTCTCCTAAACGTCCGGTTATAGTTTAACATAAATAAACTAACATTTTTCCTAAATTGTTCAATGTTTTTGCTACATTGCTATTTGGTTGTTTTCGAGCTATTCGGTCTTTGAAATTCATTTCTTATAATACTTTCCTTGTTTCGAACCGTCATTTTCATTAACGTCAATCGAAATAATATACGGGGAAACGCGGCATGGGGCGTACACATTTCTTTGTCCGTTACACTAAACGGTTTTATTTAGCAGCAAGAAGCTGATCAGACTTCTCTGCTCTGTCCGACCGAAACAGTTTAGTGTTGCCGCGGGATTCGAACCCCGGAATTATGCGCTTAACACAATGCTAGGCAGCGTATAACCATTTCGCTACAGACGCAGTCAATCGGGCCATAGACTATATAAAATCATTCAAAAGATTTGCAAATGAAAATAAAAGCTTCGTAAAGTACAATATCTTCAAGCCGTTAAGGTCAATAACACTGAAAGGGTTCACGACATTAATCTATTAATCAAATTGTTAGAATTTCAACACAATTCAAGTGAAAACACCTACGATAATGTTGGCCTAGACCGGTCATAGCCATATTTCATATAACTATAGATAAAAGTTAACTTTATGACAACGTTATAAGCCTTCGCGCTGAGCAATTGATTTTGTAAAGGGTCGATTGGTGAGTCATATACCTAGAATCTAGAATAGAAAAAATAAATTTCAACAGAACGCTGTCGATCCTGATTCAACTCCCACCCGTGTCATCGATTTTTTCATCTAAATACATTATTCAATAAATCATTTTAAACTGATTAAAACGCCATTCAATTTAACATTGACTACTTTATTTCAATTACAACGCAATAACTTTTGTTGAAACAAACTGAATCTGGAACGATTTGCTGAATCAGCTTGTCAATAAAATACTTATATTATAATAGTGAAATGTATGTATACATCTGTCTCTATCGCATGTTAGCCTGGTACATGTTTGTCGCATTTTAAGTTTTAATTGATGCCGATAGAGGCAGAGTAGCCCAACTGCAATTTTATGACTTGAGTTATTTTCATATTCTAAAAGTGTGTCTACAAAGAGCACAGTGACAGACAATTATGAACATAATTCTTACGCAAATAATGGTACAAATTCATATTCGCCTAAGTTAATTGCGCTTTCTTATTTTCCTCCTTGAAAATCATGTTTTTTGTTATTAGGACATCTGCCTCTAGCAGCCTTATATATCTGTCTCTCTCTCATGAGAGCCTGGTACATATTTATTGAAATTCAAGTTTCAAATTCACATTTGCGCAATTATAATTTTGGATTATAAGAAAGTAAGTTGGTGCGAGTAGTACAAGTACTATTTTTTGCGAATTGTATTACGTGACTTAATTACAATTCATTGTAACTACAAACGTTGGGCCATAGATAAAATAAATTAACTATTTACATTTCGCGATTTAAACCGTTAGTTAATTTATTTAAACTGGTCGTTGTGTTTATGTAATTCATCATTAATATGAAAAATATTCAAGAGGTGCATGTATGTTTGTTGCATTGACAGCTGTTATATGAAGTGATAGATATCACAAACTTGATTAACAATCTATAGCCATATTTACAAAAAAAAAGTGAAATCCCACCTCGCTTTTAGGGTATGGGGCGAACATATTTCTGTGTCCATTCCACTGATAAGGTTTATTTACTGTCACAGGCAATTGGTTAGACTTCTGTGACCCTGCTCGAACGAAACAATCTATTGTTTTCGTGGGATTCGAAATCAGGACCTAGAGGTCATCTTTAACATTTACGTAAATAAAATTAAGTTTGCTGTTTCTTTTTTATTTATTAGGTGTATAACTCAATTTTTAGGCATTCGTGCGTTCATCGTTCTTTACTTTTCATTCATGTTGAAGTTCAGCTCTTCATATTCCCAGCGACTTCTGAGCTTGCTGCCCTTGAGAGTACTGTTGGCTGTGCCAGTTGGACGCGACCGACGTCGTTCTTGCAAGTTAGTCATAATAGATATATATATACTGTTACGGACATATTTGTAAATCATTTAAACATGAATCTTTCTTTGGTATACGCTCTTTTGGTTTCTAGAATCGTTTTCGCAGCGCACGCAACGGAAGCCCTCAAACTTAAATAATTTTTGTAGTAAGCCTTCATCGATAAATTCTCCAACCAATTCAAAACAAATTTTGAATTCGAACCAGCAGTTCCTAAGATTAGCGCGTCAACAAACAAACAATCTCTTTAGTTGTATAATATTAGTAAAGATTTTTGTGAAGTGAGTTTAATAGTTTTAAGGTTTATAAAAAATCCAATAAGCTCAATAGTAGGAGAAACGCAAATGAACCCGAAAATTACCATCACCCTCAGTAAAAGTAGCACTTCAATGAAATTGCTTGTAAAATACTTACATAGGGTGTCCCACATGTCGTGCACTGCGCACCTGCGTACGCGGCGACCATGTAATTACAGTGTTTTATTAGCTGTCGTGCTTTACTGTGGGGAATCGAGAACTATCTATCTCAATTAACTGAGAAATAAATTGCTAAAAGGACGCCTAACAATAAATAGTTTTATAGACTTTTAACTGCATAAAACTGCAAAATAACAGTGAACTTAGATAGAAACAATTAAAGAAATTCATTCAAATACATAATTTAGATAGAAACAATTAAAGAAATTCATTTTTCACATATATTTATTTAAAAAGATACAAAATATCGCAATACGACCTTTTCCTTAAATCTATAAATATTTACTTTATATTTGACGACTGTATGAGAAACTAATAATAAGAAACTTCTCATGTTCACCTTTTCTACAACACCTATAATATACATGGTGTTTTATTCTCGTCAACGCCTTTCGAGTTTATTAATATTTATTATAGATAATTATCATAGCCAAAGTAGTTCTATTTAATTTTTCTATGAAAATTTCCCTTATCACTCCTTCAAATGCGTGAGCAACCAGTCCGTGCCGTTAATGAGATTATCCATTTCTGAATTCAAGCTGCTCAGCGAATGGTTGTCCTCGTACATGAAAACCCTGTATTTCACAATATACAATAAGTATCACTTCTTACCTGGTTTTACGTACGAAATAAAGACATCGATGTTCCCTCCTATGCAAAGTTGATTCATGATAGTATTAGAAGGAATGTCATTTCAAAAAGTTACTTATAACTTTTTTTAATAATAGAGGAAGAAGATGGTAGATGAAACCACCGCTGGGGTGTTTCATATCTAGTTCTATAGCATCTAAACAAGATGCACTGTCGGACCTATTTTGGCTGTTATTTGGAAATTAATAGACTGAAACGTGATTACACTTCACGGCTTTTTCATCGGAGGACGGTGGATCGTGACCCGGACGGAAGTTCGATATTGCTACCAACTCTTTAGTATCCAGATTTCTAGACGAAGATCAACATGTGTTAGAAAAATCATATTAGCCGTACATTGCTACCATTAACACCAACGAGACCATATACATGACATTTTACCTAGTCTTCACACCGTTAGCCTTAAGCCGCTTGGCATAATCCAAACCCTGATAGTACGGCACTCTTTTGTCGTTGGAGCCCAGCATCAGCGCCGTAGGTGCCTTGACTTTGTGCACGTGGATTATGGGCGAACAGCGGCGCATCGCCACCAATTCCTTCTCCAAGACTTCGCCAGACTCGTGATAGTTAAGACCAGCTTCTACATAACACCTAGTAACGAAAGATTGTTAAAAATATACCAATGTATGCTATAAACTAACAATAGAAAAGATGAGCTCATTTCAGGCCACAAACCATCAAGAGACTTGTCATTATCTGGAAATATGGCAACATTGACATAAGTTTTTCCAATTTTCGTTGAAATTTGATCCCTGGATTACTATGTTAGCACAATTTACTATTTATTAGTAGTAAAAAGAATGTACATACGAACAACGCCAAAACCAAAGCACCATGCATTAGAAAGCAGCACCATGGATCAATGAAAATTGTTAATGAAGTGGAACACGCCATTTACACAGATATAGTATGAAACACTTTTTTATTAAAATACGATTACAGACTCAAAAAAAATACGACACGTGCTGTTCTAACCCAGTGAGCTACCGTGTCTTATACATCGTCGTCGAATTTTTTCAATGTACTGATACATGCACCTATTTTTTAGCTTTCTTATTCCTTTCACCGATTGAAAAACCTCATAATCACACACACAATCCCTATAAAATGCTTATGTGACTAAATATGTATCTCTCCGAACTATGACACTAATAAAAAAAGATTAGGTCAAAATGACAGCAAGAAAACCCTCCATAACTACCACATACATATTTGCTTAAGCTCCCCTTTAGGGTATAATGTGGACTGGAGCATCTACTTCCTATAGATCTTAATCTTCACACGGCTAACATATACAGATTAGTATCATACATAATACACGCATAGGTACACATAGACAAAACCCTCTAGAGGATTTTTTCTAGTCGTGAAATGTTAAACCTAACTACATCAAACATGGTAATTAATATTTGTCACTTGTCTGTACCACCTTCGTTAACCACTTGTTGTGTTTTTAGCTTGATATATAACGAAACTCACCCGTCAGGATTATCAGCATAACTAACTTTCGTAGCCAAATCTATAAGGGGATTTCGCAACACCATAGCGCGGAACATATCTGGGTATTGTCCGGCCAAATGAGCCGCTAAAAATCCTCCATAACTTCCACCGTATAGCACAACTTTTCCGATTTTCCCCTTAACTGTATTAATAGCGAAGAGGGCGTCTTTTAAGTCATAGTCTCCTATGTGACCGATGAGCGAATGCACATTGTCATCGCCGTACCCAGTTGAACCACGAAAGTTCAAACGCAGAGTAGTAAAACCTATAGTAAATAACATACTTTCATAAAGTAATATTATCAAATAGTAGTAAACGAAGATTGTAAGATACACTCGGCTCATAAGAAAGAGAAAACAAATACAGTTTCTATTTTAAGTTTATATCCGGCTCGAAGGACCACTTTGTATACACCGTCTAGTAAAATGTTAACAAGTGCTCTATCATAAGACATAAATGAAATGAAATGTCCATTTATTAAAGCGATAACAAATAAAATGAGTGTGCAAAGACGATTAGTCAATTTATAGACATGAAGAAGCTTGCAAGCGACGACATAAATGCATCAATAATGAGAGAAAAAAAATAAAGCGACTGGCAGAGCAAACAATAAAAAAATAAGTAGTTCAAAGATTGCAAAAGAAGAACCAGTTATCAAACTAAATACGCCGAAATTAAGTACATATATTTATTTTACTCAAACTCAGTTATGAAGTAATAGTTTTTACCACACTTGTAAAATAGGACACGAAAAATCGTCTACCCTAAAATCACTTACCAATCCGGGATATCCGTTACACCGGCCATAGAGGAACAGTCGATAACCGGATTCCTGGCTACCACAGCCTTATAGACGCCCGGGTACTGCCCGCTCAGGTGAGCCACAAGGAAGCCACCGTGCGACCCGCCGTATAAGCACATTCTCCTTTCGTCGACCACAGACTGCTTTGCGACTTCATCTGTGGCGAACTTACAGTCGACGACGTCTGCATTGCCAACGCGCTTGGGTAGGAAGCATACAGACGCCTCACCGGCACCAGTTGAGCCGCGATAGTTTATTTGAAGACTCGCGAAGCCTGGAACATTAGGTGGCGTCTTCCAGAACAGAAGAGAAGGTCAAAGGCGACTATCGATACAGTGACAAAAATACTTTTTTTATTAGAAATTTCGTGCAATGGACATTTCACTTCTAATAAGCTAAAAGGCATGTATGATATATGAAGATTCTAAAGAGGCGAAATATACTCTTATTGAGCCTAATTTTCGAAGCAGAACACTTCAAACTTATTACAGTTAACAGTCCGTACGAAGGTTTTGTTATTTTTCATGATAGACAAGGACGCAGGCATGGGGTACACCTGGAGAAATATCTCAGCTATATTAACACCTAAACAAGATACTCTAATCTGTAGAAGGTGGATTTCAAATGATCGCGTAAAATCAGTACATAATAAATTTATACTTTGAAGGTATAAGCTACTTGAAGTGTATAGTCTCACCCAATAAGTGGAACAAGGCAGTCTCCAACGAATAGGCGTTGACGAAAGCCGAATGCGGTCCGCCGTGGGGCCACACCACTAGAGGGCGCTTCTCTTTTCCGCTTACAAGGATGCAGTTGAACGACTCTGATAAGACAATATTACATTTTGTAATTAATCCAGGCCTATACTTTTTAAGCTCTTGTTGAATCCTATATTTTTATCTTTACGGTACTAAAAATTTTGGGTTGCCTGGAAGGAAACCCTTGAAAGATAAGGTCGCAAGTCTCCAAAAAACATACAATATACAACAAAAAACAAATATACAATTTAAAAATCGAAATTGATTTTTTTAAAAAAAATTTCGACTCGGGCAGGACTTGAACCGGCATCGTCAGCTTTCCGTGCTGTGGCTCTACCAATTGAGCTACCGAGTTTTTAATATATTTTCAATTTTTAAATTATATAGTGCCTTCATGTGCAATAACATGTGAAAAATATTAATGTTTTCAAACGTTAATTATATACGTCAAAGTAATGCAAAAACAGTTTACTTACTGACGTCATCATCACAATTAGAGTGCTCCAGATGCAAGTACTCTGCCTGCGCGTCCTTCAGCCATTCGGGGATATTGGCGGGTAAACTGACTCGTTTCCATTCTATTGACATTTCGGAGCCACACTCCGGTAACTTTGTTACGTACAACTGAAACGAGGAGTTTGATAAATTATATAGCTATAAAGCGATGGCCTTGGAGAATGTCCGAATTAAAATAGACTATATTTGAATATATACACGAAATATATATTAAAATAATTACAAATAAATGCGACTAGCTAATTCAAACGAAAAATCGAGACTAACTAATAATTAATTTCGGACAATAGTGTCGGCCTCAGATACATGTAGCAATAATATGCATCAGCATTTTATATTGCAATGTGTGTCCCCACAGACATTTTTAAAAGATACAAAAAAGAGGGTAGTTGTTGAATTTTGTTTATTTGAAGGGAATTTATAACACGGACTGGGTGCAACTCTGACCAATGTTGCTCTACAAATTGAACATTCAATCAAAAGTAAGATTTAAACGTAAGTACGTTGAAACGTACGTATGAGATGAATATCAGTATGGAAAATGTTTTAAGAGCTGATTAAAGGGAAACTCACTTGTCCAGGTGTTGCGACATTGGAGTATGAAGCCACGATGACATCAGCACTTACACAAAGCACTGTAGTTGAGCCTTTGTCAACAATTGATATTTGGGTTATTTCCTTGGTCTCTGAAAAGTGCGCATAAATAATAATAACTTGCTTTTTTATAAACTTTTTTGGTTTGAAAAGATCTATATTGATTTTCTTATAATGTATTTTATATAGGTTTTGTCATAATATGTACGCATATAAATAATAACCTTAATACCGCAAGAAGACCCCCAGGGATGGATACAACAATGAGGATGTAAATAATATTTAATAAGCAAAGGCAAACATTATAACACAATATATTTAAATAAAATTGTTGGCTACAATCACTGCTTTAAAATAACTCACCCAAATTCAACACATAAGAATTAACTTCGTTTAAACAAATAGTGCTGAAAATCAGCCTTTTTCCATCATCACTCCAACATTTAATAGGAAAACTTGTTCCGTACATCCCGTAAAAGGTGCCGTTCTTTATAAATAGCTTTTCAGATACTATATCTAAAAGTATTTCTTCCTTAGTATCGTTTGTTTGTTGCGTACTAATGATCGATTCAAACTGAAAGGATTTAAAGATATCAGTGACAGTCAAAATAGGTAACCATACACATATAAATACTTTAATGGGGGCTCGGGAAAACAATGTTTATTCAAATAAAGCATTTTTGACGGTTTTAAACGCGAAATTCATCAAGCATTTTTTCTACCATACATCCACCACTAATCTTTTCAGCTTTAGTCCCGTTACGGGAGGGCCATTTGTTTTGCCTTAATTGAGATTCAATTAATATTAAATACGACGAATCAAAAAGTGAAAACGTAGTTACATATAAGTTTATATATTTCATTTTAAACCTAACTCCTAATACTTAAGTTTGCCTTATCATTAGGGATATTTACTTGTATCCAAGAGATATAAGAAATAATGAAACATCTTGTCACAATATAATACTTACATTGCTCTTACTGAGTCTAACGATCTGATGGCAAGCGTGGTGCGGCCCCCCCACTGTCCTCTGCAACCATACAACACCGCCATCTGGTGTGATACGCGGCGAACGAACCGATGCCACAGGCTTGCTCAATCTTCCTGAAAACGAATGTTTAAGCCATATTGATGAACTTGAAGAAGAACTGGAATCTTAAAGAACAGTAGTTCTAATGCCCAGGAAAATGATACATCTTTACATTACTTTAAAGGGTTTTTTTTTAATATTAAGATTTAGACTTTAGATTTAGCTTCATATAACTAAAACACGTTTTGTAAACGCCATATTCATTTTTCTAAAACTTATAATGTGTTAGCCTTGTGTTGTTTGTAGTCACATATTCATCATTCCCATCGTGACTACGGCTGCCACAAGGATCCGAAACAACGGATCCTAGTTCAAATAAATTGTAGATAAGTAAATCTTGTTTTAAACCGTTAAGTGTTTTATTTATGTGAGAAAACCTTAACATTAAAGGGGTGGTAAAAATATCGGTCGGATTGAGGACGGCGTTTCGTTTTCAATGTTCTATATGTCTAAAGCCAAAATAGATCGTTTAGATATAAAATGGCTGAGTTATTTTTACCTTACACCAAGTGAGCTGTTCTTGTCTCTGTAAACCCTAAATTATTTTTTGGTCCAAAATAGAAATCCAGGTTATTAGTAACATTACTCACTATAGACACCATCAAAAGACAACCAGAAAATGTGACTGAGCCTATTAGTGCAGAAGATGAGCCCGAGGCGACTCGGGTCGTCGATCTCCCAGACCACGCCAACTACGCCTTTTCCATCAGCTGAGAATCGAACCTGGGAATGTTACACTTATAAAATTAGTCATTAATTGCAATTGACTTCAAATCTTCACTCGATGTTACCTGCCCAGGGCACATGTTATCTGGTATTCCTTCTAGCAGAGTGACAGCCTCCGTTTCAAGATCACATTTGACTACAACGGAACGCCTCTTGCCAACAAGTTGTTCGCCCCAATCGGGCTTATAAATGTACTCTTCACCCTGAAACAGGAAACAGTGGGAAATATGTAACAAACGGTGAAAATTATTCATCGGATTAACTTGCAAGAACGGCGAAACGCGAAGGACGTCCTGAGTAACTACGTAACGTAAGCCATAAATTATAAGTTCAGGAGGTTGTTTGATAAATAACTATTTCGCGCAGACGACAGCTCATGTATATATAATGTATGAAATATATGTTCCTATTATAATAGAAACATTGAATAAAACAGCTCTACAGTAGCATACAGCCTCTAAGCATTCTATGGAACATCAATATAATCTTATTATCTTTAAAAGGGGTATTCCAAGGCTGTGCCACATGGAGAATAGTATGTAACAATGTAGGATGTTGTATAGCCATATTCTGCACCAAAAAACATCATAATTGTTACATATCAACAAATGTACTGAACTGACTCAAATGTACTGTACATACCGGCGTTATTTTCTTATCACCATCACCATTGTTCTCCTTGTCCACCAATTTTCTTTTGATATATGGCTCAGATTTCTTTGGTTTCTGTTCAGCTATATAAATCAGACTCTTTTCATCTGCTGACCAATCGAGACTACCAAATTCACCTATATATTAAAAAAAAATGTTTTTTGAATTGAATGTGACCGATATTTCTAGATTCTAGTTTTGCTCAGTAACAACAATTGCCTGTATCCCTCGGATTAAAACGTACTGAGACTACAACAAAGAGTTGGTCTCACAGAAAGATACACATAAAAGTATGTATTATAAAGTAGTGAGTAGCTAAATACTGTCTATAGTGAGTAGCTATCAAAAACATTACTTACCGTCAGCATAAACATCTCCATGTACGTCTAAAGCAGTGAGGTCAATAGAATGAGATAGACAATTCCGTGACCAAATCTCTAGAAAGCACTTTTTGTCTTTTCCATTCTTATCCTCACGGATAACTGCTTTGTAGGATTCCTTTGGTGATACTGCTGACAGTAACCTGTAAAAGGAAAACTCAAAAATTTATTGTAACTTAGTCAGGCTTAGAATACTAAGAGCTAATCTCATATAAAAATAATGAAAATATATCTTATATTTAATGACTTTAGCCTCTAGCGTTATCTAGGGATCCAACTTAGTTTAAATCTATGTTACATATATATGCATAATATTTAATATATTTTCCTGTACCAGCCAGTGATGACTTAATTAGAATAGAAATAGAAATGCATTGATTCAAAGACAACACAAAACATTTAACAAACATAATATAAGAAGAATTACAATTGTATAATATTGAATAATTAAAGAATACATTAAAAATAATGAAATATACAGTTGCCTCTGCAAAGCATCATCAGCTATGGTGGGAGAAGTCCCAACAGTGATATTCTGTGGCCCCATCAGAGGCGAAGCTAACGCAAGCGAGATAATTTTACATTCTGTCAATTACGAATGTTGTACATAAATTCTTACCAACATCCGAATTACATTAATTTATAGCTATATAGGTAGATATACTATTACTTAACAAAAATATATTACTTACAATTTGTGCATTTGCTTAGTTTTATTGGTTTAACACATAGGGATTATATTTACATTGCTAGGATTTTTCAAATTATGTTTTAATACTTGCTTAGTTAAATTTTCTATTCCTACTGACATTATTTATATATTTATTTATTTTAAAGCTAAGCCATCCATTACAGCCTCTAATAATAACTAGTCCTACATCTTCCTCTACTCTTGTAATACATACTCATTACTGATGTCAACTCCAAAATCACTTTCAGCCACAACCTTCAGGTCAGTATCTAGGCTGTAATCGATCATATACTGACTGTTTTTTCCCTTATCTATATTTCTCACAGACCATCGTGATGACACTTTAGTGCCATTATTATTCAATCTTGCTCCAAGAATTGATGGAATTTTTGATAAGGTTTTGTAGGCATTAACAATTTTCTCAATCTAAAATTAAAAAATGATACCATAGAAGAGACAATGTAGAAAACATTTGTATGCAAACTTTAGCAAGTAATCATCAACCTTATACCTATATTATTTTGCTTTATAGGGAGTAATAATGATAATGAAATATTTATAAAATAACAAAAAATATGTAATATTACAAAGTGGTTTTTAAATTTTAATAAATACCTGAGGAGACATATTTGTTTCCTAATTTACTTCATTCACAATGTATCCACTGAGAAAGTATCTGTAAGGGAAACAGAATTATTACTATAATTATTAAAACCACAATTGATAACATATCTCTATTTGCATAACTTATCAGCAGTTAGTAGTTGTACAAATAAGAAATAAATATATTACTTAGGCCAAGACAATTGATTTTATTATATGCAGAATTCGTTTAGACTAGAATTAACTTACTTAGCAGTATCTTCGTTCTCTCTGATTGCAAGATAAGCGATGCAAGTCGTGTATATTATTGTAATAACATCTAGTGCTAGTAATTAGTATATACGAGTGAAAGCCGCTTCTCTATGAAATTGCTTTGTTTGACTATAAATAAAAGTTATAAAACCTAATGAAAACTAAAAAAACGACCACCTATAGAATTACTACAATAACATCAACTAGTGCCACAGAATCTATACTACAGTGTGTCACAGTTGACTGTTAACATAAAGTCTGGTTATTTAATTAGTAGTATATTTTATCTGTGGTCACATTGATGATGACTGAGTTTAATATTTTTAATCTGTCGAACAATATAATATTGTAGATTTGTCACAGATGATCATAGAACCAAACTTTTGAACATATTAATTTTAGTTCCTAAATTCAAAATTGTGATCAAACTTAGTTTTACAAAGGTACTTAATATAGCGTTATTTACGCCTTATTAGTAAAGACGAGAATTAAATATGTTAAATTATAATAAATACAATGAACAACGGTCACCATAAGGTACCTAATGATAAATGTTTTTTAAAAAATAAATGAATTTAAAAATAAAAGATAATCAAACGTTAGAACTTGTAAACATGTACGTATGATTGATAATTATACTTATATCTAATTTTCAGGAAGCCGTTGTAAGGTTAAAAAAAGAATTTATATATTCTTGTAATATTTGTTCTAGAGCGTATCTCAAGAAGTATGACTATTTTAGACATATATTCAGTCATGTAAGTATTTTATACGATCTAGACTGCAGTGAAATATGAAAAAAAAACAAAAAATATTATTTGCATATAGTAAAAGTGCATAAATACAGCACTAGTAAATACCTGTGTGAAGAAAACAATAATTTTATTTGCAGGTTAATTATTGTTATGTTAAGTTAGAGAAGAAACAAATATATAAGTGTAAATACTGTAGTGCTGGGTATTATTCTAGGGATGATAGAAATTTACATCTTTTGCACCATGTTGTGGAAAAAGTTAAGTAAGTATTCTTGTCTGTTTTAAAACTTTACTAGTATCTACAATGTATTTTGAAGATATTTCAAATTATTTCATGGGTTTGGTTTTAGAAAAAAACGAATGAAAATAGCAGCTGATCGTAAACATTATGGAACTAATCACATAGCTAGGAGTTTAAAATGCGCTAAATGTAGTAGAGAATTTGTCCACGAGGATACTTTGAAAGAGCATTCTAAGTTACATGAACCATTTCCATATATCTGTTTTTGTGGAATTGGTTATTTGAGAGAAGCTGATTTCAAAGGGCACCAAAAGGTTGTTCATAACACTATTTACAAACCGGAAACTAAATCAGCTAAAACTGATAGTAATACCTGTAATGAAAATAAAGAAAATCAATCAAAAGTCATATATAAAGATGATTCAGAAGAGGAATTCTATGAAGATTATAAAACCAATATGTTGTGCCAAGATGAAAAAAAACCTTCAGAAAAAAGAAAAGTAAAATTGAAAAGACAAAAGATGAAAATGAAATTAAAAACAGAAAAGCCAAATGTAAAGTTAAAAGTGCAATGTCCTATTTGTGATGCTGTACTTTTAAAATATAATCTAAAGTTACATTTGGATATTCACTCTGATGTGAAGCAATACAAGTGTACTTTGTGTGACAAAGAATTTGCCCAAGCTGTAGGCCTGTACAACCACATGAGATCAGTTCACATGGAAAAATCTGATCAGAACAAATGTAACGTCTGCAATAAGGTATTCAGTACAAAACATAATATGATGGCGCACCAACGACTGCACACTGGTGAAAAGCCATATGTATGCAAATTTTGTAATAAACCTTTTGCTGACCGATCCGCACTGATAAGGCATGAACGAATACATACCAAAGAGTATCGATACTTCTGTGAAATTTGCAGTAAGGGCTTTACAGATAAGAGTGGGCTGATAGGGCACGCTAAACGTCACAGTGAGAAGAGTATGAAATGTGAAATCTGTGGTTCAAAATTTTACCAGAAGAGTGCCTTACTCAATCACCTTTACTGTGTGCACAGTCATCTGACACCTTGGGAATGTCACGACTGCGGCAAAAAATTCAAATTAAAGATGTACCTAAGTAGCCATATATCAAATAAGCATTTAAAGACAAAGAAGAATTATAAGAAAGTAAGGAAATGAGAGAACTTATTGATGTCCAAAGATTAAAAGCCGAATCTGCTAAAGGGAAACACTTTTTCACAGAAAAATCAAGTCTGACTAATCACTATCACTATCATAAGAAAATTTTAGGCTAAGAATAAAAATAGAATGATGGACGAATGACGACACACAGAAACATGAGAATTGAAAAATGATATGACACCTTTTCTGTATGTAAAGTACTGCAATTAGCAATGTATATTTATATATAATGGAAATTAATGTTTTATGTCTATTTCTGGCCCGGAGCGAAGTAGGTGCTTTCTTATAACCTCCAACTACTTAGGCTCTGAACTGTTCTAAGACTCACTAAAAAACTATGATTAGTAAGTTTCGCATGTTATATTGTCATAGAAATCAATTTTCTAATTTGTTCTATGACATTAAAATCCCTATTACCTATTTTTTATTCCTTTTAAACAGTATGTATGATATCCAGACTGAAATTATAATGTTTTTACTTTGTTTGTTTGTATCATTCTTGTATTATGTGTTTTACAGTAACTTTGTACAGAGACTAATATAACTTATAGATGCACGATGGACCCGTTGGTCCACCGATAGCAATGTAGCATGGCATTACTTTTCTTGAAATCAAAATAAATCTTATATTATTTGTTTATTGTAAATACATTTATTCGTACATCGTAACATTGGCTGGTTAATGGGGAATGGTTTGCAAATCTTTATTTGATTATAATAAATCTAAAGAGGTGGTTTCGAGCCCCACCACAGGAATATCCAAAGGCGAAATAGGTCGCTAGCTCATGTTATCAAAATATTATGTGGCTAGGGTGTTCCTCTTTTCATCCCCATGCTTTTCCGTCCTCTATCACAAAAAGAGGCTCTTACAACAATATGTAGGCGAAACTAGGGCTGAAAATATATATATGACATGGTATGAGAACGTTGCCCGTTGCGAAGAAACTTTAGCCAGGTAATCGTGTTTCAAAAATTTATTTTATGAACAGAGACAGTTTTCTCAAGATTCTCACTGCTTTCTTAATGTGCAATGTAGTCTTTTAGTATGTCTTTTAGTAAGGAAGGCCAAGCTAGTTTGATCAACATCTTATATGTAAGTAAAATCGACTAATCCTTGAAATGAACAGACATGTTTCATGTAAGAGAGGTCTTCAAGAATTACTGTATCTATATTAATATTACAAAGCTGTAGAGTTTGTTTGTTTGAAAGCGCCGATCTCAGAAACTGGTTCGAATTGAAAAAAAAAATGTAGGTATTGGTCAGAGAATTTATCGAGGAAGGATTTAGGCTATCAAACATTACGCTACGCCACCAAAAACAGTGAAGAAACAGTGGAAAATTGTAAAAAAATGGCAAAACCTTTTAACATCTACTTGCAAGAACGCCGGGACGCGACCGACCTCGTGCGTAACAGCTGTAATTGATAAGGACATTTGCAAAAACAAATTTTGATGCCTCAAATTACTGTTATACGCGAACGAAGTAAATAGTACTTATTTAATAAACTGTAATGGCTCGCTAGTGGGTTCGCAGCTTAAGACCTAAAAGTTACCGCGTCGCGTTACGGCGCCGTTCAATACGTCCGTTGCGCGCGTACCGTGCGCCCCGCGCGTCATTCCCCTTCACTCAGACCCTGCGGCAGCCCCTCATCAGTAAGCTTATCTACTCCGTCTAGAACACCCTTGCTAACACATTACAACACTTTGATTTCAATTCTAAAAAATGTTCTCATAATTCTAAACAAATTCGCGCCAATTTCTTTGACATCTGACCTGTCATTTCAAAAAAGGTTATATATTATATTTTAAATAATATAACTAAACTGTTCTAATAGCATTAATATATACGTTGTTTTATTATTCAATCAATACATATACAACGATCCAAACAACTTTGGGGACTAGTATTAAATAAAACAGCGGTCACAATGAACGAAATAGATTTGATTAAGGAAGTGGAAAAGCGGCCGATTTTGTATGATAAAACTGTGAGTGGTTTTAATAAGACGAAGCTGAGAGATGACGCTTGGAAGGAGGTTCAAGAGGCTTTGAATGTGTCAGGTAAATTAGTTTAAAAGTACAGCATTAGAACTTTTTTTAAAGACATAACTTGACTTAAAAGCCATCATGACTGTAAGACCTTCAGTAATAACCGAAAGTTAACTTTTATCACCCGAGCTTCGAACACCCTACAAAAGCCACAGAGTGATAATGTAGTTAATGCGCAAGCGTTAAGGTTGAAATTACATTGCACGAGAGGTGCATGTATCAATAAGTTAAAAAAATTGACGATGACGTGTAGGACTCGGTAGCTCAATTGGTTAGAGCAACAGCATGTAACGTTGTGGGTGCTGGTTCAAGTCCTACCCGAGTCGTAATTTTTATTTTATTTATGTACTTAGTGCCATCATGTGCAGTAACATGTGAAAAATATTAAAGTTTTCAAACACACAGTGATAAGCGTAACCTAGAGTAAGTGTAGGGAAAAATTAATTCTTTTGTAGATATTATAAGAACTAAACTAAGAAGATTAGACTAAATTCTTGTCACGACGTATTTATAAGGTTTCTTGTATTTTATAGAGTGGATAGTATAATCGTATCAAGACTTGTTAGAGGTCCCTTTTATTAAATACCGACATAAATAGAACTTCTGAAAATCTTGTTGCACTAATGTTAGAAATTATATGTGAAGTCGTGGGTTCGATTCTCATCAGGAGCAACATGTTTATATTTAAATAAACCACTTTAACGGTTTAAAACGCGATATATTAATTAAACTTATTTGGAAATGATTTTTAATGTCTCCCCGTGACCACGTCTGCTGCAAAGCATCCGAAACGTCGGGCCGAAGTTAAAAATCATTTCCAAATAAGTTTAACTAATATATCGCGTTTTAAACCGTTAAAGTGTTTTATTTAAATGTGTACTACTCGCGTAAACTATAGACAGTATTTAACATGTTTATATTTTTTCTGTTAAACGTAAATTCCGACTGGGCCATAAACTATTAACCACTGATAGAAAGTCGTGAAGTGTAATCGCTTTTAGGTTTCCAAAGTCAAAATAGGTTGACAGAATATCTTGTTTAGATGTTATATTTATTTATTTTAGCAATTTAGTAGCTATATGGCTGGCTTAAACTCCCACAAAACGAACATGCTTGTCTCATAAAAAAATATAAAGACTTCTCTTTGTGACATTTGCACACAGTACTATATGAACAGGAAATAAGAATACGTCTATACTCTATACAACTTGAAATTCAGTAACGCAAACTTTGGGTCGTGTGGTGTATTAGGGTACTGAATACCTAATACGCGACGCAACAAGTGAGAACTAACCCATGTCAAAATACACATACAGCGTGTTCCTAATCTACAGAAGTTTGTTTTTTTTTTAGAAGCGGAGTGCAAGAAACGATGGCGCTCCTTGCGCGACTCGTTTATAAAATTGCAACGAACCCACGGCGGTAGGACACGGTGGCCCTACCACAATGCCATGAGATTCTTACTGCCTCACGTCGAACAGAAGCCTGAAACACAGTAGGTATCAAATATTGGCTATGTTACATTCTTTCTATCTCTATCTATCTTCTTTGTTTGTGTCGGAGTTACCTACTTTTTAAGCAAAAGCAACATTTAACTTACACCTCCAATTTGTGTTATTGAAACAAATTTTTATAGCGTATACAAGTATATTTAAGATATTATTGTAGACGAATCCAGTCCAATTCGCCAATTCATTAACAGTGATATGACAGCCAACGACACGTCATGTCAAATGGTAAAAACCCATTTCATTCTTACAAAGTCATGAATAGCATACTTGGTAACAACCTATAACATATTGGTTAATGATGCTTATAAGTAAAATGTTCTCTCCACAGAACAAAACGGGAAACCTCCGACTCAGAACCCGAAGAGGAAGTACGTCACCGTCCAGGACAGTCACTTCCGGATCTCTTCTCAGAACCTCGGCTAGAAGACGAAGATGACTTCCAACCGAAGAAACCGCGCCTTAACTCCACGGACGACGAATGCCCGAGAACCGACCCCGACGAGCTTTTTCTACTAAGTTGTGCTTCCACGCTCAAGAGACTTAATTCAAAACAGAACGCTGTAGCGAGACTTAAAATACAACAGGTAGCACAAAATTAAAATATTATGTGACGATCTAAATAGCTGGAACGGCCTTCAGGCTTTTCCCTAACGAAACAAAATGTCTAGTTTACTCAACGGTCATATTTGGGATATCGTGACAAGAGAATTTATTAATTAAAAGAATATAATATATTTTATATGGAGTTTTACATTTCTAATAACCATATTCTATTAAATAACTATTAATATTCATTAAAATGTAATCTTGTCAGTAGCATTTAAGTAAAACTCCTTTAGCACTTTAAAAAGGAAAGTATTTTAATTGACTTTTAAAATTACTCAACGCTTCGGAAGCCTTACATCAGCTATGTTGATAGGGGGAATAGAGATAGAAGGTTTTACTAATGTTAATGTCAAATCCGCTACGCTAGCTCCATAGCTGCATCCTTTCAAAACTGACTCACAGTGTCCTCATGTTTATCGTTTCGCGTTTAAACCGTCAAAAATGTTGTATTGAAATTAAACAATTTGTATTTGCAGGTTTTATACGAAGCCGAATTTGGTACCCAAATGGAGCTGCCGTATGTGACTCCAGCCAGCGACTGTGATTACGAAAACGGGGAAGGATCAGTAGAATAACGAATAAAATAAATAGATAGACATCATTTTAATCTCGCCGTAATACTAAGAAACATCTTACATGACTTTTGCTCATAAATTTTCGACAGACATTTTGCGCCCAAACATTTATCAAAGACATCGAAATAAGAAAAGTTATTTTACTTCACAAATGTTATTTTTCCGAATAAAATAAGCTTATATGGCGCTCAGGGTATAATCTAGAATTGCATTAAAAACGGTACAGTAATTTTCTTAATTCGAAATAGTAATTCAGTTTTTCACTTTAGAAGAATCTGTTTCAACAAAACTTATGTTTGTATAGCTTGTAACTTCAATTTGGTCCTTTTACTCTATATAGTTTTAAGAACTAAATATGTGAATAAGCTGACTAATAGGAGTGGTGGGGGGGGGTTAATGGGGGGGTTGGTTGTGGGGCAAATACTGATGACACATACCTATGACAAGTTAAATATAATCCTTTAGTACAAAAGACACGTTCTATTATAACATTTTCGTTATAATAGAACGTAAAGATCTTTTTTATGATAGAGGAGAACAGACAAGAATATGGTGCACTTGATAGTTATGAACCTCAGCCATATAATATCTAAACAAGATCTGCGCTGTCATCCTATTTGTAGTTTTAGGATTTCAGCTCCTTCCCAATTATATTTTATCGCCATATTACACGATATACCCACATTTCAAACGTAGCGTAAGTTAAACACTGTCTATAGTTTACGCGAGTAGTACATATTGAAATAAAACACTTAAACGGTTAACGTGACCACGGCTGCTGCAAAGCATCCGAAACGTCGGGCCGAAGTTAAAAATCATTTCCAAATAAGTTTAACTAATATATCGCGTTTAAAACCGTTAAAGTGTTTTATTTAAGTAGCGTAAGTTATTTATTTATTTTTTTCAAAGATTTTAAAAATGGTGTGTGTACAAGCATACTTAGTAGTTCTTAATTTTTATTTAATAAATTCTGCACTGTTCCTTTTAAAAGTAGTGTTTTCTTTCATAACGTCTGGTCTACTTTTCGTTTAACACTAAGTGCGCTTTGTCAATTTTATAAACATTGCGAATATAGTTTTAATCTTTTAGGCAGGCAAAGTTTAGTAAGAAGCATAGAAAGGTTTTGACTAAATAATAATAATAAATCTCTTTATTGGGCATTCATTTTGTACAATCATTAGATGTAGTAAAAATAAATATAATTACAATAAAAAAATAATATTAATAAATGTAAAATAATAATACTACGACAAGATTAATTAAATTAAATTTTATTAAAAATGACGCCAAAAGGGTCTTTCGTCAGCATAAGTTGCAGTTCGGTTATGCTACAACACTGATTTTCAGCAAAACCCTACCATTAATCTGTTAGACAGCGCCCTCACAACCATTTGATATTATTTAACAGTGTCTTTAGCGATAAACATTAGGAAGTAATAAATTAATAAAAATAGAAATAAGAAATTACTGGCGTAAATAGGAGGGTGAAATTCTTGCTCCTAGCGGCAAAATGTTCTAATAAGTAGTTTAATAAAAATGCTTTGTAAATTTTTTTTAAAGCCAAATAGACTATTATAATTATGGGTTGGCGGTGGAATATTATTCCATTATTTTGTCGCTGTGTAACTGAACGTCCCCCTAAAGGCGGCCGAATTATATTTTGGAATTCTCAACACTCCTGAATTGAGGAGCCTTGTTTGGAAGACACCACGACACCACTCTAATTTCTTAAAAAGATAATTAGGTTTAGCATTTTTTATCACTCCAAATAGTAAAGTAGCTAAGTGCAATTCTCTTTGCAACGTCATTTTTAAGATCCTGTTTTTATAAATATAGGGTGTAGGGGGGGCTATATTAAAACAATATCGAGCTCACGCGTTCTGTACCCTTAGCACAACACGCAGCCCGAAAACTACGTCGCCATAATTTAATTTTGAAAGAATAAGAGCTTTTTGCGAAGCTCTTCGTTTATATAGTGGCATATCCGGTAAAGTACCTTTAGCCGATACAGACAGTTTAACAAGTATTAACTAACTAGTCTAAATCCGACAAAACGCGAGTAGTTTTTTTATAATAAAATATAACATTTTTAACGGCTCAAAACGTAAGATTTAATTGGTAAGTTTGTTTGTTTTGAACCCGATGTTTTCCTGAGAACACGTATGCGAAATTATAAATAAGAAACATATATATCGCGTTTAAAACCTTAATAATATCAACCGATTAAAGTGTTTTTTTAAGGCAAGTAAATCTTTCTTCATTAAAACAAGACAATTTCTTATGACGGCTATTGTTTTGGAAAAAACACGCTAGCATCACCGCGGGACGCGCGCATATTGTTGAAATAAATTAAACATGCGTAACACTTAACCGATTTGAACTTCGTATATTAGCATACAATTATAACATAGTTACATAAGGGCAGTAAGATAATGACACTCTCGTGACAAGGTTATAGGTCATTTAACTTTCACTGTTACTCTGCCAATACTCAATAGGTGTAAACTCTTTTCTTGATAGAGAAGGACAGATAACAATACGTTTGTTATGACAACCAGAAGGTCCTTAGATTAGCGTGTTGAAACAAACTCTTTAGTATTATTATTTTTGATTAAAACATATTACGTAGAAACATATATATCGTAAACATGGGTGTCAAATAACAAAAAGGTAATTGCTCTGCAATTAGTAATTAATTACTCGGAATAGATGACAATGCACTGATTTGTAAGCAATTTTCACGTCAACAAAATGAATTGATCTAAAACAATAATTAATTAATTGCGTATCAAATTACGCTACGTGAATCAATCCATACGTTTGATTTTCGTCAGTTCAGATTCGACTTAAAAGTTTAACCATATAACATCTTAACATTGTGCGCTGTCGATCTATTTATTTCCGAAATTTGAAAGTCCAGCGGAAGTATATTCAAACTTAAGTTTATAATTCACGGCTTTTCCATCTGCGGACGTTGTCCGTGACCCAGAGATTTCGATGTTCCTACCGCCCATGTAACAACGTTTGATGAACTACGAAAAACCAAAGCCAACGTTTTGTGTAGGTATTATATGGCTTTACCTAAGCCTACATCAAGGGAACCCAATGCTTTTCCATTCTCCTGTATTATAAAAAAGTATGTGGCATGTCTCTACCCCCATCTAAAATATAACCTTTCTTATACAATCCATGATTACCATCGCAAAGCATAATATAATGTGAAAATAACTTAGTAATCACATATATACAAAAACACTTCTATCGTTCTAAGATTCTAATGTACTGTGCATTAGAAATGGTTACAAGTTACGACTACTCTTTGAGGTAATGCACTGAGATGACAGCTATATTATTATCTTACATATAATCCTTAGCATCCGGTCTATTCTTAGTAGAATCTTTAGATAGGTGAACAAGGGCCACACTACATAAAAAAAGAATCGGGCCCTCATCCCCTCTTTTCACGTAGCTTGAATTTAAGCCTCTAAAATTATAGATAGAAATAGTTCAAAACTAATGCCGTTTCAAAGATAAACTTAGACAACCTCTAAGCTCTTGGAGCTTTGGCACCACCTGACTGCGATCGTTACGCCACATGTAAGAGAATCTTAAGATAATTTAAGGTAATGTGAGTTCTATGTTCATTTATACATATAATATTTTAACGGTTGCAATGTCGTCGTATCGATATTTATTCATCCATAATGTAAAGCCCATGCGCGTCTGCCCTGGTCTATCAACAGTTCAACCCTTATTCAGTCAGCGACTTCGTGCGCGTAGAATAGTTATTTCGGGCATCCAAAATTGCTTTTGCAAACTGTCCTAATCTACATCATCGTTCTCGTCCCGTCATTCTTGCGAGTTCATCTTAAGAGATAGACATTTTAATAATTTAAAGAAGAATCATTCTCTCATATTTATTAACACAACAATATTTTTTCAATTCGAACCGGTAGTTTCTGAGATAAGCGAGTTGAAACAAACAAACAAACTTTTCAGCTTTCTATATTTTTCATAGACGCATTTGTCTCCTGTTACCAGAACATCTAGCAAGAATACTGTACGTATGTCTTTATTGTGTAAATTGTTGATGATTAGTAATAAAACTACGTATTAAAATGCAGGTGTTTTATCTCGTGGTTCAATTAAATTGATCTGAGAAGAGCAAATTGCATCTAAGTAATTTAAATTGTTGTCGTTTCAGTGCCTACGTGAATTAAATTTTAATTAATTTAAGTAATAACTTTACTCTAGCTGGGGCATAGGTCATGGGCCATACACCAATTATACGCGTCACATGTTTTCATGTTACCAAAGGAATCAACGTAAAGTAACGCAATTTATAACTGAGCCATGAAGTTTTGTGAGGATATTCGAATGATTATAAATGCATAGGGAATCAATCATACAGGATGTTAAGATAAAACGGTTTTCCTATTAACATATTATGTATGTTTTTTTATCAAACGGTTTAGTATATTGTACATACGTTTTTAAACGTCAAGTTATTTTGTTCGCGATATTATTAAACAATATTAAATAAAAAACTTCTTAGTACAATCCTAATTTGATGTAAGTTAACGATGTATAAGACGATCTTTTCTAAGTGACTAAAATAGAATACATTTTAATTCGCTAAAAAAATTACTTAGAGTAAAATAGAAAAAAAATGCTTTAATTTTCTTAGTCTTTTAAATGATTTTATAAATAGATAAGCTGAGGATTGTTTTATTTACAAAGCACGGGAAAATGGCTGACAAGTGTTATCAATATACATTTGTTAGCCATTTTTGGCCCCTTTGGCGAATCGGTCTAACATTTTTTTTCATAAATATTGAAGAATTATATTGTTATAATAAAAATAGCAGTATCATATACATTTGATAATAAAACAAATGTCTACAAACCAAAATATATTAAATTTAATCTAAGATATCCACGTACAAAGTAACAGTAGGTAAATATCACATTTTGTCTTATGAGCTATCTAAAAATATTATACATCAATTTATATCTAAACAATTCACCTAACATATACAGTAACACATATAAAACTATGTGTTTATAATACTTGGCGAACGTAAGGTAAAGTGGATCCCGACCGATCGTGCAAGGTGATCTCTTTGCCGTACCTCTGCAGAAGTTCCAACACCACCCCGTTGGTCCATCCAAAGCCATCCTGGACTACGTACTCTCCACCCCCACCCTCATGCCCGGGCTGTACGGCACTATACTTCTCAAACATTTTCTGCCACGTGCTATAACCTAAGTAGTTGGCTCGCATCCATATACTCGCCTGTTCCCTGGCTAATTTCTTCGCCTCCTCATGTCCGCTGGCTTCCAAACCTCCTATCAATATGCTTTGGAGAGGAGGCCAAGCGTTTGGGTAATCCCATTGTTCTCCTGAGTGTAGTATCGATGTTGGCACACCCCCAGGAAAATCGAGGGCTCCAGATGACAGCAAATATCTTACCAATCGTCCCCCGTAACGTGGTGCGTCGTACTCCTCCACTGCTCCGGCCCACAGTGGCGTGGCACAGCTCGGATAGAAATGCCTCCGAGGGGATCTCGCTTGTGCGTCAAAATCATACCAGACGCCATCAGAATCGTCCCACAATACCTTGTCAATAGCGGTCCGCCAGTACTTTGCTAAGTTCCACCACTTTTGCGCCGCTCTTCTGTCTTTGAGGCGATTACGGAAATCCCCTACCAATTCTAAAGCCCCCGCAAAGATTGCGTTCAAATCCACCGGTACAATGCGTGAAGCATGAACATCTGTAAGCTTACCGATGACATCTTTACCGGCTGTTACGAACCATCGCGTTGAAAAGTCCCACCCGCTTTCCGCTGCACTTTTCATTTCAGAGTAGAAGGCTTCTCGTTTTGCGTCATCTGTTAGAACTTGTGCCGTGTAGTAGTCTTCATAATATGATTCTGGTCGTGGCCCATTTTCGCTTCGGTCGGCCATATACCGAAGTAGAACATAATTCTTTCCATCTATTTCTACGGTAACTTTCTTTTTCTCCAACCAATAATGCAATTCCTTCTCTACAGTTGGTAAATGCTTTTCGAGCCAAGCCAAATCACCCGTAGCTGCAAAAAAGCTAGCCATCATCGCTGCCAGCATGGGCGGTTGACTCCGGCCCAAATAGTATACACGGCTTCCGTTAGGAATGTACCCAATCTTTTCAACCAGATATAATAAATTTTCGATCATACCTCGAGCCGTTTGCGTCATATTACAAATTAGTAGACCTCGTATAATCCAGAAAGAATCCCAATAGTAGAGCTCTTTAAAGCGCCCACCGGGGACGATAAAACCGTTGGGTACATAAAGGAAACTGTATTGGCTGGGATGCGTATTGACATCGGGGTTCACTTTCCGGCCGAGTTTGTCCCAAATACTGACGACATTTTTCGCGAATTCGCGGAGTTTAGGATCAGCGATTTCTTGCAAAATAGACGGGTCCGGGTTGAAATCGGGTGGCCGCCAGTCTTCGAGTTCATTTCCTTCCGCGAAATGATGCTCTAAGAAACCGGCTAATTGTTCCCGCGACGGGTTATGCTCAGTTTTTTGCATCAGCTTCGCGAAGTCTGCGAGCGTTTCATTCTCAGGACGGACGAGCTTCAGATCGACGAAGGTTTTGGAGTCGGGGAATATCCTGGCCAGTTGCACCCGGTGAAGGAGTTCGCCGGAGCAATAGATCGAGGAGTTGCAAGCTGGAACGACCGTGAACGCTTGCGCGCAAGCGCCTAGAATTCCCAGAACCGGGTAGAGCGGCGCATAACGACGTAGATTGTTAATCAGCATTATCAGTCCGGCCTAGTAGGCGCTAGTGCGGAAGCGGCAGATAAACATAACCTTACTGCGTGCGCGTCGTAAGGTCGCGCGCAGCGTACTGTTGGTGCCAGCGAGCGGCACGCGACTGCCACTCGGTCCATCTTGTGTCAGCGCGTCCCGGGGCGGAATCCCATCTCAGCTGACGACTTTCACTGCGACCTAGCCAAGGCTGCTCAAAACTAGATCACTATCGAGAAAAACTGGAAGTCACGCGCCCCTTTCGCGAAGCGATCTCGCACTGTCACAGAAAAATTGACACTGCACAGTCATTAACGTCTACGCGGACATTAAACTCTTGAATAACTCTGATTACGTATGACTGACAGTACGCATGCGCGGAATTTTTTACGTCATAATGAGGATACATAACAATTTCTTCTTAAAATTCACTTAGATTTTGCCTTCATACCTTTATTGGTTATAAAATTAAGTAACAAAATTAATTATTTATCTTATTTTTTCATATTTCATAATATTTACAATTATCTAAAATCCTTTACCAAGTTACTTGTAAGTTGCACTGAAATATTGTAATTATTAGTTGACTTTTAGTTACTTTCATAGAAAACTCTAATGTAGCAATAAACATTCTATTATTTTCTACAAACAAACATGTAACTGCAAATAAATGGTAAGATACTAAACCAACAATACACCTTTTAACAGCCGCAGATATAAGTAATGCCGTAAATATATTGAAAGGCGCAAAATATTTAAGCAGAAGTGAAATTTTCCGTTTCATATGGTTGTGCCTACTACGGCCCGATGTTTCGAATGCTTTACTTAACACGGTCACGGGGAGACTGAAGATGTCAAGAATTTTTAAAAAGGAATAAAATACAACATAAAGACACAGCCTTTAATCACTTATTTGAATTCTATTAGGTATAATATTTTGTTTACTTTACAATATTTTTTATCGTCACTAAATAACATATATGTAATTTAATACAAGTTGGTTTTGTCAGTTTATTAATATTCACAATAAGTTTCACAAATGTCGATCTACTTTGCAATTTTGATAAACGTACTGACTTTTTCAAACATTTCCATATGAAAAAGCGTCCAACAAGCGTCATAATAAAAAAAAAAAATATGTGTAAATAAATCAAGACATATACTTCTTAAATTAATTACTTACTTACTTGTATTACTTGTGGTCAATATTATAAAGAAAAATATAGAGGACGGCAAATGGTTAATAGTTAATGGTGATGTATATTCTACGTTTAATACTTTGTTCAATTAGTCATTAAATAATCAAAAACAACCATTGTTCAATATCGTCACTAATGGCAACAGTAGTTGAATTAACTCTAAAATAAAATAGTAATAATAACTTAGAAATAAATATCATAGTACCGTTGTGTTTTGATCTTTTGATTTTTATCTTTCTTGTTATCTAGGTATCAAAAATTATCTAGAAAGTAATTTGTCAATGTTATGTAAGGTGCTATTAAAATTAATGGTGTGCTTATTCAATTCTCTTATACCTACTTATTTAAGGGACAATGTCTACAACACATTTATTACATATTTTAAGAATTCGATTTAGCAGATGCGTCTTTCGACTGATTTTTCAAACTAACTTCACTATCTGTATTTAATGCCGGTTCATTTTGCAACGTTTCATTTTCTTTATCTGCTAACGACATCCTCTGTCCGTACTTAGCTATGAACTCTAATATTACACCGTTCGTCCAACCGAAACCCGTCTGGACGGTATACTCCCCTCCACCCCCAATCCTCCCTGGAACTTCCACGTCGTATTTTTCAAACATCTGCTTGTTGTCAGAAAAACCTTTATAGCACGAACGCACCCAAGTCTGAGCTACGCGGAAACCCAATTCCTTCGCAGACGGTAACTCTAACGCTTCTAAAGCGTTAACTGTCAAACTGACAAGCGGCGGCCAAGCGTTAGGGAAGTCCCACTGTTCTCCACTTCGCACTAGAGACGTAGGAACACCACCAGGGTAATCTAGCCCGTGGGATCCTTTCAGGTAATTCAAAATACGAGGCGCGTTTGCTGCCACGAATGGCTTATCAGCGACGCCCATCCAAAGAGGAGCTACGTTACTTGGGTAGAAATATTTTCGGAACTTTTTATTCGCTAGGTCCCAATCGTGCCAGCATCCGTCAGCTTCATCCCACAAAACTTTTTGGATGTTATTGCTCCACTGATCGGCGAGATAATCCCAGTGTTTTGCCTTAATACGATTCGGTACCAATGATTGGAAGTAGGCCATATTTTGAAGGGCCTTTGCGAAGATGGCATTCAAATCTACGGGTATAATATCTGTTGAATGTATGTCAGTCAGATTGCCTTTGTCGCTTCCATCTTTAATGAACCAGCGAGTGGAAAAGTCCCATCCACTTTCCGCGGCACTCTTTATATCCACATAGAACTGTGTCTTTCGCTCGTCCGTCTCAAACATCTGAGCGCTCGTATAATCCTCGTAGTAAGATTCGGGTCGGGGGCCTTCGCTCGCCGCATAATATCGGAGTAAGGTATACGCTTTGTCTCCAATTTCGAAGGTATACACTTGCGTATCTAACCAGTACTGTAATTCTGCTTCCAAAGCGTCGATGTTTTTCTTAAGAAAATCGATGTCGTTCGTCGCTCGAAGGTAAAGTGACATCATAGCTGTCAGTAGCGGAGGTTGACTCCTCTGTTCGTAATACCATCTACTACCGTTTGGAATGTGGCCAAGTTTATTTACCAATTCAATCAAATTCTCTATCACGCCTCGCACTGTTTTTTCCATTCCACTGACTAAGAGACCTTCGATGATCCAGTAAGTGTCCCAGTAGTATAGCTCTGTAAACCGACCGCCGGGGATGATAAAGCCATGTTTGACGGGAATAAAACTAAATTGATCGGGATTATCGAAAACACTCTGTTTAACTTTTCTTCCTAGCGTGGGCCAGATATTATTGATATCTTTGGCGAATTTGCGTAATTTTTCATCACGGATCGTCGATAAAAATTGTGGATTAGGATCGTAATCCGAAGGCTGCCAGGATTCGAGTTCACTGCTTTTATCGAAATACTTGTCGACAAATTTTTCTACTTGCTTCTTGGTCGGATTATCGTTGGTTTCTTTGAGTAGATCATCGAACGCAGCCAGAGTGGACTCTTCATCGTTAAAAAGATGACGGTCAACGAAGGTCTTCGAGTCTGTGAAGATTCGGTGCATTTGAACATAGTGGAGAAGTTTACTGTCGCAATAGACTGGCTTCCGACAAGATGGGGGTAAGTTGACAGCTGTGGCTGCTGCAGCGATTATAAGCAGAAAAAACGCCACCATCTGGAAAATAAATGTAGTATTATTTGAATCTTCAAAATAAATATAAGAAAGGCAAGTTACAAGATAAGCAAACAATGCCGACTGTCGCGGGTACGAAACCCGCCTATAAATAGCTTCTTCAATCTTCTAACATTAGATTAAAAGGAAAATATGTCAAAAAATTAAAATCTTTCATTAATCAATGTAATCAAACAACTTTTTAAATGTCAGACTTGGATGAAATTAATTAGCTTGATATTAACAACACGTTAGATACAGGTTATAGGTAGCCAATCCCAATCATTACGTGTATGATCTACAGACAAAATGTCATTACATCATATTGATGTCATACAGACTGTATGACACTTTCTTTTATTTTAATTATATTATTCATTCGTGTAATAGGTTCTTAACCTTCAATTAACGCAGCGCTGGTAACGCGTACAATACATAAACACTTTATTAGTTGTACTTATTGTTTTGCAAAGCTTCTACTTACCTAAGCTACTGAGATGAGATAGTTCTTGTTGCGCTTCGTAAATCGAACATATCATATTTTCGAGATAAGCGTATTTAAGCAACCGGACCAACTTACGTAATGTTTAATTATTTAGTTTTTATGCCGTGGCCACAGTTGGAACCCCGTGACCACAAATGCTGGAAAGCTTGCGAAACGTCGGGGCGTAGTTAAAATACATTACTTTTGTTAAAAATAAGTTATCTGATATATTTTTCGTTTTATATCGTTAGAAGTATTTAACATAAATGTGTACTAGTCGCGTAATCTACAGACAACACTTGAAACAATACGGTCAATGTATTTTATTTGACTTAAAAGGTAACCAAGTCTAACGTCGCAAACCCATGGTTTTTATAACTGAGTAACCATAACAAAAAAAAAACAAAGTTTGACACGAATGTAATGTCTTCTGGTCTCGTACCGTTGTGGTCTTCCGATAACAATCTAGTTCTGGTACGCAATTTTCCTGGTATACTTCCGCAAACAAAAAACGTCCTACCGCTGTTAGTATGTAACGTATCCCGTGTGTTATTCCATACTTTTTTTTTTTTTTTTTATGATAGAGCACTTGAATCACATATCTTTTTTTGGTTTGGATATTCGGAAATCCACAGACTGCAACCGAAACGCGATTATACTTCAGGGTTTTTTATTCTGTAGACGGTGATTCAACCCATTTAATATACAGATTTTCAGACCAAGTCAACCATGTTTCAGCAAAAGTAAACATTTATTAGAATATATTGGACCTGGGGTTCAAACTGACAACCAGTGGTTGCCATTGTTACAATCAGACCAACGTGCCCGTCTTTATACCACATAGAGTTTTTAAGATAAATTAGACATTCAAGTGATATATTTTTGAAGTTTTTGTGCATTGAAATAAAACACTAACAGTTTAAAACGGGGTATATATTAGTTAAAGTTATTAGAAAATTAATTTTAACTACGGCCCGACATTTCAGATTTATTCGACGATATATATCACGTTTTAAACCGTTAGTGTTTTATTTAAATATGTAATATACCTACTACTCGCGTAAACTACAGACGGTATTTAGTTTTAATGCAAATTTATAACCACTTCTTCCATACTCACATTTCCGCGTAATTACAAATATAATCAAAATCAATGCCGCAATCTTGCTGGATTAACGATCTAACCTAATTACCTTGACCTTAGTAAAAACGTCTAAAATTCGTTCTCAATGTTTTGAGATGTTATTGGCACACCCATCGATATCCTTTTAGCACAAAAAATCTAATAATCACTGACAAGCTTGTAAAATAATAAATTGCTATATAGGTTTGTGTTATGACTAGATGTGTCAGCGACTTCGTCTACGTAGAATGGTTGTTTTGGGCATTAATTTTTTTTTTTTCAAACCTCCTCTTCATCGTATTAAATTTGAGATGTTATCCACAACATCAGTCGCGTGCCGTCGTTCTGCAAGTTAGTCATAAAAGATGGGCTTATAGTGTCGCAGACATTTTTTTCGATCATTTAAAGAAAAATTAGTCTTTTATATATACTTTTTGCATATTTCGAACCGTTTTCGCAGCGTACGCGACGAAAGCCCACAAATAATGTTTCGTTATTCATCACAGCCTCTATTTATCACAGTGCGACGTTTTATAGTCTTCCATCGATAATGGTCTAACCAAGACAAAAATATTTTTTTAATTAAAAATAGTAGTGCCTGAGATTAGCGCGTTCAAACGAAGAAACAAACTCTTCAGCTTTATATATATGTATAGAATATTCAAGATTGGTAATAAACAATTTGAATAAAAAAAAAAACTTTAATGTTTCCATATACATGGTGCAGAATCGAAAGTCCCTAGTCCCCACACTAGGGCAAGCCTGTGTCGTGGGTGACTAATCTCTTTCAGGTTACAATAAGTAAAAATATCTGAGCTAACTTATGTCTACTTACAATTAGTGTCTATTTAGGTGAATTTTTGCATGTTGCGTGTGTTAGTATGTATGAAGTGAGAGGGTGTTACGTATGTTGATAAAATATAGGTATCTAACAGAATAAGTGTGATAGATGGATAATGTAAGTTTACAATGCTAACGAAATAAACTTATTATAATTAGTAGAATATTGTATATGTATACGACAAAAATTACCTTTTTGGAACTAGACAGACGAGTCGGGTTCTCGGGTTTCGTAACTGTAACCATGTTTGCCGTGCAGTTTTAGCCAGCAAAAAATATAATCAATATTAATTTTCTATATTTTTATATTCATTGTTATATAACAGACATAGACAATTCGAGAATTTTTTAATATTTAGCTAGCGTGGTTCTTGAGATACAGCATGGTGGGAGACAGAAGACATACCCTAAAAGAGCCAAAGTTTATTCCAAAAATAATTGATAGTGTGTAAGTCTTCAAACTTTAAGATGCAATAATATAAGCTATAATAATCAATATGCAGTACTGTACAATCCACATTTATCTTCATCTAAGCACGTTCATTTTCCATGACCTAATAATACGTCAAACCATAAATCCTGATATGGATAATGATACTTGTGTCGTATAGAGATAAGCACCTATTGTCTATACTAGAACCGAATTCTGCCTGTAACGAATAATTTGAACTGTACTAAGTATTGAAGTAGTTTAGTTATTGTAAACGATAAGGGTTTACTTCTATCCCAAGAGAAACGTGGCAAATACGGTGGGACAGGGCACAAAGTATAATCTCACCTACTTGCCTGTAGAAAAAAATAATTTATACTAATATTATACAGCTGAAGAGTTCGTTTATATGTTTGAACGCGCTAATCTCAAGCACTACTGGGTCGAAATGAAAAATGTTGTGTTGGTCCATTTATCGAGGAAGGCTTTAGGCCATAACACGTCGGACTACGGCCATGAGGAGCAAAAAAATGGAGGGAAATATAAAAATATTCATCTTTGAGTTCTTCCGCTGCATACGCCGGGAAAACGATACAAGAAATCAAAAAACTATGTATGAAAGAAAGATCTTCTTTAAATGATAGAAAAATTGTGACAATATATGTCTTCTTTTCTTATCTTTTAATATATATATTTATATATAAATTCTATGATGCCCAAAATAACTAGATCACGCGAACGAAGTCGCGGACACAGCTAGCAGTTAAATAAAAGCTGCTGATGAACGGTGTCTAGCAAAAACCAATGAAACTCAACGCGAAGAATAAATAAATATAAATTTGCTTATTTAAAATCATAGTTGCATTGGCAGTGAATTTGTGCATAGCATCCTTAAATTTATCTCATTTTTCCTTACCATTACACCTTAATTTATGAAGAGCACAATTAAATCCAGTTTTATTGATCATTGTTTTGCATTTCACGAAACGAATTCTTCAAGGAAAATTGTGTAAGTTATGACTTTGGATGATTTGAAAGGAACATTAAGTTATTTGCATCTGAACAACAGTGGTGCCAATTCAAAATGAATGATAATTATTGAAAATTATTTAATTTACAATATATGCACATTTTTATAAATATATAATTTGTTTTATTCATATTAAACCGAGGCGTGGTTAGCGTGATCAATCTTTTCACCCATAACTTTCAGATACATTTTTTCCTATATTTGCCAGGGGGATTTCCCTACAAAGTTATAGCACTCTAAAATCGAATTATAATATAAGATTTACCTTTAAGGAAAACCATAATTTTATTTTGTTAACTCTTAATCTTCAAGTTAAATTTTTAAGTTAATGCATTTGGCACTTTTATTTTTCATCTAAATTTGACCATAGTTAAAAATATTTGTGTAGTCACGTAGTGCATTAACCAGACATATTACTGTGCCCGTTTCACCCGACCAAATCTATATATTATTCTATTGGCGGAACTCGAACGCAGGTCTCCCGTGATTACACGTAAGGACAAACAGATTCATGTTTCTGCTCATGAACAAACAAATTTAACGGTTTAAAACGCAAAATATATCAGATTGCTTCATTTTAATTTTATGCCTATTCTTAATTAATCAATAATAGGTATCTTAAGAATGTTACCTCGACTATTTAAGGTTTCAGAGACCTACAGACAAGAAAATAATTATTCAAAGCGTCGCGTGAATTTGAGGATACTTGTCACCGGGCCTTCTCCGTTCTGATTCATTTGAGGGCCACATCATTGACTTGGTGTCATTATTTTGTAAAGCCGTGGACCGTTTAGCACATGATAAGCTATTGTAAATCTTTGATATCTATTATTTTTTTAAAGTAAATAAAACACTTTAACGGCTTAAAACGCCATATATATTAGATAAACTTATTTGAAAACTTATTAATTTAACTATTAAATTATTTTAACTACGGCCCGACGTTTCGGGTGCTTTGCAGCAGTCGTGGTCACGTGTCTGTACTACTCGCGTAATTTCGAGACAGTAACTATTATTTTTATTATAACATTACTTTAATTATTCAATGTACTACTTGAATAACTAAGGTACACTGGATACGCACTATTTTTATTATAGTTACTTAATATGTATACCGTATAGTAACTACCTACCACGCCCTCTCAATCATCAAGAAAACCCTTAATACTCGTAATAAGAATATTATTCCGTACTAAGTTACTATCGATGGATTTAAAATACCGAGTTACGTACAAAAAAGCCTTTTTTTGACAAATTTTAATTCACGCTTTTTCACGGCTCGCTTACGTCAACTTCAACCGATATTTCTTACTTATTATATTGTGTTCACAATACATAATATAATATTACAATAACCGTGAAACTGATGAACCGTGAAGTGTGAAACTTTGCTACTTGCCTGCACTGTTGAGGGCATTAACAACAATAGTAATAGTCAGACATTTTAAATACTCGAGCTGATTTTTACTACATATTATATAAAAAAATTCCCCCGTTTTTAGAAAGAAAAAACTTAATTTAAATTCAATCGGATAGTAGAAATGTAGAATAATTTTTAAACGGTTTTAAACGCGGAATATAATGCCTAGATGCTTTTCAGCAGTCCAAAACAACGGCTATGGCTATGCATCTGATGCATTCCCACAAGTTAAATGTTCTCCATTGGTTACAAATAAGTTGACAAATACATTTCACGTTTTAAATCGTTAAATGCACTCTACATCCTCGTGTAAACTACAGACAATATGGAATTGACAAGACCGCAACCATGTTACAATTTTACATTACTTCTCATAAATGATGGTCAACGTTACACTAGTCGGGGAAAAACTCTTCAAAATAAATGACAAATAAGAGTTCTATTATTATGTTGTTATCGCCCGATAAGATATGATAAAGATCGTGGAACACAAACATGTTTTTATTTCTCTTCCTGCAGTTAAGACACTCATATGTAATTGAGCTTCGACTAAAATTATATTCTCATTAAGGGAATGCGAGATGGTATCTTGGAAAAATAATACGTTACGTACACCGATCCTGACTTTGCGATATTACGAACGAACTAGAACCAATAATACAAAATATATACACTAATATATAAAGCTGAAGAGTTTGTTTGTTTGAACGCGCTAATCTCAGAAACTACTGGCTCGAATTTTGAAAAAATATATTGGTGTTGGTTAGAGCATTTATCTTTATATACTTATAATCGTAACATCCCGCTGTGACTAATAGAAACGGGGAAAATTATTCGTTTCAAGGTCCTCAAAAAATATGTATAAAATAACTATTCTACGCGGTCGCAGTGGCTGACAGCTAGTTCACTATATAAGTATTTAAAATGTTTACAATAATACAGATGATACTGTAGTACTTTCGAGCTGAACGGTCGTAGTAATTGAGAAATGGCCGCGAAAGCCTTAAAAACAAGTTAGTTACCTTTTCTAGCGTTGTATTAAATAAATTCGAACTGAAGAGATTTATTTTTATTATTACAAATGTTTTTCACGATAGCTGTCAAAATCAAGTGTTGGTATGTACTTGAAAATGATAAAAATGTAATGTTTCACGTTTATACGAATAAAGAAATGATAATGTTATACAATTACACAATATATTTCTATTATTTTTCATAAAATGTATTATTTAAATAAATGCAATGAATGTAGGCAAACAGAGTTATAAGAAGACGTGTATAGTTAAATGAATTGAAACCACAATAAACTAGGTTCCAAATAGATTAAAACGACTGGCAACAATTCCGAATATTTTTAAGCGTGTATCCCATCCCCAATATGGGACCACGGGGCAGACAAACAAAGATGTCGCACTTTACGAAAACCTAGGTAGGTAAATATTTAAAACATAGTTGCACAGAGCAGTTCTGTCATAGAAAAAAAAATGTATGTATTAAAAAAATGTAGGTATGTTTTTATTTGTTGCTATTGTGGCTGTCAACAGCGTCAAGCAGCAGTTAATTTACTAGTAGCGGCATTTTAGCGACCCTTAACGTAATAATAAATAAATACAGAAAGAAATAATTATTTAAGGTTTATGAACAAAGAAATCGCGTTTTAACTCGTTTAAAACAGTTTGTAGTGTCCCACACCACTTCAGTAATTATTTCAATAACGTGAAAATTCATTTTTCATTGTATTATCAATATTATAATTCGTATCGAAAGCAGTTGTATTTTACGAATTACCACTTTTTTTTTTATAATTCGTATCGAAAGCAGTTGTATTTTACGAATTACCACTTAAAAGTTCGTGACAATTCAGGAATACAAATTACTGCTTTTATTACCTACATTCTTGTGCGAAATCATAATAAAAATTTATAATGTCAACTTGTGTTCAATATTGTATGTACAAAATCTCGAAAATGTACAGATATTTTAAGCACGAGGTGATACATGAAACAAATAACGGACCACAAAATAAAGAAATTTCTAATCTTTACCCTATTATTGTATTGTATATTTTGTACTGTAGAAGATTAAACCCAAATCAAGCAATAGTAGGTAAAGAATAGCATTTTATCATGTATGCAATGAGATCGGTACCTTTGGTATACAGGAGGTGTGCCAACAAGTCCTAGAATATAGTTTTATCTACGAATTTATATATAAACATATGTATATAAACCGGTCAGGTGTATATAATATTCTATACGGAAAAAGTGAATAAATTAAAATGAATGAGACATTTTGATAGCATTTTTTTTTTATTGGCGCTGCCATTTATAGAATATTAATTTGAGCTCATGGAGCTGGTGTCTGGGGCACACTAAGAAGGCCATTCTTAGAAAGAGAAAAGTATGAGAGAATAGAGTTTCCGACGTTGTACTTACTGAACGACTATAATGAAGTCTACCAGACCCCCTGACGCGTACAAAGTGTAAAAGGTATCTTCTCTTTGGAAAACTATATACTTAAGAGTTAAAAACTAAATACAAGATAATTCTGACATTATACAAAGCTGGATTGGAAAATTCTGACAGGGTATATATTGGAGGATAGTCCCTCATCCACATTGCAAGGTAGTGGCCATCTTATCATCTCGTTTTCATGTCCCTAAGGGTTTGTCGTCCAAATATATTCATTGTTATTATATATTTTTAATTCCATTCCACAACTGAAGTGAATTAGAAATTTCCTAGACATAATTTAGATATATGACAAAACAACATTTGCCGGGTCAGCCAGATCTTTATATTAACTCGAATCACAATAAAAATAAGAATCAAAGTTATCCGCGGCCTTTGATAATGTTACCTTCACGCTTAAAAACGTAGACAATATAAGAGCCTTAATTGAATTTAAAATATATTTTAATTATACTTGTCGTATGACGCGAACTATTTGATCATTTTTATTTGCTTAATTCGAGTGTTTGTTGTTCAATTATCGCGGAAAGTATAAAATTTTATAAATATCTTGTCAACAAGTATCGCTAGTGTTATTCTTTTGTTTATTTGAAAGTTTAACAACCTGAACTATTTAGGAAGATATTGAAATACGTCAATATAATCTTAGTTACAAATTCCTCAGTAAGAAATTAACTGTAGGGCTCGTTACCCTAAAGTAATTTTGGTCGATTGGTATTACAATGGCGTAATTAATTTAATGAATTATTTGTAACAAAAACATGAAACTGTCCTCAAACTACCTACCTTTTTGATAACAGTTAATGCGCGATAATAAAACGTACCTTGGAAATTTGCAGAAAATAAACACCGCCACTTATCAATACGCTAATTTTCGAAATGAAACTTATCGCATTGTTTCAAAGCGAACGCGACAACGGTCGGAAGGAAACTGAATCTTGGCCAAACCGATAATTATCTAATAAGCACGGCGCAGCCTTATCAAAGGTGCGCACGCGACTGTCAAAATGGTCGCTAGATGTGCTCCGCAAAGCTCGAAGGTTCTTCTAGCAAGGCAGATTAAAAATTGGATATAATAATTTTACTGCTCAGGGAGATTGTTAATCTATGCATAACGTATTCTCTTCAAAAGCATGCAAAACCATTTGTATAATTAGTTCAGTTAATTGATGTATTAGTATTTTATTTTCTTGAAGTATACATTTTAGTTTCCTATTTTATTTTAACCTAGATTTTTTACTATTATATTTGAGATATTAGATTTGCAAACTTTAGTAAAAAACATAAACATAGTTTCATATCTAAATTGTACTCGGGTATAAGAAATGTGAAAAGATCTAGAGTCAATAATGTCTGTAGTTTAATAAATCCCTTAATTTTTTATACAATAAAGAATGGTTTATTCGTTAAGTTCGTTATTATTATTATTATTATTATTCGTTAAGAAGGGCAAAGTTTTTCTAGAATTATTTTATTGATAGAACACGTCCTAATGTAAACAAAGGCTTTAGTTTAAACACGTTGCACGTCTTCAAAAAATGATAACCACCCTGGATTCCTAAATCTACGCTAGCATTATGTTGAGGCAGGGTCTTCGATCTCCAGTTGTGCAGTAATTTCAGCTTATCAATGCGAAAAAGTGATCATGGTTTGGTTTCTCCAAAAACTTTTGCATAACCTAAAAAACACCTGTTTACTAGTATATTATCAGAACTAACTTATTCTGAGTTTAATTTTTATTAAAACACTTTAAACGGTTTAAAAGGCGAAATATATTAGTTAACTTATTTTTATTTAAATAAAACACTATAACGGTTTAAAACGCGATATATTAGTTAAGCTTAAATACTGTCTATAGTTTACGCGAGTAGTACACAGTTAAATAAAGCACTTTTAACGGTTTAAAACGCGCCGCGATTAGCCCTACGTCTTTTTTTGGCGCTATTCGGACACAAACTGGGATAATGTTGTGGTCCCGTCATCTCTTGAGGAAATTTAAACCGTTAAAGCGTTTTATTCAAATTAGTTAAACTTATTTGCAAAAATGATTTTTAACTTCGGCCCGACGTCTCTCCAAATCTGCGGTATGCCATCCGAAACGTCGGGCCGAAGTTAAAAACCATTTTTTCAAATAAGTTTAACTAATATATCGCGTTTTGAACCATTAACGTGTTTTATTTAAATGTGTACTACTCGCGTAAACTATAGACAGTATTTAACTTATTTTTAATTAATTGAACTACCTTACTATATATTTTTAATATATTTAGTGTTTTAAACTGTTAAAAAAGTTTTAATTTAATTGGGTTCTATACTACAATACAATACATTGAATATTGAACGTTAACGGATAAAAACACATTTTTTAATAAGTACCAATACATATTTTAAAGACAATACAACTGGGGCTGAGTAAGTCAATTGGTAACGATTATTGCGGGTAATTAGGAAAATCTCAAGGACATTGACAACCGTCTAGATAAGTGTACCCACTTAGAACTAAATGCAACCTTATTTCTCTTACATTTGCAAGGTAATCGTACATTATATGATTTCTTAGATCAGGGTAGACTTATAAGTGTACGTGAATCTTTCACATCGCTATGTAAGGATATATACATGACTATGATAAAATATATGGATTCTTATTGGCTTGAGAGCGTAGAGTAACAGCATTGTACCGTGTTGGTCGTGGAATCGAATCTCGTTCGTTCAATGCTGCCACATTTAATATTAGCTTTTAAAATAATTCCTTAAAACACCAGCTCCTCAGAACACCAACGCTGTGAATGCCGGTTACAGCCCTGGCCGTGTCGTCATTTTTTTAAAATCAAAATTAATTATTCCTTCAATTTGAAAATCTTATTTATTAAAATCATGCCGATGACTTTAAGAATGTGATGCGTAAACAAACAGATGAGCAGGCTGACATAAGAAAATTTAAACTACCATTTCAAAGTATTATTAAAAATTACATTAAACAATATTTAAAGTATAACTTTATATTGAGAGTAATAACTAAGAGTTTTAAATATGTTTTTCATTAAGATGGAGGATGGATTTTTCTTTATAGCACAGAATTTTATAATCTGTCTAAACTAAAATACATAATTGTATTTTTTATTAGAAACAACACTTCTAAATTAATTGACGTTCGTTGGCATCCTAATTGGGTTTCGCCAAAAAGGTAAACGTGTTATGCAAATTGATTACAAAAGAAAAAAAATCTAATATAGAGGATTTCGGCAAACGCGAACTTGTTTCAAGGCTCGCTAATCAATTAATATATTGAACTTCATTTATAATAAAAAAAAATATAACTTTTTTTTTGCCTGACAAAAAGAAAACATATTTTATTATGTATACAACTTGTAATATTACTCTATAACGTAGAACATACAACTTAGAACTCAAAATACTATTGATTTGATTATAAGGTATAATTTTGATAAAAAATTGTTCAATACGTTAAATATGTCAGTTATCTTGTCTACACGTTAGCTTAAAGTCAGTAGCTCGGTTCAAATCCCGTCCGTATCATTTCTAAATGGATTTTTACTTTTTATTAGATAAAGAGATTAACTTTTTTTTTAAAGGTAGGTTAGGTTCGGCTTAAATAAGACGACAGCGCATCTTGGTTACATGCTTTATGGATCAAGTCTAACCCCCCTTGGCACGGCCACATTTGCAATGTTTACATACACTATCGTATATGGTAATTTATTCTAATAGCTCATAACTATCTGTCATAATTGAAGGATTCGAACTAATTTACGGCTCATCAAACATACATGGGGGTCTATAGGGGCTCGTCTCGCTCTATTCGTGCTTTATTTGAGCGCAATTAGTGTCAAAAGCAATACTAGTTCACATATTTTTGAGATAAGATTCCGATAGAAAATCCTTAAATAGCGAGATATTAGATTTTTGGAATCTAGGACGGCCAGAACACACACTATGTGGTGGTAGTTACTCGTTGCTCCAATGGTAGCTGATAATCAACAGAACGTGAGTTCGATTACCATCGGCTCAAACGTATTTCCAAAACTCCTTATACTTTTGCTTTTCTTTGTTTTTTACTTGAAGGAATCGAATCTTCACTGACGTCCCTGCCTTGCCACATGAAGTGGCAGGGGGAGTGTGGGGGTCAGCCAGCTTGCCTACTACTCAGTAAACCTTCAAGGGAGACTTGCCGGGCGCGAGCGGGCGGTTAGATGCCCTTGACGTGCATGCACGTGCCCCTCTGTCCTGTGGCATGCTCCGGCCAGGGCAGTCCTCTGACTCGCCCAGGCCGGGCATGCTTCCAAAGTGTGTTGCGCCGTGTCTGAGGCACCACAGTGGTGGCGGGAGGCAGTTTCCTCCCGCCGGACCTTATACTTTTGCTGAATTTAGATGTTATAAGGTATATTACTATACACTGATATGCTTGTGTATCCTTCTGTGTTATAAAAAAGAAGTAATATATCATCACGCTTTTTAACAAAGAAAAATCCATTACCTATGTTCCATTTTTGTTCTGCCACGGCGCTTGGTTATCATAGCCAAGTTTTCTCAAGTCCTTTGACACCATAGATATCTTTATAGCTACATATCCATAGGACTCTGTCTTCAATACTGAAAAAGAATATATATTATACAGACAGTAAAATGGTCTTTAATCTGTCCGTCCACCCTCATATGAGTCGGAAAAGTCTATATAGTCTATAAAACTAACATAATATATTATACATTAAAATTACATTAATAAGTTCAGTTTTTTAACAATCACCAAGGAACAACTTCATAAGATTAATTCAGTTATCACTAACATTTTGGCTGCAAACAGAGAACCCAATGTCTTTTACCAGTAGCTAAAAACTCCAAGCAGCAAAAAAATCAAAAGCACACTAAAACATTGACATATTTTAAAGTGATTTTTAAAAATCATCGCAAATTGTATTCTATTAACAGTAAAGCATACACAGAATAGAATTAAGACCCAACTTTTTTCAAGTCAGTTGATAATTAGTTCATCTTACAGTAATTATCTTTTCCGCTAGTCAGCATTTTTGGGTCGGCCAATTCAGGATGTCTCCCTGTCAACCAGGACAACCACTCTCCAAGTATTGTGGCAGACTGGGGCCTCACGAGCTGTGAGATCAGCTCTTGAGGACCAGTAATAGGTGGCAGTAGAAACACAGCATAGCCTCGTAAAGAGTCACCCAAGAAGTAACTCTTAGCTCTTACTGTCACTATCAATTGTGGCCCTACAATTAGACACCCATATACATACACATCATCGATTTACATACTACTTACACAGGTAATAAATAAAACACATACAACCAAACACATTTGTACTTCCGAAAACCATTTCTAATGGTAAATTAAAGACAACTTTTTCGGGATCCTTTCCTGAACTAGCGAGTTGACTTGTCCCAGAACATAGCCCAGAAAGGGGCTCCCAGTCAGGGCCCCAAACTATATCATATTGAATATATAATTGGTTATCGAATACACCAGCAGGAAAGACAGCAAACTCAATTTGACCACTAAAAGACACTAAAAACTTAGTCCAAATATTATTTTCTTTCATTTTTATGCAAATTTTAATAGAAATTATGGCGAAGTAAAGGAATTATTTATATCATATTTTATATAGCACTCGACTTGCAACATCTATTTAACTATAAATCTTATAAGAATTAATACAAATATTTTAATCCAGGTTGACTTTGTTATGGTAAACGTTGTCATGGTAACAAGTAAACTGTCACAAGTATAAAGTGTTGCGGTTCATAGTATTCATATAGTGACAAAATTGCCAGCAAAAAATTAATTGAAATGTAATATAACTAATTGTTTTTGCGGACATACATATCTTATAGGGACAAATTTTTAAATAATAAAAAGTGAAAATTAAAATAGTTAAAAGTTAAATGTATTTCAATAAATAACCATAGACGTTAAACTCTATATTTCCGTTACACTGTTTTATCGACACGAATAATTTCGCAAACATTCGCAAGATGGCTCTGATAATCTTTCAAAATCCCAATCGGCCACCATTGTTGCGAGTGAACCTTGTGCAAAGTTTTAAGAAGTTTTCACTTTTCTCGAAATAATTAGTGTATTTTAAGCCTTTTTATGAAATATCAAACTAGTAAATTCTATCAGAATCCAAACAAAACATCAAAAGTGATCTCTAGTTCATAATTACTTACACTAAACGCATACAAAATGTCACGCGAAGTGAGCATCAGATCTGTAAAGACCATACCACACTCGAACTTTATGTGATTTGTAGTGAAATAAACGTGTCAAATACAACGAAGAAGAGTTGTTATAATGTTGTGAGGCTTATAAGCGATGTTCGACGATTGTGTCAGGAGCCTGTGTACATGAAAACGTTTAAAAAATTTCTGTACACGTCGTATGGTGCACTCCGCAGTTACGCGGGTGAAGGCTTGTAATTTGCCGGTATCATTATGGTGGACTGAAGAAGTGTTGTTAAGCATCGGAATTAAAAAAGTGTTTACAGTGCCTCGAAGGCTTAGCGCAGGATGTCTGGCGGCTCGCAGCACAATCCAAACGGGAGGCAATCACAACTCGGTCCCGCTTGGAGCCCTTTACAGGTGACAATAATTTTTTAAAGTAACTCTAACCTAATGTTACGAATTAACGTTGAATTGAGGCTTCATTACATTCGTGAATATTTAAAACAGCTGTTAAGAAACCAATTAGCTAATAAAACGTTTGTTATTATTCAAATATGCGTAAATGCAATACTGCAATAGCAAGGTATGAAAATCAGCTGTTTGTAATATTAATGTTGACACTTATGCTCCACTTAATGTTGCCATAATTCACACAATTATTAAGTTTAGAATGAAAACAATATTATGTCATAATCTTTTGTATAAATTAACATTATGAATAATTTAATATACCTTAAATATTTACTAGAAAAAAGGAATTAGCAAAAATGTAAGTTTAATATATTTTACTAAGTTTTTTGCCAACATTTTCTTATTTAGTTTAGGTTAAATAAGGAAAATTTAATGTACATAATATGTCCAAAGTACACTTTATAGTAAATAAAAGTGGAACATTTGATTAGTGAACATTTGTTTTTTATTCTTCTTTACTGACCTTAATTATAAAAACAAATATAATTAAGATATTTTTCATATATATAAATGACTCCAAATTCCAACAACATTGTCTGATATGTAGCACCTAATTTATATTTTTATATTCAGATTTCTTAATTATTAAATAACATGGCAGAACCACTCTGATACTTAGAGCTTTTTTACTGCTAATGGGTTTTATGTTTTCTAACCCCTTAATTTAAGTGGTGAATTTTTACATATCCTGAAGCTATTTTACTTTTTTCAATACTTAAAATTAAATGAAAATCTAAAAATTTAGCCCTGACAGATATGATATATATGTTTGAAATATATTCTTTAAGAATAGTACCAAAGCTCTATAATTGAGTACTAATTGTTATTCTTTAACAAAATTAGGATTCTCCAATCACAGGGCAGGGATATAAGGCCTATTGATCAAGCATTTTGTATAAGAGTTATGTTTGATATTTAGTCGTTGGAAGAGCATTCATCTTTTGTAGTTCTAATTGAAACCTATGTGAAATTATAATTAAGGTTATCCATGCTAGACTTCTAGATCTTCTACTTCCCAAGGATGGTTGTATGTACACTTTTATAGCCGGATAAAATGTTTTATTTCAAACTCTTATATGAATGTTTACATTCTTGTAAAGGTTTTAAAATGCAAAAGCTTCCTAGTAGTATATAATCCACATACTAAAGATTGTTATTACTTTTTTAATTTAATATTGTAGATAACTTATCTTAATTCTAATTGATGGCCGCCTAAGAATTTAAAAAAGATATCAAACACAACACTATTATGATCTCATGTATTGCTTTTCTAATATTTAGGGAATAGTTATATTGTTTTAATTTAGAATCCCTGGCTGTAAAGAAAATTACCTGCATCAAACACAAGAATGAAATGTTGGTCAAGGTTAATTGTTTCAGTAAAGTCAAAGAGGCTTTTTTTGAGCTGTTTGCTTGTTGGTCCATTGGTGTATGACTAATAATGTACAGATTATTATTCAAACCAATATGTGTTAGGAACGTCGAAATTCCATCCGAATTATGATCCACCTTCCATAGACCAAAAATACAATGAATTTTAATTGCATGTCGGTTTGTGTGAACCCTATGCTTTTCTGTTTTTCTGATCTTCATAAAAACCCAAAAAGGACACATTATAATAAAAAGATATCAGCTCTCTCCCCTAGGCAGCATTCAACAAAGATAGCTGACATCTTGTTCATATCAGTTACAGGTGGCGAACTTGTTAGCTCGGGCTCCGCAAGCTCACATGGCTTCAGAGCGAGGCGTCACTTGGCACACGCCGACGCCTCCGCCTCATCTCTACCATGTGCCAGCGCCTTCTCCACCGGATCCTCTGCAAGTGAGTGCTCCCTAACTTTGTGGCTATATTATTTCTTTTGTCTGCATTAAATAGTTTGAGCAGTATTAAAAATGTGGCCTGCTTATTAAACACAAACTATATGTGGGCAAAAGTATTGCATGCTTACTACTTCCTGTAGCTTTGTTTTTAACAATGAAACAATAATCTTGTACTATTTTTTATTACATAATGGTTTATTGTGTTTATTTCTTATATTAAACTACACCTTGGTTGGACTATCGTAGGTGTTGCAATTGCAGGCGATGAAGGCAGCCAGTGGCAATTCGGTTTTCCGGCACACGGCCACACCGCCGGAACTCTACAGACACACGCCCACACCGCCAGACAAACACTTGATGAGGTATGGCCCATTGTAAATAATAACAATCATGGGGAGGACAGTGAGGTACCAGGCCGCTCTTGGGGCTTGCTGCAGATGAAGTCATGATCTGTTTTGTCTATTTTATTTGTGGGCATATTTCGTGGAGGAGACAAATTTTTTGAGTGGCAATTTCAACCACCAAAGTGTTTAGCTATACAAGCTATCTAAATATTTCATTAATTATACAAATACGCGCCATAACTAGTGTGTACATAGGTGTTAATTTTATGCCAATTCTTTGTTTACCTTAGTAATTCCCATTCTGTGTTTGACTGCGATATTTTCTTCATAAACTATGTTATGATTTCAAATTAAAACTATAAATATTTTATTGTATAATGTCAGTATATATGACACAAATTTCCCAAAATTCTGAGAATCTGGCGCTGGACAGACTCTAATTGGCCCTTTATAATTTCAGACATACTCCATCACCAGGCGATGTTAAAGCGGGGTCAGCAGATTTATATCCACATTTGGGACCTGGAAGAGGTAAACCAACATACACTATTTATCATATATTAGCTGAGTCAGCGACTTCGTCCGCGTAGAATAATTATTTTGGGCATCCAAAATTCTTTTTGCAAACTGTCATAACCTACGCCATCGGTCGCGTACCGGAGCTCGCGACCCGTCGTTCGGTCCTCTCGTTCTTGCGAGTTCATCTTAAGAGATAGACATATCCGTCGCGGCTTTTTTTAAAATTATTTTAAAAGGAATCATTATTTCATACATATGTTTCAGTGTCTTGAAACGTTTTCGCAGCGTACACATCGGAGATAAATAATTTTTAAATTTGAACGAATAGTTTCTGCGATTATCGCGTTCATACAAACAAACTCTTCAGCTTTATATATTTTAGATTATAGAAAATGAATAAGGAATAGACAAAGGAATCGACCCATTTTTAGGCTGACACAGCATGCAAAAACGCTTCACTATCAACTTTATTAAACCGAGTACGGAAATCCATGTCAAAGTTGGAAAAACAAATAGTGTACCCTTTTACTAGATAAAACTTAAATATTAAATATACAATTTCAAAAATCTCTATTAATTCATTCAGTTTCAGATAAGCTAGTCCGCGCTGAAGAACTGCTGGCGTACGCGCGGGGCGGAGTCGATCTCACAGTGGGGTCGCGTGGGGCTAATGGTTCCCCTGCCCCACCCCACACTGGACCCGCGCTCTCCGTCCGGGACGCGCCGACCATCAATAGTCTTATAGCACGTGCAAGGCCCGCACATGCGAGGGTAGATGCCCTGTTAGAGCGCCTCTCAGCTGCTCCAGCCCCTGCATCGCCACATTCGGTCATAGTTCACTCGAGAGCGGCACCCACGCCTTCGCCCCCGTCCTCCAATGAGGTTTGTAGAGCAATAAACAAAAAAAATCCCATTTAGCAAACAGAAGCAACCATATGACCATAACAAGTAATTATGAGTATAACTACTTCTAACACAGAAGGTTATAATTTTTGTGTATTCACGTTTCAGGACTCGGCGGACTCGTGCGGTGCCCCACCTGGATCAAAGCGAAAACGGAAACCAGAGCGTACGATACGCGTCCCCATCCCACCTCCGCCGTCAGATGTGCCTCGCCCTCCGCACACACCGACACCCCCTCGCGTTACCCCCACTCAACCACTAGAAAACGGGGACGCGCTTGCACATAATGGCCCAGTGAAAACGGATAAGATTGAAAAACCAGACAAACCCGCCTCGCCCCAACCGCAACCTGAACCGCACGCTCGAAGAAAAACCCGCGCTGACTCCGCGGAAACCATCGATGATATTGCGGCCATGATAGCCAACACAGAACATCGGGATATACCCACTGAACCCCCACCGCTCCCCGAAAACGAGACCCCCGTAACCATAGACAAACTAAAGAGCGTGCTGGCAAGCCCTGAACCCGAGAAATCGCCCCCATACGAGAAACCCCCGGATAAAACTCCCCCTAAATCGCCGAAAGAAAAATCACCTCCAAAAAAGGAGGAGTTAGAGCCGCCCCCCAGTGCCGCAGCGCCGAGACGTAGAAGCGCAAGGACAAATTCCGAATCGACCAACGTGCCAGTGAAGTCTCCTTCAGAAGCGAAACCAGCAGAGCCGGAAGCCAGCGAGACGAAGACGGCTGAACCCACTTCAGCATCATTCGTCGAAGTGGAGAATCAATTAGAGAAAATGTTTGCTGGTATCGAAGAACCGCCCGCAGAGTCTAAAGCTGAGGAGAAAGCCACAAAAGCTAGGAAGCGGCGGAAATCGGCACCGACTAAGGGGGAGAAGAAAGCGTCCAAACGTGCTAGCAGGAGATCCACTGGGGACGAAGCGCCGAGGAGGAAGGCAGCGCGAAATAAGGGCAACAAGAAAGAGGTTCTCAAGGACGCGTATGATTCGGGTAGCAATGCCAGCTCTAGTCGGTCGAGGGGACCCTACATACAGGTAATTAAATACACTATATTTTAGTAAAGTAAAAATACTTAATATACTATATCACCTGCCGGATATAACTTTAAGTCTGTAACCAACCAGCTACGGACAGTTAATTTAATTGGATACACACATAGTTAAACACATACACTTAAAAATAGGTTATTACAAATTACATTAGGAGATAAGTTCAAAGGCAGACAGTTCTTTTTATATTGATGACCAATCATCTGCAAAGAGGTCGGTTTGGGTCTTAACTTGAAAATTAACTGATTTACATCTTAAGCGTTACTTTAAATTCTCAAGAGAAGATGACTCATCAGTAATCCTAATATAATGCAATTCTAGATTGTGGGACCCCGCGACTCGCCTGTATCTGTGTCAGTAGTGAACGCGACAGCAACGGAAGACGAGCGACGAACAGCCGACGAATGGCGCAACGGGCTTAAGGCGCGAGGCCTCCACGCCAGCACGTTAGGGCTCCGCTATGATGCATCCACACCTGACGCGTCTTGGCTGTGCGCGTTCTGCGACCGGGGCCCTCACTATGCCGGCTTAGGAGATCTCTTCGGCCCCTATACTGTTGACACAAATTGTGATGAATTTAGGTATGTGTTAAAATTAGTACAATGATTTTAGACAACTTCATAAGTTAGTTTAAGATAGTAAATAACATTGCGGACCAAATTATTATGGTGTGGTATAAGAATAATATATATATATATATATTCAATTAAGTAAAACCTATTATAGGAAATGGTCACATATACTTAAAAGTTTAATAGAAAAATTTAAGGCCACATTATTATGTTGCAATTAGTATATCTCACGTTGACCTTACCTTGGGCTAAAATGTATCTTTATGTCGCGAAATATAATCAACCCTAAAATTATTCGTTCGTAACAGTTCGTTAGACGAAGCGTCGCAGCGTCGTTTCCCAAGCGTCGAGGCTGGCGCCGAGGTCTGGTTCCACGAGGCGTGTGCGGTGTGGGCCCCGGGGCTCGTTGCTGTTGGGGCCCGACTGTGGGGACTCGCACCAGCCGTCTGGGGCTCCCGGGCTTCCAAGTGTGCGCACTGTTCTACGTCGGGGGCCCCTATAGCGTGCGCGACCAGGACTTGTCGCGCCCGGGCCCACTTGCCCTGCGCGCGTTCTAACAAGTGGCAGCTGGACGATGAAAACTTTAAAGCGATCTGTCCTCAACATGCTTAGCACAGTGGTGGTGTATAGTGATAGTTCTGTGAACCTAGTGAATTGAATGTGTGGAGCCTATGATGTCTTGTATGAATGAATGCTTTGTCTTCAAGTATTTCCAACAACAATATGAGATATGTATAAATCATTCTTACCTAACGATTACTCTAGTCTTTGGGGATTGTAAAATATTAACTATGAAACTTCATGTTACCAACTAAAATGGATAAAGCAGTTAATGTACTCTGAAGTGGATGGTGTAAAGAATGAACATTATGCATAACTTCTCATTGTCTATAGACATAACTATGCTGCCAGTTGTTATGGATGGGTTGAAGTCTATTTAAAATACAATCCAGTATTTAAACATGCAAACTTTAAATTCAATAAGGCTCGGCTACCATTCTCAACAAACACACAAAGCATTCCTTCAAATAAAAGACAGACAAGACTCAGTACCTGTGTGACATTCGAGTTACCGTAACAACTAACAGCTTAACGTAAGTATCTAATACTATGCGGACTTTGGTTCTCGGCTTAAAGGGACCAACCTCTCAATAACACTTCTGAACACCATAAATCCCCTTGAAATGCTAGTGACGATTTATAGCGAAATGTTTGTACGACTATGTAGCTGTGGTCGGAGCGATTTGTAGTTTGTTAGCACAAATTATTTCTATAGTATGGTGGGTCGCATCGGAATGAACGTGTTGGATGTTGAAATTTTTAATTGTATCGTTTATGATGTTGCAAGTTTTGTATAGATTTTATTGGGATTTTGCTGTGCTGTCAATACTCAATTTGAAACGTGCGGAGCTAAACGTCGGTCTGTTCCATTTATATTTATCGTATCTGACGATGGAATCTCTTGAGAATCACTATAAATCAAGTCTGTCTATATATTGCCAAAAATGTTGCCTTCGGTTTGGTTTACAAACTGTATGGTGGGGTGTTCTGATGCCGAAGCTATTGTAGCATAAAACCTAATTGTTTTATGCGCTTTGCATAACTGATTAAATGTTATGCAGGAACATTTGATATGAATGATGCCATAAAGTGATAGATGGTGATTAAGTGCTAGTTCTCGGCTAGGTTTTACATTGGAGACATACAAAGTACACTGTACTGTATTTTAGTATAGAGAATTGTAGATATACACTTTGTTAAAAGTTTTAGAAGTAATTTATAAATTACATTATCACTGTAGATAGATCGTTGTATGATATATTATAGGTTGTTGTATATATAGCATTTTATAGCATCAGAACACCGTTACAAGTATATATTTGTATAGTTCGCTTTAAGTTGACGCGAGGTACGTTTGAAATAAAACTATGCTAAAATCAATATGGCCTTTGCAGCTGTTATTATAAAAGTCATCTCTCAGCACTCTGTTCAACATCTTAAGTTGATAATGATACATGATAAAGTGTAATGTCGGCCAATGGTGCAGAAGACAAAAGACTAGCCTGTAGAAAGAATATATCACAAATAAGCCCGATACATTGAATTATGGAAAAAGATATCTTACATTCCATACTTGCACTTTGATGATCCTCTGATTGTTGTATGAAAGAATATTAAGATCCATTTAACTAAGCATTATGTACCTTTTTTGAAATTACCTTACTTTTACTACAGATAAATAGTTTTATTTCAGATTGTAACCGACCAGGACACAGTATTTTCTATCTAGAGGTACCCATAAAAATAAATTTAGTGAGAATCAAACGTTTTAGCGTCGCGGGCGATTTTAATACTAGAAATATTGTTTCAATACGCTTCTAAGTTTATTATTATGGTCGCTCTGTACTATAAGGTGAGAGTTTACAATAAAATAATGGAAAACATTATGTTTCTGTCTTTCAAACTCCTGATATGTTGATAAAAGATGCATAAATTAAAGAATTCTGATGTCAATTTTGTCCTTCTTTGTATGGGATCGTAGGAAAGAGACATGCGTTGATATCGATGATTACAAAAATCTTTCTATAGTTATATCAAAGCCGTTGCAATTGTTCCTTGGCTTTTCAAACGGTTCGGCTGTTGATAGAGTGGTTCTCTACTCGATTTTTTGAAAATGATGGGCATTTCTTTTCTCATGACGGCACACTCAAGTAGCTTTCCAAAATGGCCGCTCTTATGTTTTTAGTGCTGTCATGAATGTTTTTCACTTAACAATATTTAATGCTGTCCTGGATTATTTATACATGACTGAATATGCAAGAAAAAACTAATAAGGAAATTGTGTTTGATTAAATTCATCAATGTTAGCAATGTTATGCACTTTCTTTTTATTGTATAAGTAAGCTTGTCTCTGCTTCACCACTGATAGTGGCCAGTTACATTCGTAGTACTGTTCCTTAAAATATAGAGGATTTATGAATATCTATATTTTCATAAAAGTTGAAGCATTATAATTCTCAAATTCACAGTCAATATAAATAATTTAGGATACCTACCTCGTCAAAATACCGTTTTACGACGACTCGTCTAATTAATATCAATTAAATTCGTAATCCTTCAGCTAGCATCTCTTTCCCTCGAACACTATACAGGCATTGGTGTGAAAATGACTGCCGTATTGTGGGTTATAAATAAACGCAGCAATAATTAACATGCAGGGTAGAAATTCATTTTTTTTATATTTTATAGAGAATACGGAATGGCTTGTTTCTTCAAAGACGCATTTTGTATAAAAGCCCGTCACGCAAGAGAATTGTTCACTTAAAATAAAAAAAAATTATTAGACCACAAATGAATAAGGAAAATATTAGTGTTGCCAATACTTAACTAAGATCGATTTGGTGGAAAGTATTTTTATTATGCTTCGCTTGTAGCACCTCACTACCACATTGAGGTTGTTATGAATCTGTCTGCCTTAACAGTTGCAAATTGTATCTTCGTGGCCAAACGTTTTTCGTGTTGACGGGCTGAAATATTTGTATAACGGTGACGATCAAAAAAACATTAATTGCATTTAACTGCCTTAAACTTAATTGTTACTAAAAGTAGTAGATACGATATATTGATTCTTGAAGTCTACCCTCACTTAGATAAAAAAAATATTATCATAAACTTTGATTGGTGCAACCATAAAAAACAATTATTCTTTATTTATTTATAAAAAATAAATAAATAAATCAACCTACTAGTTGATTAGTGTCGCGTTAGGTCTTAGAGTACAGCTTCGGTTAGGCTATCGTATCTACTACTTTGATTATTTACTTAATAGGAATCAAAACAATATTATATATCTAACGGTACTTAAAACGTCGGTATATGCATGAGTCTAGCGAGAGAACGCCGCTTCGGTTAGCTGAATAAAATTTGATGGTAAATTAATTCGTAGCGGGAATTGTAAAAATAATCATGTACTTGTATTCCAGTGAATTAATAGAAAATAGACTGTAATTAGTGGATACTAAGGTACAAATTTACGGTAGGAAGGAGATCAGGCCAGTTTTTTAAAGTATATTGACGGCGCATAACGCAGATGCGACAATCGGATATCCCAAAGCCTTTATTGATAGTGATTGTAAGATTTTTAAACAATTATGGCAAATGATTACTTTAAGTATGTAATTGTTATAAATTATATTTATCATGACATTATAAGCAAATTGAAATACAATATGTTTAAAATTATTATGGATTTTTTTTTTCGTTTACAACATAGACTATATCTATAAGTACAAGATGTGTGTTGCATACATATATTGCGTATATGGCCTAATGCTCACTAAATTGTATGTATAAATCGAAAATAAATTGAAAATTTTTTCTACTCGGGCAGGACTTGAACCGGCATCGTCAGCGTTCCGTGCTGTTGCTCTACCAATTGAGCTACCGAGTGCTACAGCACATCGACAAATTTTATTTTATTTTTATAATTATTATATATTATTGGAGATTCTTTTTTGAAATAGGCTTTCACATAACATGTGAGTCCTTGTTGGCAGCAATGTATTTCGACCGAATTAGTCATGGGTTGAACTAAATGATTCCTGAATGTCCAAAGCCCACATCAGCAAGAAGGTCGACAGCTTACCACACATCATACCTTTAGAGTTAAATAATACCAACGAAATAACAACTGTAATTTTTTATTCTTCTTTTAAATCCCTATCAAGTAAAATCCTACCCACGTGCATATCACAATCGTAGAAGGAACAAGTCGCGACCATAGACAAATTGTCACTCTTCGATTCAAACTTCCAATCTGCGCCATACGCTATGCTCTCATGTTCCAGGTATTCATAGAGTATTTTAATATTTTCTTTCACGCACAGTAATCTGAACCCGCCGTACATACAGGCGGCTAAAAGTACGCTTTTCTCAAAAGGATGCCACTTGAGTCGCCACACTCCTCCGCCAACTTCCGTTTCCGTGATGCATCGTTTCATTTGTCTCGCGTCCCAGAGGCGAATTTTTTCGTCGTAACTGCAAACAAGGAAATATAGCTTGTACCCAGTCGAAACAAAAAGTCTAAGAACAGTTAATATATTTTATACAATGTTAGATGTGCCTATTTCAATAATATTTCATATTTTTTCACTTTAATAGCACATTAAATAAATAACAAAGACCAAAAATTGTTTAGCTTAAAAGACAGGGACCACGATTTGTCATTGATTTTATTTTATTCAAAAGGGCTATTAAACTAAGTTTTAATGTACATACGTGGTTTTAATAGCAAAAAAATAATTTACTTCGGGTTGCTTTTTAAAATAAATAAAAAATTAGTCTCATGTTGAAGCTTATTGAAAATACCTTCCCGTGAGCAACTGGTGTTCCACATCTACGTGACTCCGGATAGACGTAACACCAGCTTCGTGAGACCGGTTTGTAACGAAAGAATCCGGTGCGCGCAAATCGAAACATTTCAGCACACAATCATCCCCGCCTTTGAAAAAACACTTTTTTTCTAAATTTGTAATGCCAAACAAGAAAAGTAATTAAATACTGTCTATAGTTTACGCGAGTAATACACATTTAAATAAAACACTTTAATGGTTTAAAACGCGATATTATTTAAACTTATTTGACAATGATTTTTAACTAATATATCGCTTTTTACACAGTTAAAAGTAATTTGAAGTCTGGACATATTTGAACTACTTATATTTGGTACCATCGTTTAGACAAATGACGTATGACTATAAAAACGTGCCATATTATGACATTATTGTACCGTTGCTGTACTAATGCTTTAAATATGTAACGAATCGTTGTATATAGTGAATTTGAAATATTACCCGAGTAAAACACATCCGGATTCCAATAATTAAATGCTGCGATCCACGCTTCGAAGTCATGAGCTTTCCATTCAGCGATCCGTTCCAAGCTGTCATCTACCCTCCACACGGTAACATTTCCCGTCGAGTCGCTGACAACGATATTGCTATATCCGGTTAACTTATTCGTCGACCAATCAAGTGAGAGCGCTAAGACGTTCTCACCAATCGTAGCTTCCAGCCACAATTCTAAATTCAAATTACCACTTTCAACCAATCGGTATAGCTGAATCTTGCCCTCTGAAGTGACTGTGCCGAGTACGGGAAAATTCTCAATGCGTTGATAAGACCACTTCTGGTCTAAAATTCCAGATGTATCGATAGTCTGGATAGGGCATAACGATTCTGTTTTCTCGTTAATTTCGAACAAGTAAACTCTGCCTAGTCGCTTCTGTTTCGTAGCGGATGATTCTGGAACAGATTTGTTAAACTAATGAATATTTAAATGTCCTCTTTAGAAGTGTGTGTTTGCCTATCTGTGCAGTAGTATCTACTACATTACTGGACTAATTATAATACGGTTCACTAAGGTTCATCAATAACAAACACAATTAATGTTGTCGAATAAAACATTTAATAGTTTAAATTTTGAATATATTTGTTCTATTATTTCCATTACGACTCGAACGCTTAAAATGTTTACAGCAGCACTTGCTATTTATTTAAATTTTTAGACAGAGGTGGATAGAAAAGCATATGGTTCACTCGGAGAAATACTTCAGCCAAATAATATCTCATCATAACATACGTCGACCTTTGGATGTCACCTAACACCACTTCGGATTTAAGAACGTTAACCGCGTTTTAAATCGTTTTAAGAAGTTTATTTAATATGTACGATAATTAGCTTACCATTATCGGTCTTATCAAGTTGATAGGTGCCACAGACTAAGACATCATTGTAGGGCTCCACAGGACACCATTCTACTGAATCGGCACTAAAGCCTGTATGCCACTTGTGAATTGTTTCCCAAGACATTGTACGCTGGAAAAGTTTGTATAATTACAGCATATACATACAGTATTAGTTATTACACAGTAGTAACATCATTATCATGTTATTAGACCACACATAATTAATATAATTTAAAAACATGATCACCTTTTAAAGTCGGTTAGAACTCGTTTTATGAATCGTTTTTAAAATATATGTATTTTTTTCATTTTATTTTGCCCTTATATGTTTTTAATTAAAAGAGCGTAAATACCGCAAAGGTATGTCGAAATAAAACCATTTCTTTTTGTATATTTATTTATAATAAAAAATAAGTCCATACATGAATAAATACGGTATACACTAATCTTATATTTGAAACATTTTAATATATCTATATAATCGTCCATCGATAGACTCAAATTAAATTGCTAAAATTTGTACTATTTTATGGTTCATCACTTACTAATTATTAATTATTAACATTCAATTGGAAAAAAATATATTTGGATCCATGGACTATGTAAATAGTGAAAAAAAAATAGAATAACAGGGACAATGTAATCCCTTACCAGATATCAAAAAATACATTTTCAAGAGTATTATAAGGGGTATTAAACGAAAAGTATGATATCAGTAAAAAAATATCAAAATGGACTTATAACAATAAACTAAAAGGGTAAGTACTTATTTAATGGTAACTAATCTATTTCGTATATTTCCTTACGTCTATTTACATCTAGCAAGTATACATCAATGGCAGTTGGACCATTTTTTGTTTTGAAAAAGTAAAAGTAAAGAGAACTTAAAGTGTCTTAGTAAATATATATATATAGGTAATAGTGAACACTATTGCCTATATCAGAGAAGACACTCAACTATCAAATGTTTTTCTAACATATCTTTAATATCGCTTTACATAAAATTGTCTTGATGAAAAAGAACCCATTGGTCGAAAACGCAATTGAATACTAAGTAAAGATATATACAAATAAGAAAGACTTAAATTTACCAAATCAATGAGCACATATTTCTTATAACCTACTTCCCCACGGGGCGAAGAAACTAGCTATGACTATACAGCCACATTTAATATACTGTAATGTTTGAGAAACGACATTAAATCTTAATTATTAATATCAACCACTAAAAGTATTTATATTTGTTTGAGTCTGAGGTAGATGTTCACAATAAATGTTTCAATCACAGCCTATGGACATTACAATTACACTCAAGTTTTTTCAACGGTCAGTTAACTATCAAACTTCTATAAATTCTCGGGCATCTAGTAACATTTGTAGTATACTGTTTAGTTATAAATTATTATTTTTTATAACTCACTATTCCTTAATTACACTTGTCACTCAACAAAATTGAAAAATGTAATCATGGTGCTGTAGTTGAAAATTAAGAGAAATTTACATTTTGATCTTCATTAAATGATCCAATCTTTAGTTTCTTTGCAATATGTACATGAAATACAAACAAAGTGAGTTTGCCAAATTATATGATATATAATTAAATATTGAGCTCAAATTTGTAACCAAGAGTAGGGGGTTTACAAAAAAAAATTGCCCCATTATGCAAAATAATTACATTTATAAACATTGTATATTATACAAATGTATTCAAAATAGAGCTTGGAGGACATTTATTAACTGAGTAATTTACAACTGCAAGATATAATATGAATTAAAAATGGATACAGGGACTTAAACCCACAATGGTTAACTCCTATTTTGCGTTACATTTGTTCATAAAATTGTTTACTGCTCCTCTCATTTATAATTTTATTCCTAAGTTGTGTTTGTTTTCTTGAATGCTAACGCCACAGTTACCAAGTAAAGTTTATTGAATGACTCGCACAAAACTTATACATTTAACATCTAAGTACCCTGAACATTACTTTAAATTTAAGCTAGTTTACTTCAAAATAATTTTAACCCTTCATCTATAGCTATACTTGAAACAAAACAATTGTCCCACATTTAAAATTCCCAAAAACATTCCAGGCATTTATCAACTAATTGAGGTATTTCAAATTGACCGAGGCAATGTCCATGTACTACTACTGCCGTGCTGACCTTTCAGTCTCAATAAGACACTCTCTGACCAGGATTCTAGCATGAACGATCCCCCTCTTTAATCTCTCAGCAGAGCTGCGACTACCTGAGTAACTCGGTCTTACTTCCTTTCCCATTTCTTCAATAACAGCTAGTAATTGAGCGTATTTCGACATACCGTTGTCTTTATCTTTACCAATCGAAGATGGGGACGAGGCAGGAACGGTGGATATAGTTGCGTGACTGTTGCCACTATGTCCTAAATCCTTGTGGGAGCTCTTTCCGTTCATAGGTATCGCTGTAACGGTGACGTCACTGAGCTTTGACTCAACAGCCTGTATATCCATCGCTTCCATCCTGGAAGACATCGGAACATCAAGCATAAGCCGACGCAAACATAAGAAAGCGGTCATACACTTACCTAACTAATTATCAATGTTTACACTGAATTAAGGTTACGCACGAATAATGAGGCACGAAACGGTTAACGAAGTTGTAGTAAATAAGCAATTACACACGTACCTGATCTGGTTCCTTACTCCAAGGCACCTCGAAGTATACTTTAGTATTTGAACGATATAATCCGGGATCCGGTGACTTTAGTTTGCGTGAAGTAGGTTTCGGTTTATTGTTACTTTTTAAAGAAAGAAATCTAAGGTAGTGTTGATAAATTATAGCTAAACTGTTTTTCAACAATTTATTGTTTTTAATCTCCTAAAATGACAGGTAAGCACACTGCCATAGAATAATAAGATTATCCAATAAATGGAAAGCTAACGAATTATCTGTGTCAGGTTTCGACGTTGACAGTGACAATAGGCAAAATAAAAACGCCAAGCATGATTGGAAATACCTACGTGAATTGTGAATGGAGAGTGAAAGAACTCTTCAATTCCTTCTATGTTCCCCGTATCGGTTTTCTTTTTAGCCCTATTCCCTTTGTCTTGGTAAACCTTCCAAAAATCAAAATGTTCGATTTCATTCAGTCCCCCGATTAACATTGTTTAAATCACAAAAATAAAATGAGTCTTGTAAAGGAATTCGAATAAGCAATTGAAGCTACGAATGTAAATATAAGGCCTGTTAAGTGATATCTCCGGCGCGCCCACAGTATCATTATGTGATTAGTGCGATTGATAAAATAAAAAGTCAACGAAGATGTCTGGAGAGGGCGATAGGGCATCACGGCCTAATTCCCTACTGCTTGAAGCCCCAGCACCGGAGAGAGAGCCTTTACGTTTCGATTTGAATTTAGTTGGAGCGCCTCCTGAGGTGGAACAGCTAGTTAACAATATCAAACAGGTAGCAGAGGATTTTCTGTATCATTGGAAAACATTTCCCATTGGTAAGTCCCTTAATTATGTACTTCACTATTCACACAATGAAGCTACCCTAAATTCACTGCAGTTATTATTATTATTATTTTTATGAATAGAACTGATGTTATATTACACACGCCTCACATTAGATAAATAAAAAGGTATGTGTTCCAGTTCTAGGGTTAAGTAATTCAGTAATATGTAATGTAATGATGTGCCACATTGCACAGGAATGTTGTAGAGAGTGGAACTATCTTTTGCTGCTCTAGTTTTTCATTGCTTATTCAGTTTATATGGCAAATGAAAGGACTAATTATGTCATTGAGATACAAGGCATGTAGTATAGCTATTTTATGTATTTGACCTATATGTAGAAACATACATAGGGCTTAGATAGATAAACAAGAAACTTACCACCACTTACAATCTTTATTATTTAATAATTCAACATATGATTAAAATTACTTTTATTTATATTTCAGTGCTACCCCAATCCCGCTTTACCGGTCCTGGTAATCATCCATCTGATATCATAGTAGCTCCACCGTGTGATGAGATAGATGCAGCTGCCTTAGATGCAGGGATCGAACCACACCCTCTTTCACCGAAACAGCTTCATTCCATCAAGGAGCGAGGGTAAGCATAATTTTGGCCATGATATTAGAAAAAATAAATTATTATTTGTTTTTTGTCTTTGCATGTGTGTTTCAGGATAAATAAAGGATTAACATGACAATGGAAGTTGTTTTTGTACTAAAATCTTAATATATTTTTCTTTGTGAAGTATAATAATAAACTTTCATATTAAACCCTAATTTCAAATATACAGTTCTAGTAAAATTTAATAAAGTTTCTGTCATGCAAATATAAAATACTTCATGTATGTCATAGTCACACAGCCAACAATGGAACAAAAAGTTAGCCTTTACAATGAATGATGTATGTGGGTATTATGTTAATGTTTATCACAAAGGAACTTGTTTGATATACCCTTTTCTATTGTGAAGGTTGACATACATAGTTTGTGGAGAAGACGGAGGTTGAGTTTAATCAACATTTTTGACATTACTTATTAAATACTGAATTTAATATGTATCTAACAAATAAGTTTTTAAGGCATATTTTGTCTTTGTCCCAAAGTACATTGTTTTTTGTTACAAATTGTTCATAATAAACAGTGCCCCTTGTCATTAAGTTCAATTAAACAAAAATAGTTATCATGTTTCACCAGCTCAGAGTACATGTTAATATTTTTAAATGATTCATTGCTATAATTACTTGCATCAAACAGAGACAAATACCTTGTTCATAGCAACATAATAAGTTGCTATGTTTCCAATCTCATATGTGTGCTGACTTTCAGTATGAATGCGACTTTTACGATTGTAATTACTATTCTATATAATAAACTAGAATAAATGTATAAAGTTGTCCACACTGATTTGATAATGGAATTATGTTTAAATGCTGTCTTAATCAACAAAACCAAAAAGTTCATAGGTTCATAAAACAAAAGTAATTGTGAATTGCCAACACCGCTTTTTCAGTTACCAAGAAACATGTCTATTATATATAATCTATAAGTATACATTGCTTATAATTATTTATTAATAATGATTATTTTCTTTTACATTTATTATTTACTATAGAGAATATAAGTTATCATCCATTATGCCGTTAGACAATCATCATAGTATATATTTTCTTCTCAAAGCTGGCACAAGGAAAGATTTATGCCGAAGAAGTTAAATGCTAAGCAATTGGATACGATACGCGAATGGGGGTATGTTATGTATATGTGTATTTATGTGTATGGTAAGCATGTGTGGCAGTTGTGTATATACATATGAAGAATATCCTTTTTTGATTGTCTCCAAACAAAAGTTTGCAAGACAGAGTCAGAAGAGGCCGAACCAACTTAGCCAAGTCTAGCTAAGTTGGTTTTAATAGAATATTAAATAATTTCATTCAATTTCTATGTTGAAAATTTTTATATAAGTTTTTGAAAATATAACATCCCAATAAAAGGTCTTATTTACCTTTTTAAATCTTTACAATTGCCCCCGTGTTATCCCCTCACAGTAGCATGCACCCATAGAGAAACATATAGATATTGATTTATGTGTGTATTTTTGTTTATTTCTATCTTATTGTATTCATGATAACTCCATGCTAAAAGGTTATGTATGAAATTATGTCATGTTTTAAGTAATGGCGTATGGCGTACAGGAATTCTGTCTAACTTTACTTAAACTTCCATAGCAATAAGGTTAGGTATAGCTTAACCATGTTTTGGTTCCTTCATTTAAATTAAATTCTAGAGTTATTTTTTACCTTATTTGTAGTTGTTAAATTTAATTAAGTAATATATTCATCGAGAAGTGTTGTGTATGACTATCAGAAGTGGGATTATGTACCAAATTTCTACTGCTTTAGGAATACTATTCTAATTTTAGCGCAAGCCATACGTCGTACCTTATAACAATGATAAAATATACTGTTAACATTTTCAACATTTTAATAAAAATATTTACTTAATAATTGGCGAATACTTGTTTTTAGTAAGTAAATAAAACCTTTACAATCCTAACTTTTAACTACAGCTGAGTGGACAAATAATTACCAAAAATAGATATGTAATTTCATGAGTCAGGCAGTTCACTAAAAAATAATAGACACGTTTGACTAAATCCTTTTGCAATGACTTAGCTACATCACCAATAACCTTATAGATATGTTTAAAAATACCTTTTTCGAACAGATCTATACTAGAGGTCCTACTCTAGTCATTTCTTTCTTCTGTATTTGTTAAATCTTATCTTTTTGGTGAGCCAAACTCTTTTAAAAGATGTAATCAGGTATTTTATCGCAGGGAGTTCGAAGTGCCATCACGTCACTTTCCTGGGCAGACTCATGTGTGGCGTGTGGCTGGATGGCTTCAACGCGGCAGAGTACGAGCACGGGAAGAGTTATATTGTCACGTGGCTAGGGCTGTGGCTTTAATCGTAGTGGTTGCCAGGGACAGACTGATTAGGGACGAACCTATATCTGTTATAGCCGGCGGTAAGGCGTTGTTGGATGGCCTTCATAGGTTTGTACCTCGTCAACGTATACTAGCATTTGTTAACGATCCCGCTTAGTGAAAAACAGTTATGTGGTTAGGGAAGGGCTATGTCTATGTAGGAGCTAATTTACTTGATTGTGACTCCAAATATATAGATACGGATTACGGTAGATCATTCCACAACTTCTCTCTATTTCTCCAAGAAAAACGACGCAAGTTGTATGTTTATCTGAACAAAGAAACTAGCTCAGCTTTAGACAATACCAAGTGATTACTCATTTGTTTTTCAGACTATTGGATTTAGCACTAGGCATGCCATCGTTGGAAGCACGTGACCTTGAGAAAAAGATACGCGAAGAACGGTCCCGCTATTTGGTAGCTGAACTTATATGCAAAGTAAAGTTTCAAATGGGATCACTTATTCTTATTCATGATTTATTTTATACTAACATTTAGATCTAGGATTGAAGATCCTTAAGAATATCACTGATTTTCGGTCTGTTCGGCCGACATAAGCGAGAAGTGGTTCTCGAGGTCATAACTTTGCAACATCCCTCTATGATGCCGTCCGCTTGTGATGGCGAAACGTCGAGAACCTCTTTTTTCTCACATCGGCCGAAGAGACCGAAAAACAATGACATGCTGAACGATAGCCTTGTCTTTCCAAAATTTGCCTTTATTTTCCTTCAAACGAACCACTTTTTATTTAACCGGTCAATTTATAGCCCGAGAATCAAGAAGATGTAGCAGCTCTAGCGGCATGGGTGTCTAGAGCGATGCGGAGAGCCGCCTCCGAGAAGACTGACGCACGAGATGTCCACCGTGCGGCGCCCAGGGTGCCATATGTATTCACCACGCCTCAGAGGACGCAGGTATAAATACCTACAGTGTATATAAATGCAAAAGATTGAGATTGGAATTTCCCAATACTAAGAAGATAGACATAAAAGGAATGGAATGGAGTCACATGACATCTACACACGATGCGTTGTCGACCTGTTGTAGGTCTGTACATAAAAAACCTTTTCCATCTGTTGACGATGGCCTGGGACCCGGACAAAATTTCGTTATTCCTATGACCGATTTATGATCTATATTTTTCAGACGAAATCGCAAAGTGGGGATCGAAATCACGATCCATTGCTTATTAGCCATTAGATCATCAAGCCTCTTAAAAGTCTGTGGCGAAAGGATTTGACAAAATCTGTAGTATACTCTAACGTTATATTTAGTAAACTATGTAGTTGTGTTAGAGTTTTGTGTAGATGTAGAGTAGCTTGTTAGCGCGAAAGTTGTTTATTTTTATTTAATTTAAGAGTAAATTAAATGCATATTGTTTCTCCAGAAGCGGTGGCGCCAGGGGCCACTGAAAATCAGTGTTGCAACACAAGTGTGTCCGTAACGTTATGCTGAGTGGCTCCTGTTTTAGGAGTTGCCATAGTTCTTATATGTATAAGTTTACTCATTAAGTTAATATTAGTTCATAGTTACATTTTTGTGAGTAACTTTTGAATAAATTATTTTCATTATTTATTTATTATTATTACTTTTTTCGCCTAAAATAGGTTTTTTGGACACCAAAATTTGTTTATGCAAACCTCTGTTATTCACCACTACGTTTGCGTCCCGTCGTTTTTTGCAAATTAATCTTAAAAGATAGCCATATAGTGTCGCGTATATTTTTTTATCATTTAAAGAGGAATCACTCTTTCGTACATATATTTTCGGTATCTTGAACCTTTTTTGCAGCGTACGCATCCAAAAACACAATGATGAATAACTTTTCCCGTTTTATTCCACATTTCTTGCAGTTCTTTCGCTCTTATTAGTCGATAAATGCTCTAACCGACATTCAAATAATTTTCAAATTAAACTAGTAGTGCCTAAGAATATGCCGTTCAAACAAAGTCTTCAACTGTATATATTAGTATAGATGAAATAAAAAAAACATGTAAAAATATGCTGCTCCAGGTGGACTTGAGATTGTACAGACGCGAGCTCCTGCGTCGCGCCGCCTCGTCCCTTCAAGCCATACTGGAGCGAGAATCCCGAGGGTGGTTCTTGCATTTCAGAGAGAAGAAGGCGGCCCACCTCGCTAGCCAAAAAGTGCCCATCAAAGATATAGAAGAGGTGAGTACGTGGAAAACAATCTTTACCCAGATTCAAACCACGACTTATACCGGATGTCTACCAAGTGAATTACCGACTTACCTTCTGTGCCTGCAATACGCAAATGGTACTTTCAAAATGTTTATGAGATATCATTATCGTCGTATCGTATTAACTGTTATTATTTTACTTCTATACAAGATGACTTTATTAATATTAATCGCGTATAAGTCATTTTTTTAATGATGGAGGATAGACAAGCCTGTTCAGTTGATGGAAGGTGAAATACCCCAGACATATAACGTCTACTCAAGATGCGCTGTCGGCCTATTTTGGTTTCGGATGTTCGGAATATTCACAGCCAAATTCATGTCATTATATTTCGCATTGTCATTTCCAGGAAGTGTCGACAGCCGCAATGCGCGAGTACGTGTCGCGGGTGTGCGCTGCTGTGACGTCATGCGCTCAGCTTGCAGCCTTAGGGCCAGCTATACCCGAGCTGTTGGCAGACCAGCTGCGAGCCACCGCTGCCATCGATAGGTTAGGTTAGCCATGTGCGCTATTGTACACTAATATATTATAATATGTATATCTTGATGTATAATTGTTACCTATAAATCTGTCCTTTCTCAGTTTTTGTAACGGTATTTATTTTACGTGGGGAATAATTATTTTTGACGCAACTTACTAGATCTGCAATTATATAAATGACAAACAACACTGTTTAAATATTTAAATTAAACACTAGCGGTTTATAAGGCGAAATAGATTAGTTATACTTGTCTATAAAACCTTTTTTCTTATGTAATACGCGAAATTATTTTTTTAAGCATCGCATTATCTAGTTCTTTTTTTATGTTATATTCTCCCAACTCAACCTATGGGGCATTCCATGCCAAGCGGACACGTAAAAATGTTGATGCTTCAGGTTTTAGTAATATTTTAGTATGTTATACCTATATAGGTCCCCAACCAATATTTTTACTCTGTGATATATAGTTATCGATTTAGAGGCTTTTTTGAGGACCTATATAGGTATAACATACTAAAATATTACTAAAACCTGAAGCATCAACATTTTTACGTGTCCGCTTGGCATGGAATGCCCCCTATGTTAAGACTAAGATTTTCTTTTTTATAATTTAAAGTTAATACTATTTCAGAGCTCAAGAAGGTGTTCGCCGTAGACTAGAAGCGGGCCTAGCGACAACCGAGGCTCGAATCCGCGCCTCCCACCCAATACTTTCGCGCGCCGACGCGTGGCGCAAAGAGAAACTCGCCCTTGCTGCGCAGAGATTAAGGGATGAATTACGCTGGACCGGAATGGAGGACGCTGCGGCTGCTATGCAAGCCCACAAGCTGCTGCAACATAGATACTTTTTGCTGCGAGATCTTACATTCTTGAGGGATAGGGAACCGTTGCTTTTGAAAGTAAGAATGGGTGTTATATGTTTAGAAGACAGATAAAAATAAACAGGTTTAAAACAAGAAATTTTTGAAAATTTGAAAAATTTATGACACACGCAGACACACGGGCAGATTTTGAACCAGCATCCATAGTGTTAAGTGCTGTTGCTCTAACCAATTAAGCTACCGTGTCCTACACATCATCGTCATATTTTTTCAACCTATCAATACATGCAACTCTTGCGCAATGTAATTTCAACCATATTAAGGTTCAATGTCTTATCTTTTGCAGCTTAAGAAAATCATTAATTTATACAATGCCATTATGTTAAAAAACAAGTGCAAAATATTAGTTTTCAAACATTATAATATATTATCTGTAGGAACTTCGTGCAGCCAAAACTCCCACTCGCGAGTTCTCCTGGGCCACCCGAATCTGGCTCCCGCGTAACTGGGCAGTGATTCGACACTTTCGTGGTCGTTCGGAGCGCATCCCCACGGTGATCAGCTCGAGGGCGACGAACATCGTCACACCCCGGTCGGACCCTTCGCAACCGGTGTTCCTCGCTGATCGGGAGAAGGTGCGCACCACCACCACCCGATGGCCAGGGTGGAGGCTGCTCAATTTGGCTCACAGGTATTCAAAGTGTCTAAGTAGAGTAAAATGTAATTCTTAATCGTTGGTGGTAGCAATAATCAATCATCAGGGTCGTTGGTTCGATTCCCACCAGGACCAACATATTTGTCATCAATTTATAATTTTTCTAAATTATGTTGGACTGTGACTGATAATCTGGATATCAAGCGGTGGGAATATTGAAATTCCATCCGGGTCACGAACCACCGTCCACAGATTAAAAAGCCTGAAGTTTAATTGCGTTTCGAATTCAATCTGTGGTTTTCCGAACATCCAAATCCAAAATAAGTCGACGGCGCATGCTTATCTGTCCAAAGACATCACAGTGAACTTTATGATTAACTATGAAATTTTCAAATTTGAATCTTTACCCAATCATTCCGTTCTTTGTACTGCATATTCTATGCTATATATTCTTTTTCTCCGTCTTAAAAGTTCTCATAGTAATTTCTATTTTGTATTTTAACATGCATAGTATATATCTAACACATTTCGCAGAACCTGGTGTTGGACCTGGAACATAATGTTCCTGTTGGGCGTGATGGTGCCCTGGTGTTCACCGCTGTCACTGCGCACGTTGCTCTGCGTCAAACCGTTTGTGCCCGACCTGGAATTATCACAGGTATTGACTTGACTTGGCTTAAAAATGTAAAGAAAGAAATTTATTTGCTAAGACTTATTACTAAAAAAAAGTGTGCTGCTCAGGTCCTTTGTGGAGCTATAACTGATTGATTGATTGATGATGGAAATTGCACCCTATATACATTTCATTAGGTTATTAATGTTTAAATAAAACACTTTAACGGTTCAAATAGCGATATATATTAGTTTAATTTATTTGGATTATTTTAAATACGGCCCGACGTTTCGGATGCTTGCCGTGCCGTGCCTTAGCAACCGTGGTCATGGGGAGACTGCTGCTGCAAAGCATCCGGCTGTAGTTAAAATAATTTCCGAATAAATGTAACTGATATATATCGCCTTTTAAACGGTTAAAGTGTTTTATTTAAATGTGTACTACTACCGTAAACTACAGACGGTATTTAGATTATTAATGCCTCCCTCAGAGATCACTGCTGTTGCAAAGCGTCCGAAACATCGGGTCGTAGTTAAATATGAGTAAGATACTAAGATATTTTGTGTCTAGAATGTTTTACACATGCCATCAAAATGTAGATTGCGCACCACTTCCATAAACTACAAAAGTTAGTAGTGCCCGTTTAACCCTATTACAAATCTCAGAGTGTATTTTTGATAACTTCGTGCTATTGAAGGTATTTCATCTGTTATATTCTAACACAGGTAAATGGCACGCTATTCCCAAAGCGAAGCAGCGAGACGCAAACGATGTGGTCGCGGCTGCTGCAGCTATGGAGGCATGTATCCAAGGAGAGGACGAGGTTCGAAACCGAACCCGATACAGGTAACATAACTGATGTTCTTTAATATAGAGTAGAAGAGACAGGCCTGGCCTTCACTACAGATGATGAGATGCGCTGAAGAACAATGTTGGCTTTGGATATTCGAAAATCCACAGACTGAAAGCGAAACGCGATTAAACCTCACGGCTCTTTCATCTGTGGACGGTGGATCGTCACCCGGACAGAATTTAATATCCAGATGCCCAGAGGATATCCAAAATGTTTCAGATAAATTTTGAACCTATTGAAATTGAAAATATTCAAACATGTTGGACCTGGTGGGGATCGAACTCACGACCTGTTGATGAGCCATACTGCTATTGCTACCAGTAGACCACCAAGCCGAAAAAGGGTTTATTTGCACCTATGCCGTAGTCTCATCATTTCTTGTGAAAATTTTCGACTCGGGCAGGACTTGAACCGGCATCGTCAGCTTTCCGTGCTGTTGTTTCCGTTCCGATTTTTAAATTATATAGTGCCTTCATGTGCAATAACATGTGAAAAATATTAATGTTTTCAAGCTCTGATTTTTCTCCCAGGTCTTCTCGGGAAGGGTCTAGCACGTCAAGCCAATCGAGTGTGGAACTATGGTCTGGTGGGTGGTGTTGGGTCGTTGGCGCTTCTACTACTGTTTCCGATAGCTGCAATCCTCAGTAGCGTCCTCTCGCTGTGCGTGGCGTTAACTGTGCCTGTATGGATGCCGTTTGCGGCGCTCAGCGTGCATGCTATAAGCGCTTTGCTCTACGAATTCGACTGCCCTGATCCGGGAATGCTCAACAGGTAAGCAAAACAAGCAATGTAAGAAGAAACCGGCCTTCAAATATGAACACATTGTATAAGACACTTTTAACGGGTTAAAATGCGAAATATATAAGTTAAGCTCTCTTCCCAAGACATCTGCTGCTGCAAGACAATCAAAACGTGTTGTCGTTAATAAATATAAGTTAACTCTTATATTTCGCGTTCTAGATCGTTGAAGGTTTTTTTTTTATGTACACTACTCGCGTAACCAATAATAATGTAGACAATACATGAGCACATTCTGATATGAATCGACGATGAGAACTCGCTGGAAAACCTGGGTAGAGTACTTATTATTAACATGTGACCTTGTGCTCATCATTATTTGTTAACTATTTCATTTAGATAAGATTATATAAACGACATCAGAAGTGGGATAGGCTGTATAGATAAACAATATTGTATATGTCACCAGGTGGTTCGTTCTGCTGGAAGTATTTCTGTGGCGTATAACGGTGCTAGGCCTTCTGCAACCCATCTTAGCTGTAATCGTTGCTATCGTGTTGTGTCCTATTGCTGCATTTATACTGCTTGTTGGTGAGTAATACACAATCATGCGCAGAAAACAAATAGGTACAAATAAATTGTGCGAGATGTATGTATTGACTTAAATGTAAACAATATTACATATATAAACATAAAAGAAAATAACCTAACCTATAACTTTAGTTTTAATTATCGTAACAGGTGGCGTGGGCTGGTGGAGCTGCCGTGGGGTGTGGGAACGGGCAGCGTGGCGCTGGGTAATAGTGCGTGCGGCCCGCGTTCCAGCGCACGACTCGGCGTTTTGTACGCGCGTCGCGGGCCCCGGGCTACACACACCTGCTTCATATCAAATTACGTGAGTTACATAGCCGATGACAGAACTTCACAGTCCCGGAGACCTGGGCTACGCTGGTGAAATGGAGTTGCTAATAACCTGGAAATCTTAGGCGCCCAGAACTAGAAATGGGATAGATCGCGTTAGCGTAAGCAACTGGAAGACGCTAAGGCCCACAGCCATTGATGATGATGATTTATAACCGACTCTGTAATTCTCAAGTTAAATGTATCACCTACTAATCCGTTAAGCATGAGCGGTCTTAGGTCAAAATCCCAGAAAAAAAATATTTCCTCCGGCGAGGAACATTAGTCTAACGAACTACTTCCTTGTAAATATTCGCCATAAGTGAAAATGACACAGAAATGTTTACCCCATGGCGAACAGGTAAAAATGTAGCCGTAGTTTTCTTTATAAATTCATCATAGCCAACGAACATTTTACATTATAATACAATTTAACAGTGCCGCACAAGCTTTGGCAGCGGTATGCGCGCGCGCAGAGTGTGAGCAATTAAACGCTTGGGGGACGCAACTCGAAGCCGCCGTTGAACGTCCCCTGCGGGACTATAGGCATTTCGTCGATGCGTGCTTCGGACCTTTTTCCGTTCAAATTGCTAAGGTATGTCTTTTTCAAACCTGAAATATATTGAAGCTTTTTCTGAAGATTATAAGAAAACATTATATGTACGACAATTAACCTTCTGTACACCACAATATTAAGTTGCCTAGCATTGCGTTAAGCGCGAGACGTTTTGGGTTAAAATTCCGGGAAAACAATTGATTGTTACGGTTGGACGGAGCACAGAAGTCTCACAAACTGGCAAGTAGCCAGCAAATAAATCATATCAGTGTAACGGACATAAAATTGTAATAGCCCCATGCCCCACGGGTGAAACGGGATTTCTTTCGAGGTTATGATATGAATGTGAAAATATCATATATTACAACAATGTATTCATTCAACTCTTTATCAAATCACCTCGCGGAACTACCAGTTACATCTTTTAAGTATTCCTTCTAGACTGATTATCGTTCACTTCCTATATATAGACAGGAGCATATAAGCAATTGGAGAAGGAGTGCAGTGAACTGGTTGCATCCGGGAGGGAGAAGTTGGCTGCGAGGAGAAGAGATCTCGCACTGGGCCTGAGTGACGCCGCGAGGACGAGAATTAGGATGCCAGCTCAGGATCTTAGAGTACGTGGAAGTAAAAAGTCTTCGAAATATCCAGATTTATTCAATAAACTTCGCTATGACAATACCGAGACACATTAATATCATTTACTTATTTATTTCTTTAATCCATGCACATTAAGTGCGTAAGGAACTCGTAAGAAAACCTTGCCGATAAAAGAAGTGGCGGCGAGTTTCTTGCCAGTTCTTCTCGTTCGCTCTACTCCCTTGGAACTGGTAGTAAATGTAAATTTATTTTTTATTTTTTTAATGTATTGACGTCCATACGTGTACGTAGCTATCTACATTAATAAATTATTTTTTAAATATATATAATTTAAATTTGTTTGACAATTGTTTATGTTTCATAATATTCGATTTATAACAAGGTAATAGAAATTGAATATAATAAGTGAAATCTAAACGGGTAAAACATAACTTTAAAAGGCGGATATGTTATTGCTAGTTTTTAGGGTTCTACCTCTTAACATTTTGATATTGCATGTAACAATAGATTTTAATAATTCGTCGATGACGTGTTGGAGCAAGAGCACGGGACGCTGTGGATACCGGTTCAAGTCGTGCCCGTGTCGATCTTTTTTTAAATTTACATGGTGCCAAAATGTGAACAATATTAAAGTTTTCAAACACAATAAATGATTCATTTTAAATGTCACGCACAGAAAGCTGTGCACGCATCCGCGCTGGAATTGGCTCGGATGTTCGGGTCGGCTGCGCGCAGTGAGGACTGGTGGGCCGCCCGGGGACTAGAACATGGGGACTGGCATGCCCTGGCTGCTAACACTCTCGTCGAGGTACAAATAGTAGATAGTTAGCTGCTAGAACGACTAATGTACTCACTTAGCTAAGTGACTTTCAATGATATACCTAGCTTGTAAGTTTTGGAGATTAGCGGGGTAGGGTGCAGGAGTGTTGTAAAAAAATATGAAGTAGTAGTATATCCCTAATTTTAGAAGCTGAAGAGTTTTACAAATTCAATATTTTGTAACATTTATATTATTCATTTTGTTTATAGTAAAATAAGTCTTTGCCGTTGGGCCACGGTTTTTGGGTGTAACATAAAGTAATAAATCAAATTAATAAAAAACAATAACTGTAGTGAATTAAGTTATTTAGTATCGGTAACTTAAAAAACTGCGAGCCACGTCTTATCTCGCCGCGGTGTGACCTGACTCTTAGGACGATTTGGCTATTTCACTCGCGATCCAGTCGATGAAGGGGCTCACTGGCACATCGATACCGGCATAGTTGTATTTACAAACTCGTGCCCAGCCTATGCCCGCAGAGTGAACGGCTATGACACCTGATCCGTGTAAAACGGTCCCCCCGGAGTCGCCCGGACGCATGAGATCCACTGAACCACATTTGGGTACGGTGCATATAGTGGGCCAACCGTTCACCTTTGTTCTATCACATTCCGTTATCATAGCGACCATCGTTTTCAAAGTGTTATTTTCCTCCCCGACGCGAATGTACGTTAAACCGTAACCGAGATACGTAGTCTCTTGTCCGTACAGGGTCCTGTAATCCACTGGACTAAGTCTAGGGTAAAACGAAATATCGATGCCATCGCTTTGAATAAAACCGATGTCGTTATTGACTCGATAATCTTTATGGTTTTCGTAATAGTTCGGATGTATCAGCGTCCGTATATCCTTCCGAAGAGGTTTCTTATCTGGTGAATAATAACGCACCACCGGTTTTGCGGATTTTAAACCTCTGGTGATTTCGGGGAGGGCGTTGAGGCAGTGCGACGCTGTGAGCGTCCATCTTGGGGAGAGTGCGGTCGCTGAACAGAATCTCTCATATTTGGTGTTTTTCGAGCGTTTGTAACTTATCTCCAAAGCGACTGCAAACGGAAACTTGCGTACGTCGGCGTCTTCGCCCCCGTATATGCGGAGGTCAGTACGATAAGAATTGCACTCGTAAAACAGTTTATGTAGAAGTAAAATACTGTAGATCATTTTTTAAATAGTAGCACCGCTTATGACCGCGTATGACCGGTCTTGTCATACATAAGCAATAAATTTTTGTTCATTAGAAATGCATATTGAGTCCGCGACTAGCGCTTTCGGTTTTTTTAGTTAATTTAAATATTAGTATATTAAACTTCTATAACATTCAAATTAGTGTCAATACGTCAAGTGCAACTTCGTTTATACTTTAATATTTGTTATTAATAATACATTTATTAATCGTTATCATGAATATTGTGTTGAATGAAACTCTTTTCTAAAATATAAATAATTGGCGATGTCGCATTGCTTTATATGAAATTTGATAACCATATAAAGATTAAAATTATGTTGTGAGTGTAAGTTAAAGTGTATATCGGAATGTTCTGTCGCGGATATGTATTTATTTAATTATTTATTTATTAACTTTATTAATTACAAACACCACAGAAATGGTATTATGTATTATTATGTATTTAGATAATTCATAATGAAATTTTCCGTTATCTTCTATCTTACATCTTTAGGATACAGCTTAAAGTCTGTCTCGACAAATGATCTCTCCAACACATAACAAAGATTATTCTATCCAAACCAATTGCTTAACAAACTTTCCAGCTTTATTATTGTTACAAACAAACATACTAATAGTTCTTTGAGTATTATGTTAGTATACCTTATCACAAGCAATAAAGTGTTATTTGTAATGTAATATGAACGTTATATTAAAAGATCAAAATCGATTTCATTATTTTTGTTAACAAAAAAAGTTAAACTTATTTACAAATCATTTTAAATGCGGCTCTACGTTTGGGATGCTTTGCAGCAGACGTGATTATGGGGGGACTATATATGGAGAGTGTACCTAATGTCAAAGTAAAAACTGCTACGCTAGCGCCATCTGTTCCGTCGTAGGTGGTATTTAACTACAGACAGTATTTAAAACCATTTTTTCCAGGTTTTGAAAGGAATTTTTTTATTAATAACGACTGTTTATTCGTAAGATTATATAAAGTTTGCATAAACAAAATCCACTTTTGGCAAGGTATTCGATGCTGAGATCCTGGTGGCGTTGGAAGAAGGCGATGCACGTTTAGCATTGGATGCGGGGCCAGGAGTCCAGACGTGGGCGGCGAAGTGCGCACGAGACCATGCCCCGCCAGACGTACTTGCCGAGAGGGACGATTGGGGTATTGCTCCTGGTAACGACGATTAACTATACAGTGAAAACTGGTTGATTGGGATATCAAGGAACAAGACATATGTACCAAATATTGAGAGTTACCAATGATCCAGTTTTCCAATTAAGCAGGTTTAAAATTATACTTGTCTCGTTTACAGAGTCGGTCATGTGGTAAAACCTGATTAATCTGTCTCACTTATACAAGGAGTTGAGCTAAAGAGCCTCAATTATAGAGTTAAACGTTGAAAAAATCTTAGAATTGAAATCTCATTTAACCAGGTTTAAAAAGTTCCATTAACAGAGCTAATTAATAAAAAGAAACGGTACCTCATTGCAACTCTCAATAATAGGGGGTTTTCACTTAACCAGGCCCCACTTAACCAGTCACTGTATATTATACTAAGAGAAATAAAAATATCCAAAACTTACGAAGACACACATACTGTAGGAGACTTATGTACATACGCTATGTTGGATGATTTTGTTCGCCAGCATGGTTTGAAAGAAAAGAGACTTACTGTTATAGTCAATAAAAACGCTCTTCCCCTTAAGTAAGCTTACACAAAGGTTATTTCTTCATAATGTCTACCTGCCCCTTAGGCATGTGGGGAGAATGGGGTGGGTCAGCATTACCGCGGGTGCCTGCACCCTCGCTGGAGGCAAGTGCGTTCAGCCCTCGCGCGCCTCATCTTCCACCCGTCCCTCATCCAGCTACTGTGGCGCTGGTGCTCCATAATAGGTATACATTCAATAAAAGTTGCAGATAAATAAAAATTATGATAGGTGAACAGACAGGGGTTTCACATGTTAAAAGTTATTATACCCCAGCCATTTAACATCTGAACAAGATGCCCTGAAACGCGGATCCTTGTAACTGCAGCTTTATCATCTAAAGACGGTATTCGTGACCCAAAATTTCAACGCCTACCATACATTCATAAGAATTATTAGAAACAAGTTGGATTTAACTCATTACTCATTGATTTAAGCCATGTATTGCTGTCATTTGACCATTTGCCAAATATATAGAAACTTTGATGTGTAATTCAATATATAACTATGTCATTGTGTGGAACATGGTGTAACATAGTGTGTACTGTAACGTAAACAGGAATTTAATTTTAACCTTGCAGAGAGTCAGATAACCCAGTGCCCATCGAGTCTGAACTGTGTGCGGAAATCCTGCGCAGTCTAGAGGACGCCCCGGACTGCGATGATAAACGAGGTACGGAAGTAACTTGTACGTAGCGGAAAAAATTAATATACAGATACTGTAAGTAATTTACATGAGTAGTACACATTTTTGATGTTTTGCAGCAGCCCCGTTCACGGGGAAACGTCAGGGTGTAATTAAAATAATTTTCAAATAAATTTAACTAATATATATTGCCTTTTCAACAGTTAAAGTGTTTTATTTAAATGTGTACTACTCGGGTAAACTACAATTCAGTATTATTAATAATTGAAAGGATTTAAGACTCATTTTCTCCGTCTTGAATGCAGCAATCCACGCATGACTATCCTGCGTCTGCTTGTTATAGAATCGCAATATCAGTGACTATAGAAAGTAAATCCATAAAGTACTAGTAAGGTCTGTTTACGACAGCAAAAGTGACCCCCAGGTGTCATTTTGAATCCTTGTTCTTCAAAAAGAGCAGTGGGTGAAACTAAACTCCTCTCGCGCATTGTAACTTCAGCCTTAACTATAAGTCTTTTAGGTTCAATGTATGCACGGCGGTTTAAAAAATAATTGATGACGAAATTACAGAGATTAACGTTTGAAAACGTTATCATTTCTGACATGTTATTGTACATGATGGCATTATATACAAATTCAATAACTGTTATTACTTTGATAGATGCAGTAGAGAGGTATCGCGGCGGTGGCAGCGAAGTCACGAGTGAGACAAGCGGTTCAATGTCTCCAGAAGAAGAAGATAGACCTCTGCACACAGAGCAAGAAGTTACAGAGACACCAGATTCAGCTCTATGCAGGTATGATCAGATTACATACAGTAAAAGTACAGATTAGTGTATATAGAGTTCGTTACCGTTTTCTCGTGTTACATCTTAAGGACTTTGAGCCTTAATATTCAATATAATAAAGTTCACTATCTAAACAATAATTTTTACATCAAGGCATGCAAACATGGGATTTACTGAATGGTAGGTGAAGTACCTGTGGTATTTCAATCCTTCCTATAGCAATTAAACAAAATACGCTGTCTGTTATCTATTTATTTACTTATTACGATTCGTGCCTACTCGCATATAACATTATGTATTGTATATTATTGTATATACACTTAAGTGAAATTTAATTTTATAGCCTAAATAAATGCATTTAAGATGATTTTTTTTATATCATTGGACTCATACCCACGGCCACGGTCGCTCAGTCGGTATAGCAATAGCACGAAACCCAGCGACCGTGGGTTCCAGTCGGATCATGTCATCAAGTTATCTTATTAAATGATTTTGTTAAATATTTATTGGAAATTTAATACAGGATATCGCCGAGTACAGAACGTGCGGCTTGTCGATGGACACTAACTGGCCGCGGCGTCAGATTACGAGCAGACCTCGCTAGCCCCGAGGATGTCTCACTAGACACGGACAGACACGGAACCTCCGTCTGACACATCCAACGTCACTCTATTTCAACTGACGTTTGACAGATTGACATTGTCATCCCACCAAAATTTGACATTAATATACAAATGTAGCTATAGACTATAGAGTCAGTTGGCAGCTCTTGCCATGCTATTTTGATTGTTTTACATAGAAAGATGAATAGTATAAGTACAGTAATTAACATGAAGCATAGAAGCTTGTTACCACATGGTATTGTATAAATTATACAAGGTTTTCCGATCGTTAGCAAAATGAGTTTCAAGCAGTTCGAAGTGGATTAAATTCTTCTTATGACGTCATCCACGCGAGATGCCGAGACATCTAGAATTACTTCTCAATTACAATGGCCAAAAAGCTTTGGTTAGTGAGTAATTTCTATAAGGAGCGTTCAAGTATGTAATTTAAATCATAAATTAAGTATCGAGATCTATTTCCTTCTGATAATTATCTGTACTTTCATACTTAAATCACTTAGTATGTAGCATGCGATATACGTTATATTGATAACGGGAAACCTTATTGTAAATTAAGAGATTTTCAAAGAAAACGGCTCAAAGTACCTATAGGAGTACGGAATCTCAAATATTGATCTGAAATTCTAAAATAGTATAGGACGATGCATTTCTTAGTTAAGTGTAGATATCGCTTTGTAAGCAACGTCGGAATTGAATGTGATAATGTTGAGATTCAAAGTTTTGACTCGACACGTGAAACATATACCAGTGTTATCAACAAAGAAATATATTTGGCATACATTCAAAAATTGGCGTAGCCAGAGTGTGGGGTGGGGGTTTTCTGTCCCCTCTAGAAATCGGGGACACACAAACGAAATATTTTTGGCTATTATTGGTAACTGAAGACAAGTTAAAGGCGTAGGTACCCCAGGCGTAAATCTGAGTACGTCCATGGAAATTATGTAAAAAAATCAGTCAGACTCAAAGTTATTAGAAGACACGCGATACCTCAGAAACAAGTGCACTTGAGTGAGACAACGACAAGTACGCTTCTCTTATAGCCATACGCATATTAAGCTATTTTTTAGCATGCGATATTAATAAAGAAATTTAACAATCGCTTTTAGGCTTCGTCGAATAAGTACTAAATTACGTCGCCATTATTCATAGTCATTATCCTAATCATAAGGTTGTGTTGCTATTATACAAGTTACTCCATATGGCAACTAATTTTTTATACATTGTTTCAAAAAGTTTACAATAATACAAGTTTGCGTACTAAAACTTGTTTAAAAATATTTGTATGCGCGCCATCTACCGTCGAAACGAAGCGATAATAGGCTCCGCCCATAAGTTTAATATCGGCACAATAACAGTATTTAAAAGCATTTATATGAAGTGAATTATTACTATTTAATCTAATTTAACATCTATTAAGAGATTAGATTTGTGTGATTGATCAAAAGGAAAACCTTATTTTTTTTGGCTCCACGATATTACTTAATACTATTTATTATATCCAAGAAGTTATTAGGAATATAAAAAATAAGCTCAATCAACTTATTACTATGGTAAGGAATTGTCTCGTCGCGTGTATTAATTTACGAATAATTATTTGTAATATATCGAATTTAGATATTAGCTGCTAGATATTACGAGTGCCTAAATTGCAATTAACGTAGATGTTACAATAACGGTATTTCACACTGTTATAACTATCGTTGGCAGCGCCGGGGTCAGAACCACTGACAAGATTTGTGCGCTTTGTTATATTATGATTTAAATTTATGTAAATGACTTCTCGAATGCTTTTCAATGAGATAGGTGACATTTTTGCATACTCAGAGTGTAGGGTAAGCCCCTGAGCTGTCGGCATACCGCTCCCCCACTAGTCGGCCAATCTCGCTAGGTATTGAATGCGAATTTGCAAGCGATATTTTTCTTGCCTTTTAAGTAATGTTTAAAAGCGCTACGATCTTTGTAGATTTAGTAATGCATGTTGTTTTGTACATTAACTGCAAAAGTTTGCTAGTTGATGACTTTCATTTGGAATTTAAATACATAAGTAATTAGACAGACTTTTGCCGTTAATCTACTTAATAATATCACATCGCCTTATTCGAGTAGGAATTAGACAGCACGATTGCGAACCGCCCATCTTAGTCTAGACTTGCCTCACTGTACAGCACTGTTTTATTTATGCACCGTACAATAAGTAGGATTAAAATCGGGCTGTATATTCAATTTTCACCAAACGCTCATAACAGCGTGTTCATTCTTATTCCCCGACTGCGCGCAAAAAAGAAGAATCTCCATTCATTATGAATATGAAAAACAACAACTTTATTTAAATAAAAAATCTATTTAGATCGAATTTTTAATAAACACGTTTCATTCAGTTAGAACGGCAGCACGGAACGCTGTCAAGTACCGCCCGAGTCGTAAATTTTAGTCAATCTGAAGAGATTTTTAATTTTATATAATGCAAAAAATTATTTAATGTTTACTTCAGAGAAAAATATTTTTCTAAAGACTGCTGTTAACTTGTGGGCTGAAATGTCTTTCTGTTTTACGGTTTACTTTACCATATTTGTTAATACGCGGTTTCCTTTCCATATCTTGTAATGCGTATAAAAGTATCTAAATGTTAAAATTGATGCAGTCGGGCGTTTTGTAATCTCTATCTTTCATCTCATTTCGTAGACCCAAGACTACACGCTTTGACCTCAACTATCAAATACTTTTGTGTATAATAATTTTTTGTTAACTTGTACTAAAATAATCCATTTACAATCAGGCCTTAACGAAAGTTAGATTTAAGAATATTAATCGTAAGAACAATACTCAATCATGATTTGAACCAATCCAAAGAATATTATCATTGTTGCAATATTAGACCATGACAAGCTTTAGTTAGGGTAAGACTTAATTTATTTGCTTTTATAAGCGTCAAATTATATACAAACCTATATCCTATATTTATGTAGTTAAGTGAATTGTGTTCGGGCAGTTGGTTCTGTATTGTGTAAAATGATTTGCATTGATTATGAAAGTTGTTTTATAGACTTTAAGTAACTATTTAACTTGAACCAAGCAAGCCATAAATTGTTATATCCTAACATTTCTAACTTTTATTTTAAAGTCTCTTTCGTTGTTTTGTAAGAAAATCGAAAATATTTTCGTTTTTTTTTAAGTACATAGCAACTGATACATTAATTACAAATATATTGAATAATTGATACAAAGACTTTTTCTTATTGACAGTCGATCCTATTAGTACCTATAATAGTTGCCTTCTCTTTGTGAGTGTGTGTTGTCTCAACAGATTGTCTAATTTAAATAAAACACTTTAACGGTTTAAAACGCGATATATTAGTTAAACTTATTTGAAAATGATTTTTAACTTCGGCCCGACGTTTCGGATGCTTTGCAGCAGCCGTGGTCACGGGGAGACTAAAGATGGAGGATGTCTCAGACGTCAAAGTAAAGAATTGCTACGCTAGCGCCATCTGTTCCGTCGAAGTTGGTATTTGGCGAAACTGGCCGGGTCCTTACAGAATTGACTAACGGTGTCTTCGCGTTTGCTGGTATGCTGTTTATTGGGATCCAGAGTTTTTAATATGGGATCCCAGGTGTTTGATAGTTTGAGGCCGTCCTCCCTATTGAAATTTCGGTGTTTTTTGATTTCAATTGCTTCGCGTACCAATCTTGGAAAAAATCGACTCTCCTTTGCGAGGATTTTTGGTTGGTCAAAGCGAATGTAGTGATTGGGCCCTTCTGATGAGTGTTGGCATACCGCAGATTTGGAGAGACGTTTATGTTTTATATCTTATAGAATAAAGATTGTCTAATCTTTATTCTTCAGTTTTGTTCAACTCCCTTCCAAGACTACAACAATTTTGACTGAAATATCTAAAAATCTATAAGACAAAGCAAAACAGGTATTAAAAGGGCGAGTGAGATTAAAAGCAAATAAAACAAGTGTTATATTTGAATGGAATTTAAAATTTATTAAACCTACCTATCTAGAATAATTATAATTTTCTCATTTCTGTTGCATGCTTTGTATCACATGGATTTGGAAAATTACTGTTAAAATACCTGCTATGACAGGTTACAATTGTATAGTATTTGTTTAAGGGAAAGGAAACATAATTTATTTGATCTTCAGCGTGAGAAAGCGCTATTAGTTAAACAAGTATATTTTAAAGTCTAATTAACAATATAATTTGAAAAAATTTGTTGGACCTACCTACCTAAGATTAAATAATTGAAAAAAAAATATAAAAATTATTATTATGTGTACACAACAAAGAATATAATATGATTCAATAAAAAAATAGGTCCTAATTAAAGAAACTAATGTAAAATGCTAATTGTAAAATTGAATGCAGCGTAAATGGTTGGATTATGTTAGCGTAAACAATGAAAACCACATCACGCCTGTTAAGAACTACCCTCACCTTGACAAAACAGTGTTAGTTGGTTTTGTGAATTAGTTACATAATTTTTTTTGTCATAATTAAAAAATTAAAATGATGAAATATTTTTGAGTCAGTCACAATATTTTTCATAATGACTTCGCAATAATATAATTAATGCATGTCAATATTATCAGAATGCTGAACAAACCTCCATGTGATATATTTTGTATAAAAATAAATAGAACTCTAATTCACATCTAACATTTATGTCTGTCTGCTAAAGCCATACATACAACAAAATAAGATATATTTTCCAGATAATAGGAAACAAAATGAATACGTAAATTGATGTCGGTTTGTATGTATAGTTGTAATAGGCAGACGAAATCAGAGAAACACTAGCAAGCTACAATATAGGCGAGACACAGGACATTTCGTTACTGAACACTACACACTCCCTACATTATAACATTGAAATAAGCAAATATAGATCTACTCGATTAGCCGCTCATTTAGAATGTATACTTTTGTTTAGGCCCCTACATCCAATACTCCTCGCTTTTCGCTCGATAAGACTTTGAATAAATAAAAGAAACGCATACGATCTAGTTAGATTTCAAAGTATTAAATTAATTCAAACTCTACAACTACAATACCGTACAAAATGTGCCGTGTCGACTAACATGATCAGCTTACGTTGACGTGCGAAGAAAACACTGCGTAGCATCGATATCTTGCTTCTTCTAACGTCGCAACACTCTGCTTACGTTTTGTTAAGCAAGATTCCGACGCAATACTGTCGTAGCCTATTGTTACCGGCAATAAACTCTGACATGAACAATTCCAAACATTAGGTACTTCGATTATTTGAATACGTCGAGAAGGCGGCTGTGGTCATATTGCTTTCCGAATACAATGCACTCGCTACACTTACGATAATGTCCAATACAATTTGAAAACACTACTTACGACTAAATATATTATCTCTAAGTTAAATTTGTTATTCCTATTACTATAATAATACGTTGATACAAAATTTCTTTTTTTAGATATTTTCAAGTCAAAATATATAAATATTCTTTTTAAAGGTAGAAAAGTTGAAATAAATTTATATAAAATGCTTTATATACTTTCATATAACAGAGTACGAGGTTTAGTACGTCAAATAATTGTCAATATTAAAATAGTTAGGTACCTACTTAGTTATAGTGTGAATATAAAAGTTTAAAATAAACGCAATATTTCCTTTAAAAAGTGTAGTACAAATATCGATCTTTGTGTTTTTTGCTTAGATATTATTTCCTTCACAGTTAAAATACAAATAACATAAAATAATTCATTAAAAAAAATCTTATATTACAGCACAGGTTCAAAACGAATGCGATAACATGGAGTTATTCATAAGTGTGGGAATATGTATTTTATCAGCGACATGTTTGAATACAAAAGGAATGTTAATTTAATAAAATGCACTTCAAATATTTTTCACCAACAATGAACAACGGCTTGATAACAAAGACGCTAAAACTGTATTCCACATCGGTCTACAAGCATTTGTTTCCATTTTTAACTCCACTGTCATTTGCTAATTAAATATGTTGTGATTCTCTTTATCTGTAAATTAATATAGACGCCCCATTAAAAGTTAACGTAGCTTAAAATCTCACATTGGTCCATAGACTGATGAAAATAGTATTATTGTGCTTTGAAAACAAGTATTACAGAAAAGCTCAATAAGAAAATGTGAAAAATAACAAACAACAAGAATTACTGACGACACTTGAACAGTAAAAAAATTACGGTACAAACTAAAAACTAGTTTTATAGTTTAAATATTAATGCATCTAGAGCTATCGGGCGCTCCTTCCACCAACGTAGTATCTTGGAATATGTTGAATTTTATCAGTAATGTCGTCTTCAGTTGATGAAAGAATGGCCACAGATTATGTATTCCATTGATAAATCTTCACTATTGAAAGCAACAGGTCATATATCAGCGTATAGTTCCGAAGGTCTAAACGAACACCGAAAGCTTTATGTAACATCAAAATTCAAAAACTACTCTTAAACATGCAGTACTATAAACTTTGTTTTAAGAAAATATTTAGTAAACGCTATATAGGCTTTAATTTTATAATAAATATATAAAATGTATTTCATTCTTACTCATATTTTGAACGTTCACAGATAATTAGTCGAATCGCTTTGGTGTAAATTGGCTCTCTGCTATATACTTTAAGCTATCACTACAAAGTTCTCTGTATAAAGCCGCAGTAACTCCGATTGCCTTAAAAATATTATAGAAAATGTAGCTTATATTCAGTTAATGCTATCAGAATCATGAATTTCTTATTCCCTCGTGAAATGCATAATATTTACTTATTCCCGATGGCAGTCGATTCGAAACAACTCTGCTTTAGTATTGCGATAAATATTGAAGAAGTCTTAACTTTCTACTGTAAAATATCCTAAAACCTTTATTTTGATACGATATAATATAAGTCATCGATATAGTCTAGTTGATTATATAAAAAATATTGAGAAGTTTGATTCTGCAGACCGTACATTTTTGATACAATTTCGAGTAGAGAGCTCCCGCGTAACAGGTGACCGCGTTGATAGTGGGCTTTGAAACAATAATTCAGCGAGTCAGTTGAGTATTTTAGAGTGATCATCGGCTCACCCGCCTCTACTGATGGTGTTGGATGGGAGTCTGGCAGTAGGGGCACTCTTTGGCGGTGCCCGCGCAACTGTCGCACAACACGTAATGATTGCACGGCGCGAGCGTCACGCTGCGCGGCTGTTCTTCGCACACCATACACTTGGTCGCCGTCTCTAGGTAAAGCGCTTTCTCAATTTCCTCCAAGTCCGAACGTACTTGCACTTGCAGCGCTTTCAACGCCGTCAGCGGTAAACCACGGAGTTCGCGACGTCCGGCCGCGCGAGACGATTCCAGTTCGCGTTTCAGGTTTAGCGCGTGGGCCAACGCTTCGTCGCGTTGTCTTTCGGCCAAAACGGCTTTCCGCTGCGCCTCGTCCGACTCCCTTTGCCAGGCTTCGCAAGCGGACCGAGCTTGAGCGATGCGTTCGTCCCAGCGAGCGGCGGCCGCGCGCGATGCCACGACCTCCTCGCGCAGCCGGGACAGCTCCGCGGGCGCGGAGGGCGATGTCGCCGCAAACTCGAATGCGCTGGTCGCGGCGCCGAAGCTACCGGCCTTAATGGCGTGAGAGTTGAATAACCTATCTGTGTCGCTCGTAGCGTACCGCAGAAACGGAGGAAGCGGTGAGCCTCCGCTGGGCGGACTGAAGCCGCGCAGCGTAGGTCGGGGGATGTTGACGGGAGCCGATCCCCCGAGTAAACCCTCGCCGTCTGATAGGTCGCGGTCTAAAGATGCCACTAAATTAAGAGGGTCATCCAAATGGATGTCATCTAGAGCGTTACCAACCACTTCTTGAAGAACTGTGGCGTCGAATGTGGCCCGGGGCGGCCACGACGGTTGTGGCTTATCGTGGTCAGAATATCCTTGAAGGGCCGTGGTCTGTATTGGTCTGGGTGGGTGTATTGAACCCCCACTGGATGTAGAAGCACATTCGGAACCGTCGCCGCTGCCGTTTGCATGTGGGACTTGTGGAGAGATAGGGCGGCCGAGTCCCAGGGCTCCAGTTAGCATATTGACATCATTCTTCTTGTCGTTGGGTAAAGCAGATGATAAAAGTTCGGCTAGATTGGTACCGCATTCTAATGGTGCTGTCAAGTCACGAGATGTAAGGTCCTCAGCTGGAATAATAAATATAAAAAATTAAGTAATTTTAAATTTATCGACAAAAATAAAGGTTACTAAATACACTATGGTGGCATAACGTGTAGAATAGGGAATATTCTATATTCTGTAACGAAATTAAAAATTTGTGTTTTCAACCTGAAATTAAATTAATCTGAATTGCCTTTCTAAAAAATCCTACGCCTACTTAAAACATATTTATTTAACTGAAATACAATGATACTCACGTTCAACGTGCGCAAACGCACAGAACAGGCCTCGCGGGCAGTAACCAGCTTGCTGCACGTCATTACACTTAGTAGATTTGTAGATCTCTGGGTGAAATTGCTGTTCGGTGCGAGTGTGGCAGTAGCCGCAGGCGTCGCCAGCTTCGCAATTGTTGGGCTCGCCCCACTCTTCCCCGTGCTTCACGTTGGGGCATGGGGTGCTGCGGTACTTGTACTTGCGCGGAGATCTACGCTTATCCTGTTAAGATACCATGCTACTTATAAATAAACGTAATTTAATTACTATTTAAAAAAATGTTTTTATTTTAAACAGACAGTTTGAAACCATTTGAAGAAGTTTGTGCAAGTATAAAATCGATAATTGTGAATGCATTTTTAATTATTATTTTCTTTTGGGGAAACCAATCAAAGGCCGAGAGATCACTATGTTGACCCATTTACCAATTTCTCTACACCTCCATTTTAAGGCAATCAATGAGCATGGATAATCCTACCTTCGTCACCAAGTCATATTTTATTTATCTATTTATATATGGATCATTTATGTTTTTATAGATTAATCTCAAGAAAAGTAAATAAAAACATAGTTTATTCAAAAATTGGCGATAACGGTACCTTATTTATTACCATTTTTTAATGAAAAATATTAATAAAGTATAATAAGTATTGGTTAAGTTAATGAGGTTATTTTATTATAACTACTTACTTTACTATTGTGGTATTGGGGGCATGCATAGCCTTGTCTACAGAGCCTAGGAGGTCTCTTGCATGGTTCTGTTTTATATGATGATAGAACATAATTTGTATCTGGAAAAAAAATAAATACTATTGTATGAAATTCTATTAACCCTATGGATTCTACAGAAATAAGAAAAAAATTGAAACAAGTAATTTTCTTTTTCTATCTCTTTGTACTCTAAATTATTAGCATAAAAATGATCAACACCTTGCCATTTAGGATCTTCATTCATCAAATTCCGTTCTCTATCTAAGGCATTTGGTGCTGCCGAGTCCCCATCAGTTCCATCAGGGTTCTCCAGAGCTTGAAGCTCCCGCATATCGAGGACTGGAGGGCGAAGGTCTGGGCCTCCATGTGCGAAGGCACAGTGTGCTCCATTCTTAGTGCAGAGGCCCCGAGCATCTGTATCATGTACACACATACATGTCTTGTAATATCTTAAGTGATATCGTCGTTCTGTGTCACCTGCTGTTCTATGTAAGTAGGGGCAACTGAAAACAAGAAAGATGCATTGAATATAATAATTATTGGTTAAATAATAAGTTGTGTTTTTTCCTATAAGCAAGTTTTTGAATAAAAATCACTTTATAAGAATTTCTGTACAGTGTTGATAATTAGTATAAGTCATTTAAAGTTACAACTGTCATAGCTCCATCGCTAAACAATAAATTATTTTAAGTGTGGTAGGTCCTAAGTTTACTTTAGAAATTATAATTAATAGGTTTGATACAATGCATCTCATACCACAAAAGCTTTGGATTTTTTATTAATAATCATCAAAATACAATAAAACTGATGACATAATTCTCATTCTTAACAGCAGATTTTCTCTACTGCATAAATCATAACAGTAAATTGTATTAATTAATTCCTATTACAATGCTAATTGAGTGTAAATAGAGTTTCTACTATCATCAATTTACTAATTTGTTTCCAATTAGACTGTCCAAATAATGCATCAATCATACCTAACACATAAATAAAATGCTTCCAATATTCAGCTTCAAACAATAAAGACTTAGGACAATGGACTATAAAGGTATTATACCTTCAAGTGAAAAATAACAATGTACGGTTGTAAAGCTATGCCGCCCAATACCATTTCAACTTAATTGGGTTATAGTACTTTTTGTATTAGTAAACAATTTTTTTCATAGAACACCAAAAGTTTACCAACTAGTTCGATTTAAACGAAGATATCAATAAGTTTTATGTACCACACGCAAAATTAAATGTATTTTAATACAGACAAAAGAAAAGGACAAAGCGTCGTTTGATACTTACTCGTCACCATCCTCGCAAATGCCCGAAGTTTCATTATATTTAGTGCAATAATTGTCTGCGCTATAATTGAAGGTCCCATCCCGTTTTCGTACGGGCCGTCTACGTCTCTGATTATTAAAATGCCAATGGAAACATGTGAAAGGCCTATGTTGTGTACATTTATGTTGTAAGAACGACGGACACTGTTCCACGCGAAATTCCTTAAGATATCTGGAAAACGAAACCACCGTTGTAAGTGAATCGCACATCACTGCAAACCGTATCACATAAACTTTTATTTTTAACAGAAATTAGGACTGAAAGTAGTCATTACTTATAATGATTTGGTTTTTCTGTTTGGGCTGTCAACAAAGGCTTAGATTCCGACGGCATTTTGGTGAACTATTATTGCGCCTCTCGCGTCGCGCAGGGCACGCTCACCGACGACCAATTAAAATTCGATACAAAAGGATCACGTGACACTAATATTTTAGAAAGTTGATACTAATGGAAATGCAACAGTTTTGTCCTAAAAGAGTTACATTTTATCAGATACACTTGACCTTGAACTTAAAAAAATAACTTCACGACGATTGTTTTATATCCCGAAATTAGAGATAAACCGTAAACGTCACTCAAATAAAACACAAATATGTCATACTACGTCAAGCATGTTTTCCGTTCGTCTCTTTTACTCGTACAGATTCTAGGTGGAACAAAAAGTAGGTCTTAGTTTTTTACACATTATAATAGCAATAAAGACATTAAACAAAATATTTTTTTATATGACTTATTTATCAAATATTCTAGATAAACTTCGAACCGTAATGAATAAAGCACAAAATAGATGCGCATATTACGATATACCTACATTAAACAATCAAGCAGTAGAAAATAATTACATATTTATATTTTTAAAATACTTCAATTCTTGAACCATCAAGTTTTTGAATCACAACAATTAATTTTATACATATAATAAACGTAATATTATAATTATTATTAATATAGAAAATAATAAAAAAAGATCCTACAGATGTTACAACAGATTATTTACAAATCATTAGAGTATTTAATTTTTTATGTGATTGTAAAATAATATTTTTCGTTAAAGCAACATTTTCTTTAAAGCAATAACCAATCGCAGAACGTATAATATTTGCAGCTGACACTAGTAACCAATGGAAAACAGTTTTTTTACACCAATAGTGAGAGAGTATTATTAGAAATCTCGACCAATCATATTTCAGTTACAAGGCGTCGCTGTTCGCCCGCCATTCTCTCGTCGCCATCTTGAACATTCCTTGTGCTCGAGTTCGTTGCGTAGTGCATTTAAAATCATAAATTTTCACAATTCTTTAAAAAAAGGTGCGAAAGAATCTTATTTGTTACGAAATGTAACTTTATACGTAAATTGTTGTTAAATTCTAGTCAAAGTCCTAATTTGTTATTGTAAAGTGTCGCAACGTTGATGTTTATTGTTGTCCTTAATAGGTACTATTTTGTTTTCTAGTAAAATATGGCGCGTACAAAGCAAACTGCCCGTAAATCTACTGGAGGAAAAGCTCCTCGTAAACAGTTGGCCACCAAAGCGGCGCGAAAATCGGCACCCAGTACTGGGGGGGTCAAGAAGCCCCATCGTTACCGTCCTGGTACAGTCGCTCTTCGTGAAATTCGTCGTTACCAGAAATCCACTGAATTGCTCATCCGTAAGCTGCCTTTCCAACGACTTGTAAGAGAAATCGCTCAAGATTTCAAGACTGATCTTCGTTTCCAGTCTGCCGCCATTGGTGCTTTACAGGTACTGCTTTTGGTAAATCATATCTACCCACCCTTATTTTGCCTTATGTGTTGACTTAATCAATGTTATTTTTACAGGAAGCGAGCGAAGCCTACCTCGTAGGTCTATTTGAAGACACAAACTTATGCGCCATCCATGCCAAGCGGGTCACCATTATGCCTAAAGACATCCAGTTGGCCAGACGAATCCGTGGTGAACGTGCTTAAATTAAGATTAGCATAAATGAGCGTAAATTATTTGTAATTCGATTAGGTGTAATTTCTATAATTTTTGTAACACATCTTCACTTTGTAATCATTAATATTAAGGAGGCAGAACTGATTTTTTTTTACAAAGTTCATAATATATAAGTTAGACTGTTTGCACAAGAAGCTGGAGGTCACCTTATCATCCCAAATCATAAGTGTAGTCTTGTGCAGACAAAAGTTAATAGTGATGTGTTAGTGGTTAGGCAATGTTGACAGTAATCGAGAGATTGTTTGAGAACGTTTATGCACTTTCGATATGTAATTAAGATTCTTGGTGTTAATTAAACTTAATTTAGACTACTTTGTGTATTAATGCTACCTCTGTAATGCCCTTCGAAACACCCTAGATTGAACATTAGTTGTTTAACAACAATGTATAGTTTATTGCTGATTTCATATGTGTGGGTAACATTAAAAACTACATAAATTAATGCAAAAGATCCACATGTCTAATTATTTATTTAATAAATTATCTACAAAGAATACTATTCTTATGCTAAAGCCTTGCTTTCCTCTTCTTCAATTTCCCGTAATCTCTGTTCGATTTCTATAAGGCTTTTGCCATTTTCTTTATTATAGCTATAACTTAAGAGCAGTTGTTGCTTTTCTAGCCCTTTAAATCTGTCATATAGAGTTTTATTGAATTCTGTATCTATGTCATTCTCTTCTCGAATAACACAAAAGTAAAGCATAAAAACAGCAACACTGCAAATCACACTGTAAGGCTGGTACCATGGTGCGTTGGATGGCTTTGACAACACTGGTACTGGTCTTGCTTTAGCCGCAGGACTTGTAGAAAACTTTACTGGAATATTCTCTTCTGCATTTTGAACTTTACTACTGTAAGATCTTGTTCTTAAAAGTTTTACATAATTTCTGGAAAACCAATAATTATGTTTATGTTAAGGAAAATAAAAATGCACAATTAAGTCAGGCAAAAATGAATTTGTACTATTAGTTCTGTAAGAACTATGTTAATAGTTCGATCACTGTGCTCTTGTAGATTAAGATTTTTAGACTATGAAAATATAAATAACTCAAGTCATAACGTTACGTTACTCAGTCTCTAGTGGCCCTAAAATCTAAAGTATACACATTTGATTAAGAATGCAAATCAATGTGAAGTGCAAGTGTGAGTAACTAGCTGATTTTACCAATAGAAAAATACCTCAAAGCTTTCTTTAATAACTATGATTAACTTTTTATCTATTTGCCTTAAAACTGCAAACTGCTATACATTTGAAATAATAATTATTTAAGCTATGTCCTGTCTAGAAAGAAGTATCTATATATTAAATGGTATAAAGGAAGAAAATTCGTCTGATATAGAGGATTTAGAAGAACCAGCATTACTTTAAAAAGGTACCTAAATTACAATAGAAAATTATCCAGTATAAGCTAAAATATATAGATACCTTAGTTGTTGAATATTTTTAATCATGTTGCATAATATTTCAATCGGTTTTGACGAAGAGTTTAAGTGCAATACAACAATAATTCTCGAATCAAAATTTCGAAACCAATTGTTGGTATTATTTCCAATTTATTATAATTGTTTGTTAAAAAATCTGTAGTAACAATTTCCTACATGAATGTCAAATGTCAATGTCAGTATCCGCTCGGTTCGATTATTTCGTTTTATTTCACGATTTATTTTAAACTATTCACTTTCAAAACGTAAACACCTCTTGTTAAACGTGGGTATGGTATATGTTGATAAAATATCAGGATATTTGCTTAGCACAGTTAATCTTTTATTAAAATGTAAAACATTAGAACTTCACCTACAATATTATAATCGAATTTCCAGGAGTCATAGTTTATTTTGTTCTAAATTTTTCATATTTGCTAGCTTTTCAGAACTGTATCGAAGTGCATTTTTTATTCTGAAAATTGAATTATTTATCGTAAACGCAGTTTCAAATATAAAAACGGGTTTGAAAGATGAAGTTCAACGTGAATAAAAAAATAATTAATTTATATACGTTAAAATTGAAAAAAATATGAGTAGGTAACCTGACGAATTCTTCACCGTTTTCAGGTTCTGCGATTATACGATTCCTTTCAGCTATAGCCTTTTCTCGTCTCTCTATAGCACATTTAAGTCTACCCTCGTTAGAGTATATTTTCTTTTCTGGCGTATTCACAATTCTCGGTTTCAATTCTGTATGAACTGGCTTTATAAGAAGTGCCCAAACATCGTAATCATCTGAAGTTTTTTCAATTTTGTCACAAAAAGACGATCGTAGCTTCCAAACATCGAAAATACTTTGATTCTGTTGAAAAAAATGTGTATTATATTGGAAATCCGCAATACCGCGTGCACTTTAGGGAAATAGAAAATCTAGGCTAAATTGGAGTCCGGATAGTTTGTTCTATATATAAATAAAAATATCTTACTACTTTTTCTTTTAATTCTTTCAATTCTTCTCTTATAACCTCAACTTGGGAAGCAAGTGCAAGAATCCTCATTTTTCCTACTTCAAGGTTAGGTAAATGTTCTTGTATTTGTTTATTTAACACGATTTCTTCCTGTTGAAACTTGTCGCTTTGAGAATGTGTGTCTCGAATATTTCTTTGAAGTAAAGCAATATGAGATTCAACTAAACGGAATAAACTAATAATTAATTAAATTTAAGAAAATAAGAGAAATATTTGATTAGAAATAGAACGCTCACGCTCTCGTTTTTCTTTCAATTTTGCTTCCGTATCTTGCTCCTGTAGTTTGATTTTTTCTATCGCAGAACTAATCGAAATATCCATGTTATCAACTAAATATGTGTGAAAAGGCTTTTGTGAAAAGTGATAAAAACTTAGTACCTTTCCTTTCAACAAACTCCCGCGAAACGTAAAGTTTATATAAGTTTAAATACAATCATGCATTTACGATAATTTTTTTTTGTAATATTTAATGGCCAGTAACGAGACCTGCATTTACGATAACAATATCTATATGTATGTATTTACATAATCTATATGTAAAAACAATATGAGTTCTGAAAAAGTTATCTGTCAAAAGTGTACCCTGCTTGCTACCCTGTCACATCTATGATTGTGTTATTGTTTTGTCAATTTGGTAACCCGGGACATTTCAAATTGTTTTCTTATAACATTGCGTGGATATTATTTCACCTATAATCTTATCAAGTTTAATCAGTTTATCTTATTTACAAGTGAGTTTTAATGGAAACTCCTGACGCAAAGGGATTCGTTAACGTCGTTTGGCCGAGCAAAAGCGTTGCTCATGGAGGTATATTTCATACTCGCGTGGCGGAACCATCGGCCGCACAGAGACAGTTTTTAAAAGGTAAGAATTAATTTGCACAATTATTAAGCTGTGTTAAAAAAGATGAGTAATAAAAAATAATTATTCTATTTCCATGTTTCTAGTTTTACTCGAAGAATCTAAGCTTAGTATCGCTCAGCGCAAGAAGTCTGCTTTGACTCTTCGTCAGTATGAACCTAAAGAAACACTACCACGTATTTCGGGTCCCACAGTACGGCCTCGGACTTCTCGAAGGCGATCTCTATCAGCCATCAGGGAATCAGGAATATTAGATACATCAGAGTTAGTGTTTAATAAAGATCGAAAGTAGTAGACATTTTGTACGCTTGGTTCTTAGTTTGATAAATTGGTGCGTGCCGTCGTTTACCAGATCGACTATTTATAGCAATTCGTATGTAAAAATAATGAAAAAAACGAGTACTTAATAAACTAGATACTGCGATTAAGTTAAAATTCAAATCGGGCTTAGCCTTAGAATTTAAAATAAGGATTACAATTTGCCTGGGTCACAAATGTTTAAAATAGTTTTAGAAAAAATTTTTTATGTGTAAAATACAAACAAATTATCAATTGAATAATATTAAAACTGAAAACAGTTACCGCCCTCTAAAACGCGGTGAAGATCGCGAGAAACTCAAAGATCATCTCGCAAACTCTATGGCATATGGTGATGAAGAGCAACAGCCACTGCAGCCCCCTCGGCGACTCAAATCACCTCCTAGGTTGCCTACTAAGAAGGAAATGTGGCATGATTGTAAGTCGTATCACGATGAAAATATTATATTATATGAGAGAAGTTAAAAATACGCAACGAGTTTATTACTTTATTTCAGTAATGACTCAAATAAGGGAGCGTGCCGAATGGCTAGCCGAAATGGAAGATTTGGGTCATGGGGCGCCACACCGTGACCTTATCCAGGACCAAATAGCTGAACGGCTTCGCGCCCTTGATGCCTTGAGCATTGACGAGCCTTTCTCTGCTCGGTCCAAAGGCTCAGGATTTAGCGTTATACAGATTGCTAAAGATAAAGAAAGTGTCAGAAGCAATGTGAGGGCTACAGCAAAGGAAAGTGCTAGATCAAATGAGCGTGTTAGCGCAAAGCAGAGTTCTGGTAAGAAAATTTCCTACTATTATATGTTCACCATTTATTTCTTGTAAGGATGAAATGACTTTTTTGAAATTGAGATGTAACTCAAAATATTGATGACTGATAATGATTAATGAGTTTTTGCTCTTCCTAAAACTGGTTTGGTAAGGCTAAAAACTATATCCTAGGTGTATACCTATTGATGTCACTCGGATTTTAGAAGCATTTTATTTTATTTTATAGAAAGCTCTGTTGTAAAACTTTCTTAAAGGATTGTATATTTCAGTAAGATCAAATGAGTCAAGAAGGCAAGAAAAAGTAACAAGAAAGAACAATAATAAAGAGGAAAATGTGATTTCATATCAGAAATTATCACCTTTGCAATATTCGCCAAGACGCAGAGTTTAAAGTAGGCGTCCATGTTTTTACTACAATCTAATTAGTAAAATTGGTAAAATTCTAAGTGTTGTTCTAGTTTAATAATTGGCATAGACACAAACTCTTATGTGAGTTAAAGAAATTGATATAGTAAAAAGTTCCTAAGTACACAATGGTTTTATTAGTCATCAATTATAATTGTTTTTGACTTTTTGGCTTTTTTTAACACATCAGATTTTCTTTTAAGAGTATCAGGTTTTTCTGTAACTATCACATTGTCCCAAGGCGCTGGCCTATCTAATTCAAAATTTGTGTATTTCCTAATGGGCATTTTTAATGTAAAGTTTTGGTCATTAATTGCCTCCATATTTGGACCTTTTTTTAAATACACAACAGTACTGTATGCTGTGTAGTGAAAGTCTTCTGTCAAGTACCCTTCCACCAATAAATATGCAACAACATCCTCCGCAAATGCTCTAGAAAACGGAGGTTCCTTTCCTTTGTGCCTCAGAGGTACAGGGCCTTTTAGAAACCATGCATCTAGTAATTTCTGCGCTGTTAGCTTTGTATCTTGCTTTGCAGCATTATCTATGATAGAGGTTAGAGTCTGACAGTGTGATTCAAGATTTATCTCTTTAGTAACATTACTATTACTTATACAGACATCACACATTTTGTTACAGTCAGAATCACCCCAATCTTCATCAAAGTGTTTGGCGATCAGTTCTCTTCTACATAGATGTCCATTTAAACAGTATTTCACCATACCATACAAGAAGTCCATACTACCAACAGATGAAAACACCATAGCACTAACTTTAAATATGTCCTGCATACGATATAAAGTTACACATTCCCCTCTTAGACCATCCCGTCCAGCTCTTCCGCTCTCCTGATAATAATTCTCCATTGATTTACTAATTGTGTGATGAATTACAAATCTTACATCAGGCTTATCAATACCCATACCAAATGCTATTGTGGCAACAATTGCTTGATAATAATTTTCATGCCATTTTATATGTACTTTGGACCGTGCTTCAGCCTCCATGTTTGCATGATAACATCCTACTTTTAGGCCTTTTTGCCTCAATCCATTTGTAACATCCTCTGCATCTTTAATACTATTAGTATATATAATACCACTCTCATTCTTATACCTATGCTTTAAGAGCTTTTCAAGGATATTCAAACATTCATCATTTGATGTTGGTTTTTCTAATATCTTATAGAATAGATTAGGTCTATTAAAAGTTGATTTAATTATAAGACAGCCTGGTATATTGAGCATTTTCTGGACATCATTCAAGACATGAGCTGTAGCTGTTGCTGTCAGACCCAATAGAGGAACACCAGGAAACATATTAGATAATATTCCTAGATACTTGTAGTCTGGACGAAAGTCATGCCCCCAATGAGAACAACAATGCACCTCATCTATTGCAATTCTTTGCAACCTACCATTGCTGAAACACTTTTGTAAATTTGCCATAAATCTTTTGCTCTTAGCTAGCCGCTCTGGTGTTACATATAAGAGTTTAATAGGTGTTTTAATATCTTTTAAGGCATTTAAAGCAGCATTTGTTTCCTCTTTGGGACTAGTACTGGTCATGAGCATTGCATTAATTTCTTTATTTTTTAAAGATCGCACTTGGTCTTCCATTAAAGATACTAATGGAGAAACAACAATAGTTATTCCTGGTTCAACAAGAGCAGGAAGCTGATAGCAAAGACTTTTGCCAGCACCAGTAGGCATAACAACTATTGTATGTTGACGAGATAGAGTAGAATTAATAGCACTTAATTGCTTAGGCCTAAAAGAGCTAATCTTAAACACATCCTTTAACATTTTTTCGACCTCTTCTGACCATTCATACTTAATACCAGCCCAATCTACCTTAGCTAAAGTATCCGATTTTAGTTTGTTTAACGCTTTCTTTAACTCGGTTTTTCTCTCGTGCAACTGCCGTTGTTTCGTTCGCCATTTTTCCATTTCGGCGTCCACCTTAATAAGTTCTTTCTCGACATTTTTAATCTCATTTTCTAGTTTTTGGACCGTAGCCATGCTTTGCAATTATAATAAATGTAGCCAACGGAACATTAACTAATTATGTTGTCAGTTAATAAACATGCATTCTAACCGATTTTAATCCTAATTATAATTTATAAATAATCAGCCGTAAATATTATTTGTTTTTGCACCTCAATATACAAACTACAAACCATTTCAAAATATGTACACATGACAACCAATGGTGCAGCATCCGAAATCTATTAAGATGACAACTGACAATGTAGTGTACACACTACACATACTCGAATGAGCACAGACTAATGCGAATGAACTTGGCGAATGAATGAATATCTTTGTTTTAATTTTAGTTTTATATAAGTTAAAAAAAATCTCTGTAGGATTTTAGGAAATAAACTAAATCCTGTTTCCTCTTTGTGAGAAATGTGTGCAGGCATATTTCTTTGTTTGTTTCGGTTTTTATATTTTCAGATAAATACCTAGTTCATCAGAATATGTGTACTAATGTGTCCAAGGCAGTGCGTTATACTATTGAGCCACAGTCGATTAAAAATGAATTTTGTTGCTTAGAACATATAAGGTAACAGTATGTATGTAATTTAATACAAATAAACTTGCAAGTCATATTATATTACGTAAATGAGGCCAAGAATAAATATAATTTAAATAAAAGTACAACGAGCACACGCCACTTGATACCGAGGAGGCGAAGTTCTAAAATAAGGATATTGTCCATTACCGATAATAAAATAATCAGAGATCGGATTGGGCAATAATAAGTGACCAGTGATATTTCTATTGCCAAAGATGCGGGTCACTATTGTTGTTTTATTTTTATGGTAAGTTTAACTTCTCGGTTTAATTAACATAAATATTAAAAATCTTACATTACTGTGATTTACGCAAGTATCTAGTTCATTTTGAAATGAATATTGTTAACTTTATTATGGTTATTCTTTTAAAGATTGATGACCAGGAGAAGATTTTTTTCAGCTTGTATACTGTTGTATCAGGTCGTACTGCGGTGTTAATACTGGCAAGAGGAGGTTCAAAAGGGGTACCGTTAAAAAATCTTTGTCGCGTCGGTGGTGTTACGCTGCTGGGCAGGGCCATTACTACCGCGAAACTTGCGAATTTTGAGGACGTCGCCGTATCAACGGATCACCCAATAATCGCTTTGGAAGCTTTAAAACGTACATTTATAAATATTTTCATTTTTACACATGCGATGGAATAAGGGCATACATCGCGATTTTCAATTACTACTTACTATGTATATAATTGCCGTACTTTTTCTTATACTTTATCAATCCAAGTAGGCGCCTAATCATGTTCTAGTGTGCTGAAGTCTTTAGAATAGCCTCTTTTAATTACTTTGTTTGTTTTATAGACGGTGCGCGGGTTTTTAAAAGGTCCTATGTAACGGCTACAGACTGGGCACCATCAATATGGGGGGTACAAGAGTACGTTGCTTCTAACAATGGGGTTAATATTTTGGTTTTATTACAAGCCACTTCTCCCTTTACACGATCCGAAAGCTTAAAACGATCTCTAAAGAAACTTAATCAAGTGACACCCTATGATTGCGTTTTCAGTGTAATGAGGTAAAGCCTTTATAATGTAGATATATTGTACATTTCAATGTTTAATTGGCTATAATTATGGTTTCAGAAGTTTTAAACTAAGATGGAACTGGAATGGTTCTAGTTATCTTCCAATAAATTTTAATTTAAAAAAACGTCCAAGGCGTCAAGATTGGAGGGGAGAATTTATTGAAACTGGAGGTTTTTATATTACTCGGGCGCATCTTATTAATGAGGGTTACTTACAAAATAACAAGTATGTGTTATTTATGATTCTGCGGTTATTTTTAATCGCTTATTTCGACATTTCATTAGAGTTGCCAATGCGCCTGATATTCACACCGGAACGACTGCAAAGTGTCAATTGTCACTGTCAATGTCTATACTATATCTACCTCGGTTTTCAAAAAGTTTCATTTTCCAAGTTGATGAAAGTTATAAGTTTCCGACGTGTGTAATTTCATAATTCTGTTGTTTAATTCAAACTAATGGAGTGAAAATATTATGTGTCTACGCATTTAATTTTATGTTGAGTTTATAGATGATGGCATTTACAATTTAAGAATATAGTAATTAAATATTTATAAATATTCTTACTGATACATAATGTGTATAAATTTGTTATTTATAATATATAGAATATAATTACAACATACATGCGTGGTACTTTTCAGTTGTACTCTATACGAAGTTTCGGAATTTGAAAGCCTAGAAATTGACTCTGCGTATGATATTTATCTGGCCAATACTTATTTGACCTATAAGGAAGCAATCATATAGACATTACTTCATCTATAAAGGTTAGCAAACATAAAAGACAATAATAATTGTGGTATTCTGCATCAATTATTTTTATAATAATTTACAGATTATAATGTCTCGAGGTTCAGAAGAGGTCACTTTTGAATATTTAGAAGCCACAGATGTAATAAGTGTTGAGCTGGTGCCCGAACGAAAAGGTTTAATTTTAAAGCATTGTGAATATTATGTAAGCTCTCGCAGACATGGTACCACTGTTACACGGAGATATAATGAGTTTGTTCAGCTGTTTGAGGTGCTGGCGAGTAAATATCCATATCGGTTAGTATTTTAAAATAAATATTTAAAGTTAGTATTTTTATTTAATAGCATACTTTAAGATTAAATACTGAGGATTTAAAGCACATAATTTTTATACTTTATTCACATTCATATTAAATAGAATCAAGTTTTAGAAAGTACATACATTTAATTTGAAAATATTTTAAATACCATTTTGAAATGCTAATAAGTTTACAGTTAATGATACAATGCTAGTATTGAGAGTGATACAGTATGTTTGATAAGGCTTATCACAGTGTTATATGAAATATTCACACTTTATTATGTCTGATGATATTATAAGAATACAACTAATAGGTAGATAAAAATTAAGAGAGAAGGATGATGATAATCTATACTAATATATAAAGCTGAAGAGTTTGTTTGTTTGTTTGTTTGAACGCGCTAATCTCGGGAACTATGGGTTTGAATTGAAAAATTCTTTTTGTGTTGGTTTTTATGAAGTAATGCTATAACATCGCGTTGTGACTAATAAAAGCGAAGATACTGCGGGAAATGTGAACAAAACAGGGGAAATTGTTCATCTCTGTGGGTTTCAGATGCGAAATACCAAAAAAAATTGTAGGAAAGAATGATTCCTCTTTAAATAATCTAGTCTGTGACGCTATATATGTCTATCTTTTAAGATTAACTTCCAAGAACGACGGGAAAGGAACGCGATCGACATCGTGGGTACAGCTTAAGTTTATAAACATGAAGGGGTTTGCAAAAACCTCTTTGGATGCCCAAAATAACGATTCTCGCGGACGAAGTCCCTGACTAAACAGTAAAATTTGTACAAGGACCAGATAAAACAGAACAAGATAAACTTAAAATGAATATTCAGTAGTAAGTGAAGTCGAGTGCAAATTCACATTGTCCAATTATACTTTCAGTGCTATATGTGGCCTCCCGCCGAAACGAGTCGTAGTGGGCGGAGGTAGCCCCCTATTTCTTCAACGACGGAGAGCAGCACTGCAGCGTTGGTTGACTTTAGTTGCGCGACACCCGGTATTGGCGCACGATGCAGATCTGAGGATGTTTTTATGTGAGATCAACCTTAAATTGGAGAAACCAAAGCATGACGAATTTATTTTGGCTGGCACACAAGATGATAATCCTGTGAGTATATTCAATGACCGTTTCTTTTCACAAACTCTGAAAATATTTAGATTTATTTTAGTTATCAAACTAGTTGACCGGCTTGTTGGTGTAATGGTAGCAATGTATGGCTAATAATCAAGGGGTTGCGGGTTCGATCCCCACCGGGTCAGGAACTTACGGCCACTGATGAAAAATTCGTGAAGTTTAATCAAATTTCGGTTTCAGTCTGTGGATTTCCGAACATAAAAAGCCAAAATAGGCTGACAGCGCATCTGTTTACATGTTATATAGCTGGGGTAATTTACTCCTCATCAAGTGAAAGCACGGGGGCTTTATGTTAATTTATTTTCTGTAAAAAAGAAAATTTATTGACTATTCTCTTATGAAAAAGTAATAAACATCCATCCATCTTGAACTATTTTTGTATATTTTTCCAGCGTGGCATGACAACGGATGAAATGCAAGCAGAGTTTGGATGTGAACAAGAACAGCTCCGCCTGGTACACCTGGGTTTAGCGAGGTTATGCAAAATATTCGAAAAAGGTATTCATAAGATGTAAAAACATAGAATATAAATATATTTTAGAAGATTTGACACATATGGGGCTGTCATCCACACTTAAAATGATTTTATGTATGTTATGAACTACTACTATGTACTGTGTACTACTCGCGTAAACTACAGACAGTATTCTAAGCCTTATTATTATTTTCTATTCAAAGTTGTGTTTCGAACATGACGTGTCATCTTTTTACGTTCAATTTTGAAATAAATGAATTATATTTTAGCCGAATCTCGCTGTGAGACAGAGTGTGCTGATATCCGTGAGTTGGGGGCTGGACTCAGTGCCCTTTCAGTTTCCAATAATGCCGATACAACAAGATGGACTGTGGTTAGGGAATCTATGAAGGCAGCTGCACAGTTAGTATATTCGTAGAACGAATTGTATTGGAGTTTACATTTTATATATATATGTAAATAATATGTAGTCATTAGTATATTATATATATTTTAAGAATATCTTGGAAAAATTATTATTTTTATTTGCATGATAATGATCGTTAATTTAATTGGTAAAGCAGCAGCACAGGTTGCTGTGTTCAAGGGTTCGGTTTCTACTGTGTCGCCAAATGTTTTAAATCTAAAATACATTATTAATTTAAGTGCACATATCCTATACTCTATAGTACGTAAGTGTAGTAAAAATTCAATCACTTGACTTTTATTTCAGATTAGCATTAGAGAGGTGCGAATCACCCGAACTTTCGGATGAAGAGGGACAGCAACGTCTCCTACTAGCGTTGGACGCGTTGGTAGCGTATAAGGAGCTCTGCTCGCGTCTAACACGCGGCTTGCACGCTGAACGCGCCGCTGCTGCCGCTAGTGCACCGCACTCGGCTGCATCGCGTCGTTTACGCGACCGGCATCATTACGCGATGCGGTGCGCTTTAGAGGTAAGAGCCGGGCAAAAAAAGTTTGCTTAGGTGTACTGTTTAAATTTGTCTGTGATCTAAATGAAAATTTGTTTGTTCGAGTTTATTATATACTAGCTGTGCCCGTTTCAATTATTTAGGCTGTTTATTTATTTTATTTTTACTATTAATTTAATAAGACACATGTGTAAATACAGTGTTCCACTGCAAAGAGCTTATTAAGGAATTTATAATAAGTATATCTATGCTATAGTATATTTTTATATGCTTATTTGAGTTTTATATTTAATTTGGCATTTATAATACATAATATTAGGAAGGTCTATAAAAATTAATTACGATACATCCACACAACTTTTCAAACCTCATTCAACCCCTTACAACCTTTTTTTCGTACAGCAAAAGGTTTTAAATGCTAAGGCGCATTCAAGGCAGCCAATCTGTGTTGTAAGTGCTACTTTGCCGCAACACTCCCATTCCCACCCAGTCCCATTCTCACTTCCACTCTCACTCCCATCCTCAAAAAGTTAAAGGAGAAAGTTTCATTGTTCTAGCTTCGAAAATCACGAATTTCCATACAAACTTTCGTCCCATTTTTCAACCCTTACCATCCCTTTTTTGGCATTAAAAAGTATGCCTATGTCCTTTCTCAGCCTCTAGACTATCTGTGTACGAAATTTCATTTAAATCGGTTTAGTACTTTCGGCGTGAAAGCCGGACATACAGACAGACAGAGTTACTTTCGCATTTATAATATTAGTAGTGATTTATTTAAATAAAAATGTATAAATGGTATAGATAACATCGTTTGATTTTCTTCGGCATTTCTATCAATTTGTTAAATGTAAAAAAGTAGTTATAGTGACTTTTGGATTGGTCAGCGTCGACCAACCAATTACCCGACATGCGCATCACCAATTTCGCTTTTAACCTATAAATTGATTTATTTAAAATAGTGAGAAAAGTTCGAAATGAAAGAAAAACTTGAAGTTAAGAGATTGCATTTTCTTTAACTAATTTTAGATAATTTGGGAAAACGAATAAAACTGGATTTAAATTAACCTTTACACATATCCTTATTACACTTATACTTTAGAAATATCTGGGCGGTTTTCTGGTGATTCTATTGGAATTGTAATTTACATTTGTATGTGTCACTTTTAAATATTGTAAGTTGTTACTTTCAGGAAGCACGTGTAGCCCGCGCTTATGCTCTGTCAGCGCTCGAGACACTTCCCGCCATTTTGCATATATTGGGAACTGCGCACGCGCGTATCGCAGCTTGCTGGGCAGACTTGCACACGGCCCTTAGACACGCTAGTATTAAAGCTAGCCACAGATAAAAACATTCAGCAAAAAGATATATCAATGGAATTATTTTTTGTATCAATATTATAGACTTGTACAAATAAACAAGAAACCATAGTTAATCACAATTTTTACAACAAAACGTAACTAAGTGGTAGAAATCAAAAGTTATTTATACAAAACTATCAACTGAACTTCGATACAATTAAGCAAAATTCTTCGATGCAATTAAAAATCGTTGAAAATATTTTAGGCTAAAAGTTAGAATCTGTAATATGGAACTAAATGGTGCTTTTATTTACCGATATTTTAAACATTAGGTGTAGGTATAAGATGGAAAATAGGAAGAATATGCAATAATTATAATGTTTACTCGAATTCATTTGAAATATTATAGTTGTATGAGGATTGGGATGAATTAGAGAAATAAATATTGGACTTGGACATTTTTATGTGTCTGAAATACCATATCTCAAGTTACTCGAATGTCTTATGTTTTAGGACCTTATGTTTGTATAAATTCTATTGTAAGTGCTTAGCTTTAGAAATACCAAAACATTCCATACTGTGATATGTTATGGCAATACATTATCGTTTTTGATATTATACATTTCATAATAATTATAACTAAGTGATCTTATGTGTATATTTTGTTTACGAGGTTTAATAAATATTTTAATGCGCATTTCCAATTCCTGTTTATTTTAATCTGACATAAATAATTTAGTAGTTTAATAAGGAGGGTTGGGGGGAAGTGTAGATGGAGGGTGTTCCTAATAACATTTTACTGTAGATATAAATTGTGCAGTGCAAGAAGCGACCTTATCGCTGTAGAACAGTTCTTCCAGAGCCTACCAACAACACTTTGAATAAAAATTTGTGTTGTTGGTAAACTGCCAGGGGCTTAAAAATATCTTTAATTTTTTTTTTAAGATGAACTGCTCTATAATTTTCCCCTTTTGTCTCATATTTTTATATATAAATATGAAAGAAATCCAAATAAAATTTGTTTTGTTTACATTTCACCGCCGACCATTGCATAAGATGCGATCAATATTAGTAAATATGATTTATTGTTCCGTTCTATGATCTAATCGGCCCTCATCAGCTATTAGCTCACCTCCCTAATAACCTCCACTTCATATTTTGATACCCATGGAGATGGACGTAATTGTGTTTTTCGCGGGGCTTTGCCTCGTTTCAGCAGAGTTTTTTAGCGATCTTAGTCACGTCGAGAAATTCTTACAAAACAAAGAGTCTTCTCTCAGGAAGAAGTACAGACCGTTCTACCATCTGACTGCACCGGAAGGCTGGATAAGCAGCCCTACCGGGTTTACAGTCTTCAAGCGAAAGTACCATCTATTCTACCAGTACTACCCATATAACGGGGCCTGGGGCCACATGAGTTGGGGGCACGCGGTGAGCAGTGATTTAATTGACTGGGTCCACTACCCCTCAGCTATCATTCCAAAGGACTACTATGACAAACATGGCTGTCTAGCTGGAACGGCTCTCGTGCGGAACAACTTTCTTACCCTTTTTTACACAGGGACCGTGTTAACTGAAAATGAAACCGTACAAACCCAGAATCTCGCACTTAGCGGCGACGGTACGCTATTCCAGAAGTATCTCTACAATCCTCTCGTACGCGACTCGCCGACGGGTATCGGTGAGATAAGAAACCCCAAAGTTTGGAGGTTCCGTAACGTATGGTACATGGTACTGGGCACCACATCTAGACAGAGGCACGGCCAGCTGGTTCTATATACGTCCAATGATATGTTCAATTGGAAACTCAATGGTACTCTAACAGAATCTTATGGTGACATGGGCTACATATGGGAGAGCCCAGACATATTTGAATTAAATGGCTACCACGTATTGATACTATCGGTGCAGGGAATAGAGGCAGACGGATACAGATTCAGAAATCTCTATCAAAACGGATACGTCATAGGTTTTTTCAATTATCGAAAGGCGAAGTTTGACGATCTGGAAGTTTCGACTGCCACATTCCACGAGTTGGATTATGGGCACGACTTTTACGGGGCGAAGTCGTTGCGAGCACCCGACGGTAGAAGGTTATTGGTGGCATGGCTCGGTATGTGGGAGAGTAACTTCGTCGAGTCCACGGCCGGTTGGGCCAGCATGCTTACTCTAATTAGGGAGGTGAAGATCAACAAACACGGTCGGCTCCTCTTGATGCCAATCCGAGAGATCGTAGAACTACGAACTGAGATGCTAGAGAACGCCTGGTACAATCCTGGCGAGGTGTTCGACGCTGAGTCACGGTCGTTCGAGCTGATCGCCAATTCGAGTTCAGTAGATGCTGATGTGGGGATTGTATTTGAGTGGAAGGACGGACGGTATGCTGTAGGTTATTCATCTAATCACGAATACATTATGATAGATAGAGGCGGAGTGGACGGAGTAAGAAGAGCTTATTGGTCACCAAAGGACGCAGTTAATTTGCGCATTTTCGTCGACGCCAGTTGTATTGAGGTCTTCTGTGGAGAGGGGGAGGTGGTTTTCTCGAGTCGTGTATACCCAAAAGCGATGAACATAAGGATCTCTGGCGAAGCTCAGTTACATATCGTGCAATACAGACTACGTCGCAGTGCCGGGTTTGATATAAAGTTGGCGAAGCGATTGAAAGAAGATGACTTGCATAAGTATAATCTGTTCACTCATCCTAGCGAAAACCAATGAATTTGTTGATACTCGAAGTAGGTATAACTACTTACTTAGTAAAGAAATATGAAATCCATTCAATTCGATAATCGATAAAAGTAATAAGGATTATAATTATACTTGACACTAATATCATGTAATAACTATACATTACTTTCTACAAAAATGTGTTATTTTCTAATAAAATATTGTTTCGTAACTCTTTGCTCCTAGTTTATCTGGCTTTACAAGTTAGTATATTTCCCAAAGGACTTTACTTACAGTTAGAAATTATTTACCTACTCCTGTTTGTCTAATAGTAATATTGTATGTGATACTTGAAATACTCGTAATAAATTCCTAACTTTCAATCATATTATGTTTGGTTCATTAGCGACATATGGACTCCTAACTGTGGGTTTCCTATGGCAGGAAATATAGACTCGTGCGAAGTTACAACGATAAAAAGAGTAGGTAATTACACTAAAACCTTAAAAATTGAATACTCATAGTATTCGGTTTTCTTAAATAATCGTTTTATGTACTTATATAATACCGTGAATAACTAAAATTTCGGAGCAAAACTGCGATACATAGCTTTAAATATTATTCTAAACTCCTAGCATAGTGGCTCCTAAAACATGATGTTTAGTTACAAATACTTATTTCATTAATTAAGTGTGACGTTTAGCCTTTAACGTAGACACGAACAATGTCCACTGAATACTAAAATAGGGAGTAGGCTTTTAAATTAACATTTTCTTAAAGTAAACAAGACGTCACATCCCACATACTTTCTACAGAGACTCGACATTTATTAGACGCCCACTATGCTTGCGTAAGCGAACCGAGTAAATAGAAAAAAGCTTTTTTTACTTTTATGAACGTCTTAAATTATGTAATACTAATATATAATAATACAGTAACAAATACGTAATTTTATGAAGTAATTTTTTTAAGACCCTTTTCCCGCAGTGGAGCTGCGAAAAACTTTTTCATTTCACTAATCGAAGTTGTAAACAGAAATTGCGGCTGTCCGTCTGAAAATGTTTATAGTTTTTCAGGAACTCAAACCTAATACGTAACACATTGTAATAAGCAACGCGTTTTAACATTGAGCCACGGAGGCGTTTATATCAATGATCTAATTATGGTGTTAATATATTGTCTCTTTTTTTAGCTATAATAAATATATGCCGCAAAAAATGACCTTGTATTTTCATTACCTATTTTTTTATTAGCTTTAGTCACATACTTTTGACAATATATTCTATACTAGCTGGTGTCCGCGACTTCGTCTACGCAGGATTAGTATTTGGAGTAGCTTATATTATCGTGGCGTAGAAAAGAACTAACATTATGACATAAATATGTGTAATTAACGTTTATGGCAGCGATGACGAAAAGTAGGCTTTTTCCTAGTTACTTGACACTTAATGTCATATTTTGGACAGCTCACACAATATCTTAATAAATTGTAGCCTATGTGTTATTCTGATGTATAAGCTATATTATTGGAAAGTTTAATTGAAATCCATTCAGTAGTTTTTGCGTGAAAGAGTTACAAACATCCATCCACACATACAAACTTTCACGTTTATAATATTAGTAGGAATAGGATTTTTGTCCAACAGTCAGTGTCACACTAGCGCTTTGTCAATTGTCTAGATTTGTAAAGGAACGAATTGTCAAATATCTACGGATACACAGATGTCAACAGCAGTTGCATTTTGTGATTTGCCAAGTAAAGTCGAGTAGTTAGTTATGGGCTGGGTCGAGTCAACTTTCTAATACAATTTCGAAGGTTGTTTAGGCCTATAGAGCATGTAACTCGTACAACTTAAATTATTAGCAAAACTGGTACTACAATAACTTAAAATACGTAACATATGTTTTATTTCGACAAAATCTCGTGGCAACTTTCGTGAGCAATGGCTAAATCATTTGTTTACGTTCTACTAACTGTACTGTGCTTCGTTTTTGTTAATTCCGATGATTTAAAGTTTTATCAAGAAAAGGTAAGAGCTTTAATTTTAATTAATTATGTGTTATATGAAATTTCTTTACTTTAACAATCTTATCTTGCTTTTTATCTAGGCTTAATATTGCGGGTCAAAAGTTTATACTTTATATTTAATTACTTGAAAATGTACGGCTTTAATTTAACAGTTACTTTTATAAGTAAGTAAGTAAATGTATTTTTAATTGAAATTCAGGGCCCTATAGTAATTTTAACATCAATTTGTAATTGTTAACATCAATTTGTAATTGTTAACATTAAAAGCTTAAATGTTATGAAAAGAGATAAGATAATTGAAAACAAATACTAATTATCAATATATTAGTTGTTTTTGCCCTTTCTGATTGAAAGTTTTGAATTTGTTGAATTGAAAGTTTGCATCAAAATGCATATCATGTGAATTATTATTTCCTGAAAAGACAAAAATCTTTTTAAAAGGAAGCTGTAAAATTTTGCTTACTATAATAAACTTCAAAATATGCAGAATAGTGTAATAGTATATCTTATATATTCACTGATACAACAAATTGACTGGCGTGTTAAACATCTGGTTTCAAGAATTGATTAACTAGGTAATAGATTTGGGTTTATTTCAAATTGTTTACCTGATGCATATTAGTTTTTCATGCCAGATGAAAGGAAGGATAAAGTTTACTTAGTAAAGTAACAACAACAGTTCACTTTATTTAATTACACTGAAGTTCTGAATCCTGTGTGTTTTAATTCTTTTATTAATTCTGTATTTCTACATGCACATTTAGATGTGGAGCCATGACATTTAAGAGTTTCTGATATCTGCAAAGTTTGTGGATCTATTGTGCAATTTGCTTACAAAGAACTGTAAAAACTTTGTCATGTTTATAAAATCATATCATATCATAGATACAATAACTGTAGATGAGGTCAACCTCATCTACAGTTATTGTATCTATGACGGTCAACTATCCATAAAGAATATAATTCAAATAGCAAAAGCATTCACTTGAGAATAATAAACATTTCCTTGGAACATAATCTATTCAACACCCAAGTTATTTGTAATTAATAAGTTGTCTATGTGACCCTGTGTACACCGATTGGTATCCTTTTACAATACAAAACAATTATGCAATGTGATATTATTGTTATATATCATGACATGAGTATATATTGAAATTAGATTACTGGTCAAGTTTAGACCTTATAATTTATCTGCCACCAAAATAAGCCAGATTAGGCTATATTTTTTTTAAAGGCCAATCAATACCAAAACATTTCCAGGCGAAATTTAAAGAGACCAGTTTCTTATTTCTACTACTATATTAATAGCAAACTTCTTTTTCAGAATGTCCACGAAGCTCAAGAACTAACAGACGATGATATAAAAAATCTAGCAAATTTATCGGATGAAGAGCACCTACGTGAAGTGCTGAACGAGATCCTTATACCGCGGGTAGTTGGAACTCCTAACCATGAGAAAGTGGGCAATTACATTGTGAAACAAATGAAAGATATGGGCTGGGATGTGACGGAAGATGTCTTCGCCGATACGACTCCAGTTTTCGGGACTTTGAACTTCCGGAACATTATTGCGAAGCTTAATCCACGCGCGGATAGATATCTAGTGCTGGCCTGCCATTACGACAGCAAGTATACGAGGGAACATGTCTTTGTTGGTAAGTTGATACTTTTGACGCTTGAAAACTTTAATATTTTCACATGTTGGACTAATATATATATATATATGCAATAATGCATAAACTGAAACATTGTACGACCCGGGCAGGACTCGGTAGCTCAATTGGTTAGAGAAAAAGCACGGAACGCTGAGGATGTCAGTTCAAGTCCTGCCCGAGATGTAATTTTTTTTAATTTGCTATCGATTTTTAGTTTTGAGGCTGTTTGTAAATCAAATAATTGGCCTGGATGATTTAGAGTCTAGGGTTATAAATAATATAAATCAGACATCAAAGGTATTCTTCAACAAAGTTTAAAGTAAAATAAAAATCGCTTTTATAGTGAAACATTCCGATAAAGTTAAAGAACATTCGCATACCCTTAGCTGATTTAGTTTACATTTTACTCAGTTAACAGCTTTGAAACATGGCTGCAAAAGCCTAAACAATGTATAATATTCGAGTTTATATAATATTACAAAAAACTTTGACGTCAAAACGAAACTCAATAACAAAATACAATTATCACTATATTGATAGTTAATTACTAGCCTTGTCACTACAAAAACAATGATCAAGCTATACAAATAATATGTATAACATGATATTCTTACATGTGCTTAGATTTTATTAATACCTACATAGTAGTGAGTCAATTCATAACTATAAATTATAATATATCTTGTAATATATATGAATTTATAAAGAATTTATCAAATAAGACATAACATTTAGACATAGCTAGTCTTAGAACTATCTTAAACACGACTTTAGTAGTGTAATGGTTCATAGATGGTATTGCCTACCCTATATTAACCAGTCGAAAAGACCCAGAAAAGTTTTAAAGTATAAAAAATTTGGTATAAATAAAACAATCGGTTAGGTATATTGATTCTTCGAGCAATCGAGGAGTTAACATCTGATAATTCATCTCGTCCACACACGATGGCCAAACGTCGAGAACCTCTTCTCGCTCACATCGGCCGAACAGCCCGAAAGACAATGATATGCTGAACGATGGCCGTGAAAGCCTTACACAATTTAATCGGTTAGGTTTAATGAAGTGAAATTGATTTTTGTTGTTCTGTTATTAAATTGAAATAGAAAAATAAAAATAGTGTACACTGCTATAATAATGTTTAAAGTTCTGGGTTCAAGCGAATGGAAATCCCTGATAGGTTATTTTTGTAAGGTTTCATTAAAAGATTATCCTCATAGCGAGCCAGGCTTTTTATGGTCTCAAAGAAGCTTCATTCTATTTTAAAACGTACGTACGTACGTACGTACGTTTAAGAGAAGCAACGCCAGGCTTTTCCATAAAAAGAGGGAAAAGATTATCTTTAACGTCGGTGTGTCAGTGTTTGTTAAGAACAATATTATTTAAACATATTTACATAAATCAGACCCTGCCAGTTGCGTACAGTTAGAGGTTTGCTAATTCCTATAAGAAACCTCTCCAAATTTTTGTTATTTTTTTTGAAGAAACATCACATAATATAAAATTGTATAGATGTTTGATTATATCTCATGCTTTGTTAGTTTTTTGAAAGGGCGCTCGTTGTTCGCTGCTTTTTAGTTGTATAATTGATTTCACTACTCACCGAAGTATTATTAGCGTTGGTATTCTTATTAATTAGAAAACTGAGTATCCTGGCTATTCCTTCCGTGAATCTCGATGATTTTTGAGGGGCGTGTCTTGCTAGGGTTTAACTAAATGCCTCATTTTAGGTGCAACTGATTCAGCGGTACCATGTTCTATGATGATAAATCTCGCCAAGGTAATGTCCAAGCAGCTCGACCCCCTGAAGTTTGGTTCTCCAAGCCTGATGTTCATATTCTTCGATGGCGAGGAGGCCTTCAAGCATTGGGGGCCGAAGGACTCGATTTATGGCGCTAGGCATTTGGCAAAGTCGTGGCACAGTACGCCTTATAAGGAAGGCGCAAATAATTTGCAAAGAATCGTATGTATCAATCATGTTGACAGTTTTATTTAACACGATTTTTTACAAGGCTCTAATAATATAGACTGTAGTACATTGCTACTAAACATGTAAATATGAGGAGATGAACTTGAATACTGTCTATAGTTTACGCGAGTAGTACACATTTAAATAAAACACTTGAACGGTTTAAAACGCGATATATTAGTTAAACTTATTTGAAAATGATTTTTAACTGCGGCCCGACGCTTTACTGCAGCGGTTGCTGCACGGTTGCTGCAAAGCATCCGAAACGTCGGGCCGATATCGCGTTTTAAACCGTTAAAGTGTTTTACACATATAATAAATTGTTCATGAAGTATAATTTACAAGAAAATGAGACAATTACTTAATTAAAAGGATTCCATTAAGTACACAATCGACGTAAAGGTTATTAAGGCCCTAAACATTTTCCACCAGATTTGCAAAACAATCTAAATATATCGAGATTATTGCCTCATTATATTATTGATGATACCAACATTAAAATATCAATTTTCCTTATTTTTGTGAAGTTTAGAAATCTCAACTTTGTTTTGCTGATTCGGAATAAGTTTGTTTCACGACAAACTTATCAGTCATGGGATTTTCCCCACTTGTTACATTTACAGTTACATTGAGGCTAAATTCTATAATTATACTTTGTAACTACATATTAATTATCCATCAAAACAAACTTTATAGTCAAAGTTACGTTTTAAAATTAAGTTGTTATCATGGATGCTGTTTTTGATATTTTCGAAGATCTGAATGTATAACCCATAAATAATTTTATTATTATATAATATATTGTGGTCACGCAGGAAATAACACAAAATAATACCATGAACAAGAATTTTTCTGTCACGACACACTTTTGTTGTCTAATGTCATAGTTCAAGGCTTCTATTCTTATTGAACTAAATAGATAGAGGCTTAATATTTACGTAAGCTTCACGCCAGCGGAAACTATAACATTCTTATTATTTTAAAAATGTTACACGTGATAGCTATACGTACGACACCTCATTTGGTAGAGCAGAAGCACACAAAGCTTTGGCGGTCGTAGGTTTGACTCCTGGTCATGAAAATTTGTTTAATCTTAAATAGACTTTAATATACAGTTTCTAAAATGTTTAATCAAATTACAACGACAATCTGACCACTACCTCTATTTTTAACTACTTTTTTTCTACTTCCAGGACGTCTTAATGCTTCTAGATCTGCTGGGAACGCCCGACCCGAAGTTCTACAGCTACTTTAAGTCGACGGAACGCTGGTACATAAGGCTCGCAGGCGCGGAACAACGGCTGAGCGAGCTGGGCCACTTAACGGCCTATTCCGCGGGCAAATCTGACCAGACTTACTTCAGGCTGGCCAGCTCTGGAGCGTTCATTGAGGACGACCACGTTCCGTTCATGAGGAGAGGTCAGTTTTATAAGAGTTTTATTAAATTTGGCCTGTTTATACTCTACACTAATTTATTTTTAGACTGTGTGAACGCGCTAAATGAGAATCGCTGGTTCGAATAAAAAAAATAAGCTGGTTAGACAATTTATCGAGAACTGTACGTTGCGTAATCGGTCAAAAGAACTAAAAACTATATATAAAAATGATTCTTCTTTAAATGATCCAAAAAATGTCAGTTACAGGACATATCTAGGTATTTTTCAAGGGTACCTCACAGGAAGCGTTTTTATGGGAATCAAATTTCGTCGAAATACTTTGTATGGCGAAATAACGATTGCCGGGTCAGCTAGTTTGAAAAATTTGGATTGAAAATTCATCTCTGTTGATCAGATGTACTATAATGTAATGTGCACCACCACGTTAAGTTTTAATAACCTTCTTATAATCTTTTTCGTATTATTACAACTACTTTAATATGGGTATCAAATACTATGGATTGATCGGTATACTTTGGAATGCAGTGAATAAAAAACCAAAGTGGCCGCTTTCAAAATAACATAGATGATTATATCTATACTATATTGCACTGTTACGTCCATTCTACTTTTAACGTTATCAGATAATATTATCTATTGCCAATTGTTTCCGTGAAATCACGTATGATTGACGTTATCATAGAAAAACGGTAAAAAGGTAAAGCGGATTTGACGTAACAAGGCGGTTGACGTAATTTTGTCTTATAATGGTCATATTACAGTATTATTTCTTGGACTATTTAACTTTTTGCTATAACGGTACCTAAATGTCATTAAACAAGTTTAAACTAATAATACCAAGGCTCTAGAGCTGTGTGAGGTAAATTTAATTTTAAACGCTTATAAAGATTTAATAAGCAAAATTTAAAAAAAATATTCGGCGTTTTTTGACTGTTCAAATTGTTTTATGTAATGTGCACTTTCGTCACGTTGTCATTTTCAGTAGATACATAATAATTAAAAATGAAAATTTCATCAACTTCCAAACAATGTTTTTGTTAATTATACTTAAGTGTAATCAACCGGAATTTTATTTCGACGTGTACATAGAAAAAACAAAACCATTTAATTACAGTCTAGAGTAGTTAAATAATTTTGCAATGTAATTACTAACATACTGTTTTATTTTTTATTGTTGCAGATGTCGACATATTGCATGTCATTCCAAATCCGTTCCCCAAAGTATGGCACACGGCCGGCGATAATTATTCAGCGCTGGACTTCAACACCATAGACAATTTAAATAAAATTTTCCGCGTTTTCGTAGCGGAGTACTTGCATGTCGCCCCCTAGCGACAGTGGTGCCGTCACTTATTTCGTATTTGGCTCAAAAGTTTAGACGAATGAATGAAATCATGTTGGTCGCGATAATCCACAGATTATAAATAATTACATATGTAATTTTCATACAAAAAATTCCTACGGGTTGTCTATGCTTGCTATGAATAAAGCCTATCCGTTTTGGGTTCAACTATATAAATGCGAAGCTTGCTTAATGTCGGATGGCTCGTTTAAGCAGTAACTGCTTTTTCTAGGTAGGGTTTTCGAGCTGTTCGGACGTCGTCCTCGAGAAATATCGAGAGTTCAGTCTTTGCTTAGTCGAAAGATATCATACATATGATGGCGAAACGTCAAGAACCGTTTGCCAATTACGAGAGACAAACAACATTCGTTCCAAAAAACAATGAGTCGAAATTATTAACAAATACGGCAATTTATAGTTATCGAAAATTTCTTTTATCAACGAAAAATATATATGAATAAAATCATTCTTGATTTAAGTGTAATTGTATATATTCATATTATTTTTGTTCCTGCAACGGTTGTGTTATTATAAATTTTATACTATATTTTTACGAGGTAAAAAACAAAGAAAAGAGCTTTGTTCATCTTGTACATGCGTTTGCAAAACAATTTATCATGTACTTAATATTTAAGAATATCTCAATTCGGTTATTTATAACTCATATGTTACTAATATTATATTCTTATCTAAAAATTATACACTTGAATTATTTGACATTTTTTATTTAAGACCCTTCCAGCTAAATTATAGGAGTGTAGGTAATAAAACCATATATTTTTTAACATTTTATTTTAATGTCTAAAATAATATAATAATAAATATAAAGTCCATAAGTGTTAACACATAAAAAATAAATATTAAAAATTCATCAAATTGTAAGAACTTATATCCAATTACTAGTAATATTATGCGTAAGAATAAGTAACAAAAGTTCAAAAAGAAATATGTATTATAAGTGGACATGACATAATACTATCATATCATATCTAGTTATCTTAAGAATGATTCCATGATGTCATTTAAATTAACAAAAGTATTACATTCAGCGTACCTTTAGAAGGCAACAACTGTTATCGCAATTGTAAAAACCTCGCAATAAAATAAGGAACAAAAAATCATCTTATAATATACTATCTAGGAACGACCCTTTAAACTTTTTCATTGCCTTTTCTTCCATTTCATTAATCTTACTATCTAAATCTGATTCTAAATTTAATACCCTTTCATTTAACCCAACAACATTTTTTACAACATCAGTGTCAACATTTCCTTGTAGTAGTGTCGTATCTGATGACACAATGTTTTCACTAATGTCATGTGTTGCACAAACTGCTTCATTTTGCTTACAAGTTAAATTAGGTTTTAATTTTGATTGATCATTTGCAATTGGACCACTATCCTGTGATACTAATTTAGTTGCTGTACTTCTTTTTATTACTTTTTCTGACTCTACTTGAGTATCAAATCCGTCATCTTCGTCTACATCGTTGTAAGCTGCTGAGTCAGTTGGATCAGATTGTATGTTCTCTTCATTACAACCTGCAATGTTGTCTGATATCCCATTTAACATATAATCAGCTGACTTATTACCAACCTCTTCACAAGTATTTTGTGTATTTCTGTTAGGTTTTTCTTTTTCACACATACTACTATTTTCATTCATAAGGTTTAACTCTTTTTCATCAGTATCTTCAGAACATAGAGGCGCTTGATTTCTTATAAATGCTTCTACATCCATGTCATCTGCTTTTTCAGTTGTGCTAGGCTGAACGTAGGTTTCGATGTGGTTACTTTTGGAACGTTTAGTTTTAAGGCCCGTTGGGTCTTTATTCTTTGACCTTTTTTGTTTTACATGTTCTCCTTCACGTTTTTCCTAAAATTATAGTAAGTGAAACATCAAATCTATACAAGCCCTACTGGTTTTCTAAGAACTTTTATTTACCTTGACAGAATTATTCATGCTGTAAAATTTGGATGATATCTTCATCTGTCTCAGGATAAAACTTTCTAACACTGTGCGTTCATATATGTTTTTTCGCCATCGTAACTGCTCGTCTGAGTTGACTTCAAACTTTTCTTTTGGTAGTAACCATTTGTGCAGTAATTTAAGGGAAGACAAATCGTTCTGAAAAATGCAACATATTGGTAAGATTCCATAAAAAATATTATAGTTTTAAAACAGATAGTGCATACTGAATGGCACACCAGAAATATCTGGTGTGCCATTCATATTTTAATATTGACTGACAAATACAACAGAAATGTGTTTAGCGGTTTGTTGTGTGTCGGCCCTAAGCTGCACTGTATTAGGCGACAGCTCTAAGCTGTGCCACTACGGGGAAAGTGCTGATAGTGCTATTCGATACCTGTATGATCGGTAAGTGACACTAGTGTTGCTGTACCCATTTTAGTATAAGAAATTAATTAGTATATTTGTAAGCATCGAACTGATGCATCGTGCACAGGGAGACACCTAGTATTAATTAAATGTAGTATTTTTATATTAAATAATAATTAAGCAAATGAGTTTTTTTGCAACCACCAGTGGCAATTAACATAATTGGGTATAACATGCATCCAAATACAAGAGTGAAAAAATAACACCTACTGCTTTAGTAGTTACTCACAATAAGATCGGTAGATGTCAGCCAGATGACGAAACTAACGTGTGGAAAATAAGGTAAAGACAAAAAATCTTCATCCTTGACCACAACAATACTCCAAGTGCGACTGATAAAGGTATTCAGTTCAGACAAATTCTCAAAATTCTTTATGAACACTTGCTTGTTTATTAAGGCTTTTTTAGATTCCACTGCTATGTCCTCTGTAATAGAAGTACAATCATTACTTTTTAGTCTTTTTACAAAAAGGTGTAGCAGGACTTTTTAGGCGAAATGTTTCAAAAGTATTATTTCTAGAGCTGAGATAATAAAAAATACCTTTTAATAGAACAAAACTTGAGTTTACAACAAATAATGTGTTTAACTGAATATAATTACTCCCACATACCTGATGTAAAGCCACTCCAACACTGAAAATATTCACTCCATAGTTTGACTTGGTCACAATTCCTACACAGCATCAGTATGGGTTGCTCTAGCAGCATACGTATAGCATACAGGAATAGCACAGCGGTCACTGACTTCCCTGTGTTGGGTGGAAAATTCAATACACAGTACCCAAGACTTTTTGTCTGCAAATTGTCCTTCTAAAAATATTAATATAATATTAAGTGCTAAATAAGTTTTCTAAACTTGCCCTTAAAATACACTTTAATGCATTTCTTAAGGTTCAAATTCAGGGCAACAAATGTATCAATAAGAATATTTTAGAAGTCTAAGAATTAACATACCCACATTTTCCATTGTTTGAAAAGAAACCTCAATCCTTCTATTTGATGGTCATACATTTTATGTTTAGTTTCAATAGATACCTTCTCTCCACTCCCTCTATGTAAATCTAACTGGCTTACAGACATATTTGGCGCTTTATCCTGCAGTTTACGAAAAAGTTATATATAATATAATGGATCCTTCATTAGATGACGCAAGATAAATGCAATATACCTTTTCACCACGACAAATTTTGATTAAGCCTGTTCAAGATGGACAATGTCATTAATAAAATGTACAGCATCTCTAGATAGAACAGCGCCACAAACACAGAGACACTAGTTTTGTGTATCACTACATCCTCAAACTCCTGCATAATATGTCTACTGGAGTACACATGATCCCAAAACATTAGAACAAGGGATCAAAGTTTGTGATTTTCTTAAGTTTATGAGTTTTTCTTATTGCACTAAATATATTACAACAAGTAAGACACGTGTTTTAAAGAGAATTAATTCTCACAAAAGACATGAAATATTTTTGTGTAGTTTAGAATTGTATTACTTAAACATTGTTTTTAAGGAAAACATGATTGATTATTGATTCCCCAGATGTCATCTTGCCTACGCAATACTCCCCTGTCAAGTGTCAGCTATGTCAATTCAGACACACAGACAATAATAAATTTAATGGACTGACTACAGAAAACATGCTGTTTAAAAATATTACCTTTTCGTCCTTAAAATGCTGATAATTGATAAAAATTTATTATTAGAAATATTAGAACTGATTTCTCATGATAAACTATTACGTAAAAGAAATGAAATCATAAACATGTATAATATGTATATATATTTACTTGCAGTAATAACAATGCATATATAAAAGTCTGAAATATCAAAATAATAGTCAAGAGTGATTGCATTTATCCTTATACCAATTATTGTTACTTGACATAATAATGCATATTCAATTATTCATTCTTGAAGTTAGGCGTCCTCTTCTCAATGAAAGCGTTCATGCCTTCTTGCCTGTCAGCCTAAAAAGTAATATACACACATATTAATACATATTTGACATGGAGACAGTAACTACAAAATGATTGCTTTCTTGGGCGTATATGTATACGTGTAGACTCGATATAAACACTATGATACACGAAAGATTAAAAGGCCATTATGATTTTTGTAGGTCTTTCTTAATCTGTTTATTAACTGAATGTACGTATCTCAATAATTAAACATCTGACTTACCGTTGCAAATGTACCGTAGAATACTTGTTTTTCAAAATGCAGACCTGATTTAAGGGTCGTTTCATAAGCTTGGTTTACTGCTTGCTTGGCCATTTTGACAATCAATGGGGAGTGGGTACCAATTCTTTCTGCTAGTTTTATTGTTTCCTCTAATAATTTCTCAACTGGGAACACTTTGCTAACTAAACCTGTTTAAAATAATTAATGCTTAATAAAATAATTTTTGATAAAAGATTTTTTGATTGCCAGTCATAAAAAAGGATGTTACCCATTTTCTCAGCTTCGTGTGCATCAATAAAGTTACCAGTAAGAACTATTTCCATGGCTTTTGATTTGCCAACGTATCTTGGCAATCTTTGGGTGCCACCAGCTCCAGGAATGGTTCCAATGTTAATCTCTGGCTGTCCAAACTTGGCCTTCTCCCCAGCATAGATGATGTCACACAACATAGCTAATTCGCAACCACCTCCAAGCTGTAGTACAAATTGTAAAACATATAAAAGAAGTACGGCAAAATTCTTAGTTTTTTTTAATTTGAGACTGGTAATTGATAGAAAATGGAAGTCTAGAGTTTTATTTTTAACTGTATTGGTCATACAATACCTAAACACAATTTATCACTTTATGTATTGGTGATAATTGCGAAGGAATTAAACAGTATATAATTATATCTACATTGATTGTGACATCACTGTTTTGAATAGTATATGAAAATATTTTTTTTATTATTATATGAATTTTATGCTGGTGATAAAAAAAATTAAACTTAAAAGGTAAAAAAAATTTGTTAGTGTCATGGTCTTATTAGTATGATTTTGGGAGATAGTGAATCACACTATTTTGACACTTACAGCAAAGCCATTGACAGCAGCAATAATGGGTTTTCCGCAATTGGAAGCATCTTCCCATTCTTGAAGGAATCCACCTCTGACATTTGTGCTGTAAGTGTTGTTCTGCATTTCTTTAATGTCAGCACCAGCAGCAAATGCCTTTTCATTTCCTTAAAGAAATATATGTAATTAATATGTAGTAAGTAGGAGCTTCAACTTCAGTATACAAAAACATATAATAAAGATGCTTAAAAATAAACATGGACTAACATTCCTGATATATGATGGTTTTGTAAAAGATGGTGGTAAGTCTACTGAACATCTTAAAAGAGAATAAGCTTTTAAATGTTTTTATAGGTATCATACCGGTGATAATAATAGCAGCAATCTTGTCATCAGCATCAAAGTCCTTCACAGCCTTTCCAAGTTCTTGGAAGAGTGGTTTGCAGAGGGCATTGAGTGCTTTTGGCCTATTGAGTTGAATGAGTCCAACATTTTTCTTCTCTCCTACTACGTCTATCTTAATGTTTTCATACTGCGGTGCTGTAATATGGTATTTCAAATTATGATCAAGAAAAATGCAGTTGTGTTTCTTTATTTTGTAATTTGTTTTTTTTTTAACATAGTATCAGATACAAATAAAGCAGTAATTAATTTTCTAAGTAGATTTTTTAAGGATCCAAATATAAAAGTAAATAATGGTTGACAGTCCTTTATTTGGATAACATCAGTGATAAGAAACAAGTAAATGAAATAAATGTTATCATTATGATAACATACTTAATATAAACAATGATTTTAGGTGGCTTAGTAACAAGTTACATAACATGTGAAAATAAATTAATACTTGAGTTAAATTATATGATATATTTTTAAAAGAACTCATTAAGTTTTTGGGTACTTTTAATACATCTTAAGTTAAGCAAGCTTAGCACTATATATAATCTATTTAAATCTTATAGAAAAGAATAACAGTTTCAGCTGTTGGCAATGAGTGTTTATTGCTTTTCTACATAATAAAGTAACACACTAATTGTAATAAGGATATTAAGCATAATTTCCTTACCTACTGGTAAGGTTTATATTTAAAGTGATACTTTTTGTCTATTAAATACTGGGCAAAGTAATAAAATTTACATAAAATAAATATAGTTACTATAAAACTTATAGATAGCTGAAGGTTAACTTGGAAATGTTGTAGTAATATTAACATACAGTACCAGGTTAAAAGCAACAGTAAATGAAATAATATTTATTTTATACTGATAATGTATAACTTTTATATTTCAACATACATACGAAAGTAATAATCTCAATTACCTTTATAACAAAAATTGTTATATATGCAATAGATTATGGACCTAATTGGAAAAATTTTGGCCTGCAACTAAATTTCTTTAGTTTTAGTTACTAAACTTTCAAGGTCATTGCATGAAAAATGGACTTAAAAACAATACTACAGTAATAATTTAAGCAGCATTTTTTAAAATAATAATTAGTCTGGTTTCACACATACAGATTTATACGAATATCCTTATATTAATTTAAAAACGTCCATACCTGTGCTATAAAACTTAATAGATCCGGCATTCAGAGTCCGGCTGCTGTTAAAGACATTTCTTCCTAAAATTAACCGTGTAATACCAGCTACTGATGCCATGTCGAACTAAAATACTCTGTAATTCTTACTGGGCTATCTTAAAACTCCCGAAGGTAAAAATATTATGCTACTGTAGAGTGTTACTCTTGAAAACCAACGTGTGTATAGACGAAGCCGTCCGTAGGTATTTGAACTTTGATATCTCTTTCTATAGGTACGATAACACATATGATAAACCATTTATATTCATAACAAGTTTTTTTTATGAATTAAAATCAAATGTGGAACGTTAAACTCTATTGAAAAGGGGTTGAAACCTTGACTGTTTGCAATAAGATTCATATTCAATTAACAAAGTTGGACATTTCTTGAATTACTAGTATTTCAACTGTCAACCTTCTGTCATATTAAAAAAAAAATCGATGATACTTCCATCTTCGACTACCATAACAAATAGCAAATATATCTTTTATAGAAAATCATATATAAATGTTTAATATGATTTATAAAAATATCTATTGTGGTAATCAAACATTTTTTTTAAATAATTAATGGCCTGGTAACGAGACATTTAAGCCAAGTCTTATTTAAACAAATGACAGATGACGATCAACAGTTGTAGACTGCAATAATGTATATATCAAAAACTAAGATAAGATTGTGTTTACTTTTGTTTATTACAACTTGAATAAATCTAACATTAAATATTTCTTACTGACCGGCGATCCGGGCTGAGTATCCTTAAATGACATCGTTTGTATTCGGAGTTCACAGATTAAATTATAATAGTTTTTAAAATTGTAGGGGTAGGAAAAACAACTCTTACTAAAAAAATATGTAGTTCACTAAAGGAAAATGGTGTTAAAACACTTGGGTTTTACACAGAGGAAGTGAGAAAGAATAGAACAAGGGAAGGATTTGATGTTATATCTTTAGATGGTGATAGAGGGATGTTAGCAAGGGATCAAAATTTACTTACCGCTCCTACTAAGTATAATGTTGGGAAATATGGCGTTCTTATAACAGAATTTGAAAAAATCGCGTTACAAGCCTTGCAAACCGTTAGTATTTCCTGCAATTTATAAACATGTCCAATAATTTACCGACAAAAGTTAGCTTCACATTAAAAATTTACCTCAAAATCATTAATTTAATTTGCATTAAATATTTATATTTTTTTATGCATTAATAACTTGTTGCAGCCAGCTTCCAAATCATGCCTTGTGGTAGATGAAATTGGCAAAATGGAATTTTTCAGTCTTCCTTTTAAAAATAAAATAAGTGAAATCTTTTCCACTGACAATGATTATATTGTCCTTGCGACTATACCGATAAGGAAAAGTGATCCATTAATTGAACTTATACGAAATAATAATAAGTCCAGAGTATGGGTGGTATGTAATTTACCAAATAATATATATTCATTTTAACTATTTTTTAAATAGTAGTTTCAATTTACTGTTTTCAAAATTTACAAAATAACCAATACTAAATGTATTGGTTATTTTGTAACCGTGTATTAACTTTTTAGCTACTTAAATCAAAGAACTATTTCTGCATTTCTGTTGTAGGTTACAAGAGAGAATAGGAATACATTACAGGAAGAAATTACCAAAGAAATTAAATCCGCCCTTTTGTAATAAATGCTTTATCTGCTCATAAACCTTATTTATTTATACCTTACCAGCTGTGCCCGCGACTTCGCGTTGATTAGTGACTTGGGGTAGCATTTTTAATTATTTAGGCTGTTTATTAATTTCGGTAATTGCGCAATTTTAGCAGCCAATCTATATTGTAAGTGCTACTTTGCCGCAACACTCACCTCACATCACTCCTACTCTGTCTCCCACTCCCACACCTATTCCTAAAAAGCCAAAGAAGAAAGTTTCATTGTTCTAGCTTTAAAAACCACGAATTTCCATACAAACTTTCACCCCCCGTTTTAACCCCTTACAGCCCCCTTTTCGCAATAAAAACAAATAGCCTATGTCCTTTCTCAGGGTCTAGACCATCTATGTACCAAATTTCATTCAAATCCGTTCAGTAGTTTTGCTGGAAAGAGTAACAGACAGACAGAGTTACTTTCGCATTTATAATATTAGTAAGGATTAGGAAAGACTAGAATGAGTTAACGATTCACTAGTAAGTTTTTAATCTGGTTGATTTAAAAACCTTGGGCTAGAGTCTCCACTGCAATTTTCATTTTTATTTTTTAAATACTTCAACAATTATCCTTGATCGGTTTTTGTGAAATTTACATATTGACTTCCATATTGTTCAGTTGTAAATTCATTTCTTAGCTCGAAAGTGTTAGATTTGAGAGGAAGGTTACCTGCGTTATGCATTAAAATCGACTAAACAAAAAAGGAGCTTTTTATAAACACTACGACGTAATTAATCACGTTGTGCATTGTTTTGTCGTTAAATAGTTTACACTTATTTTGCAAACAATAGAGCTTGGCAGCTACAAATCGTGATTTCATTTGGTAAAATGAAACTGGACAGGGCTTTCTTGTGTGTTAAAATATTCTTAGTTTGTTACACAACGGTGAACTGTAAAAATTCAGATGAGTCAAATAAGCCCGATATAGCTAGGGCGGGAAAAACTAAACGACAGAAATTGGGTAAGATGGCGGATTTCTCGTTACTTTTAACATTTATGAAGTACTTTTCTATGTAAAATTTAGCTTTCTAAATAAACTATTTGATAAGATTCACGGTTTTTAATATGAAATTTATTAGTAATACTTTTAATAGATTTATTTTCACGTCGTTTCGAATGCAATAGCAGTACTAATAGTAATATGTCACGAATACGTGAACATGTTTAAAACTGTTAAAGGCGTTTTATAAATAAATGACTACTACTTGTACTGTGAATGTTGAAACCAATACGGATGATAGGTATGTAAAGGTGCGGGGCTTGCGAAATGTAACTTTTTAATAAGTCCTTTTAAATGTTCCAAAACGTGGCGCCTTGTTTTATAGATTATAGACTGTATAAGCAGCAACTCACATCTATTGTATATGTAACACATTTAAATCTGAAATATTGCCATTTTAGTACAAAATTCAGCGGTAGGAACATTGTCCAATGTCATAACACAAATCCAAAACTTACCTAACATGGATTTGGGTAGACGATTCCGCACCCCGTGCAAGACTGGCAACAAATGTGGCAAGGTAATAATGAAGTAGGATAATTACAACATATAAAACCATTTTGTATATATTGGGGTAGATATTGAATTTTCAGAAGTTGCTAAGTAACGTCGCAGAAGTAATTAATTATCTGTAGCAAATTAGGAAGACATTGCACTTAGTATATTTTCTTTAATAATTAGCAACTCAAGAAGAATATGGAAAGCGTTTTTTCAATATTTAGTCTTGATATTATTTTGGTATAAAAATGGAAAACGTCTTTTAAGGTAATCAAACGTCTTATGGTGCCGAAACTTGCACAACTCGAGAACACAATAATGGGAATAATGAAGGAATTATCAAAAATGCCACCCGGCTCTCGACTTCCTGATAAATATACAAAAACGGAACCGATTAAGTTATTATTGGATCAGAATTATAAGTAAGTGTGGTATAGTAAAGAAAGTTTTTAAATTTTTGTTAGCGATAAAGGAAGGCTATGCAATCTCTGATAAAACGGAAAGTTTACTACTTTACTAGTCATTAACAAAACAATGAAAAATTTAACTATAATGCTAAATATTAGCTCAGTTTTTGATTTTAATATACATATGAAAACTATTTTTTTTTTCAAATGTTACTGCACATGACGACATTATATACATTGGAATCTAATCGCACGGAACTTAGCGCTAAACGCTGTAGGTGCCGGTTCAAGTCCAGAGCATGTGGAAAAAATGTTAGGTCTGAAATCGATCAATGAATACGACCAATTGTTGCCATTAATATTATTATTTATAAATTCTTTCTTTGCAATCCCATATAACTGATAATTAAATAACCTATCTTTTAATTATTTTTTTATTACAGGGAGGACGTTTGCATGGACAAACTGGAATCGTGTCTGAAGGAAGATAAGCGACGCAAACGCATCTTGAAGAAGCTATTCTTCAAGAAGTACAACTCAGTGCGACAGGAGCTCATTGGCTACGGCGGCAGACGACTTTGGGGTGGCGAAGGAAATCTATTTTATAAGTGATGATAAAATAAATTTAAACGTAAATTTAGTGTTTTTATTGTAAAAAAAACGCCGTTACCATTCAATGATATTTTTATGTATGTTTAAATAACACAAAACGCACTTGAAATAGTCTAACATATGATATATATATATTCACAACCCGTTCTACACCCCGTTGCTGCAAAGCTATTTAAACCGTTATAAGTGTTTTATTCAAATACATGCCACATTTTCCTAGCACATAACGTAAAAATTAATTGCGTAAAAAAGATGCTGAAGTTAATTATAACATATGAATGTTAACTATAATATAACGAGTCGTTGAAATATACTTCTGATATTTGATAAAGATATTAAAATCATATAAATATACTATAATATAACTAATGTGTTTTTGTTGATAAGTACGAATATTGCTTATTATATTGTAGTTATACCCTTAATTGATACTACCGTACTAATCAGTACACGCCTGTATAAATAAAATAGCAATTATTCATTCATTACAATTTGCATAGAATAAGTTTAAAGGAGCTTTTTACAATTAAGTTAAGCTCTTAAGTGTTGAGCATACTAGAGTTTAAAAAATCTACTATAAGCAGCGTTATATAAAAAATACAAGCTAAATAAGTTTATATAAGGTATATATCAATGTTTGTTGAAAGTTTTCGACAACAATACCCCGATATTCAGAAACATTTTTCTTTTACCTTTTGTCGATATTATTTGGTCACGTGTTGTTTGTTGACGGAAATTAGCAACATTATTTAACAACAATACCTAGTTTTTCAAACACCAAGTTACAAAACCTCGACATTCGTAAACGTTTAACTGCCGCGTATTACAGAATGTTTCATTAGGTTAAAAGCTTCGACTGAATAATTTTATTAAAATGTCCTATTTTAAAGATTTATTAAGGATCTTAGCTATAGTGTTATTCGCAATTACAGGAATACTTGGAGTCGATGACAGTAAGTGGAGTTATCGTTAATAACAATATTTGTGAAAAGGGCGTTATTAGGAGACTCGCGACTTGGCACGCGTTTCATCGTCTCGTCATCGGTTCCACTTCCTTCCAAGGAACTGACTTCATGGGCTCGTTGATGTAACGGTACTAATGTATGACTAATAATCAACGGGTCGTGGATTCGATCCCCACCGAGTCCAACTATCTAATCAATTTATGATTTTTCTGAAACACGTTGGACTTTGTCGGGAAATCTGGATATTAGATGAGTGGTAGGAATATCGAAATCCTGTCCGGGTCATGAACCACCGTCCTCTGATTAAAGGATTAGACTTGACAATCGCGTTTCGGTTTCAGTCTGCGGATTTCCGAATATCCAAAGCCTAGGTCTACAGCGTCTCTTGTCTAGATGTTATGTGGTTTTTCACCCATCATCAACAAACATGGGGTTGTCTGTTACTTCACTTCACCATCATAAAAAAAGCTCATCATCATAATACTTCAATATATTTCATCATATTTCATTATTGCACTTCCCCGTTCATTTAAAGGCTTCTATTGTAGATTTGGATCTAGAACTTCTAAAGGGGTTATATTCTAGTAAGTATGTAATAATTTTAGATCTTCTCTTCACTGTGACAAGAGCGCCGAGGTACTTCGGAATTCTCCAGGATCACAGGGGGCAGCCTCTGTCCGTAGAAATATCGGAAGAGTACATGGACCAGGACTACATTGCCACTAACAGGTTCTTTTTCATATACCTTATGTGATTGTGGTGATGTCACTAAATTACAAATATGCTTAAATAAAACACTTTCACTTACTTTCAAATAAGTATAACTATATCACGTTTTAAACCGTTAAAGTGTTTTATTTAAATGTGTAGCACTCGCGTAAACTATAGACAGTATTTACAAATATGTTTTTAATTTACAGGAAGAGACACAAAATTGATTGGCACAAGTAAGTACTTTTTTTTATATTTTAATTTACGTATTTTTTGCTATTTCCTTATAAATCCTATTTATATTTAAAGAAACCCGTTGGATATGGACGACTTCGATGATGACGAAACGGAAGAAATATTCGACGATAAGGACAAAGATGTAAAATTACCAAACAAATTTAATTTACAAGCTGGACCAGTATAGTGTTATTTTTTATGCAAAAAATAAAGGGAGTTGTATATCTATATAAAGTACTTTATTAATTGATAGATAATCTTTAAAAAATATGTCTTGTTCATCAACTGATACTAAATATAATACAAAAATATTAAATTAATAACTTTTGGGGCATGGGGCAAACACATTTTTGTGTCCGTTTCACTGATCCGTTCTTTAACATGCAAGTAGTTAATTAGAATTCTGTACCTACCCAAACGAAACAATTTTTTGTTTCCCTGGGATTCGAGCCCAGGACCTCTGCTCTTAACGCAATGCTAGGCAATACTTTTAACCATTTGGTTACATATAGTATAGTTACAATTAACATAGCATAAATATCTTTTTAAAATATAGTCTATAACAAATAGGTAAATAGTGACAAGTACACTTTGTATTATTTGTTTTATATTTATTATTAAATGTTTGTATATGTACGTCTGTCTGTAGTTTAAGCGTGATGTCTGTTAGTTAAACTTATTAGGAGGCTATTTTCACTTCGAAAGAAACAGAAAACTCTGGATTAAAAACTAATCAACAATAAATAAACAAACTATGAATAAAACTCACTTTAAACAAGAAACCTTTATAAAAGTACAAATGTTAACCACATATTACATATTATCGCATGTCGTCGTACATATTAGCAAATCGCTCTTCTATGGATTCCCTCATATTCTGCGCAAACAACGGCATCCTAGCCATCTCCAGGGACTCCTCTGAGTAATCCCTGGTCTCATCAGAGTATTGATCAGCTATGTGGTCCTGGTAGATCTTTTCACATTCGCTGGGATGGTCGCTTTTCAACGTGCTGGGATGATATCCTATAGCTTCTATTGGACCCACGGTGAAGTAGGGAATTTGAGTCGTTACTTGGAAATGCTTATCTGGAGACAATAGTTTTTAATTAATAGTAAATTTTTAAGCTTAGCTTAATTGATAAACAAGATATTTTAGAAAAGCTTGCCAATTATGGTAACGATTTTTCCTTCTAATAAGATGTTTTTAATTGGTCGCTGTGTATATTAATAATTGATAATACAATTTTATTTATACAAGGGTTAAATGTTAACGCAATGCTAAGCAATCGTTGTCTTAAGCGTAAGAAGCCCTGGGTTTAAATTTCGGTGAAATAATAAATTGTTTCTGGCAGGCAGGAGAAAGAAGTCTGATGAACTCAAGTAGTTCAAGCAAGTCTAGGAAGGTGTTCGCACCATTTTACACAATTGTATGAAGTTTTGGTGACTTTAGGTTGCTCTAATTATTTCAATTTAAAATTTCTATAATGCCATCATGAGCAAAATATCTCCCTCCGATGATTCCCAGACTTTACAATAACATATCACATGGTAATAAAAACTCACAATCAATATGATCCGGAATAATAACAGTCGCAACGGTCTTCGCCACTTTGTCCTCGTAATAATCTCCAATTATCTCGACTTTGCCGCCTTCGTGGACCTCTTTCCAGGTGGGGGCTTTAGTGCACTCATCTTCTAAGTGTCGTCTGCCAGAAGCATGGTGTACGCGCGGTGGGGGGAGCTCAGTTAGGGGTACGAAACTCTTGCTAATTGTTCCGCCCACTGGTTTTACTTTTGCTAACCTAATAAATAAGAATTTTTTGTAAAAACTTAAAACAAATTCATGTCCATAAATTGTGTAAGGCTTTCACGGCCATCGTTCAGCACAGCATTGTTTTTGGGGCTGTTCGGCCGACGTGAGCGAGAAGAGGCTCTCGACGTTTCGCCGAGAAATAAAATATATAAATAAATACAGTCTGTAGTTTACGCGAGTAATACATATTTAAATAAAACACTTTAATGGTTTAACGTGAAATATATTGGTTAAACTAATTTAAAAATATTTTAATTACGTCCCATCGTTTCGAAATCTTTGCAGCAGCCAAACAGCACAAATATAAATCGTATTTTAAACCGTTAAAGCGTTCGTAATCACCCTCAACGTCGCCGTCACCATCATCAAAACGTCGTACATTGATATACTTACTTATTAACTATCAGACTGCTCCTAATTTCGGCACTAGCGCCCACAAAAAACCACACGAGGCTAAACCACATTGTTGCAACGAAGCATCGCACGAATAAAGTCGCGATCTCGAAAATGCACTTATAAGCGGGCTCCAACAATTATCAAGATGCTCGTAACAAAGTCTATTGTTTTGCCAGTAACAGGTGCTTGACTTGCTAGACTTTTTTCTCTCGATGTCACGAAAACCTCGATTGTATTTCTGAATCGTGTATAGTTTGGTCGATTTGTAGATATCCTATACCTAATACTTGCATAATTAGGAAGGTAAGCTACAAATACAACAACACTTAGGGAAAATGTGTTATAAAAGTTGATCTTATAAGGATTATTAATTCTACATTTTATTACTGTTTTATTACGTCATCATTGGTTATATTAAATACATTTTATAATATTACCAAGCACGCACCTATGTATACTCAAGAAAATAAAAATGTTTGTTTCTTTGTTTGTTTTAGGTATTCTATTTTCGAAATCTCGATGGTACATTACTTACTATGTATTAGGATTAATTTTGTAGTCTTTCCCAATTTCTAAATTGGATCTTCTGACAATAAATGACAAATGTCTTCAATACACGTTTTTTAAATATTTCATATGGAAGCTCTCCCTTAAAATGCGGAGCTCTGTGTTTTGTTAAGCTTGAGTTTTCAAGGTTTTAAAACTTAGACAAACATAAAACATTATATTTGGTATCCCTATTATCCAGTGTCAGTAATACTACACAGTATTTGTCCATATAAATTCGCAAATCCTGGACAATTCCTTCCATTTCCATCCGTTCCTGTGTTTAGTAAAATATATTAGAAATAAAACACCGGTTAATAAATATACTCCTGTTAGTACATTCGTCCCCTCTTCCGTTTGAAGACAACAGGATCGAGGTGCCAGGTTTGATTCCCGCCGCAGGAAATGAGAGTGAAACATCCGCCGTATACTATAGGAGGGTCTGTATCCGGAACGCAGACGTTATCTTGGCAGAATGTTGCTGTACCTGGGACAAAAAATACCAATTCAATTGGTGAATGGCCTTTCTTAGACAGAGGATAAGAAACACGAACTAAGTAGTACGTGTTCTATATTGAGTATTGGAACATTCACCTCAGTCATTGCGCTAGTGTTTTAAAAAATATTTTTTTTTTTATGTGGTCTATGTTATAATAATAATAATAATAATAAACTCTTTATTGCACAAACATAGACATAAGAACATGGATACATAGAATTACATGTTATACTCGAATAATCTGCAATTTCAATTGTTCAAAATTGAAACCGTTAATATTGTAAATATTATTCTTGCTTTTGCATTTTTCCAATGCATTTTACGATGACGTATTAAGGCAAAAATTTAAAAATCCTCGTGTTTTAAGCCGTTTACACTTACTTAACAGTTACTTGCTGTGAAACCTCTAATAGTTTATTTTAATTATAAAGAAAGGTTTACTTTCTTTAGCCCTGTTCTATAAAGCCACATTCAACAACAGTATAATTAAAAATAGATTTTAGATTTAAAAAAATTTCAACACGGACAGTACTTGAACCGGCGTCCACAGTTATACGTGCTGCTGCACTGAACACTTTCACGCCGTGGAAGCCGGTTCGAGCCCTGCCCGTGTCGCATTTTTAGAAAATCTAAAATCAACTTTTAATTATTTTATCAGTTTCAAACATTCAACAACTTAAGCAACGTACCAACATATCCAGTGGGTCTCGCTTGCCTCTTATTCTTGACGTAATCTACCACAGCCTTTGACAAAGCGTAGAAGTGCTTGCTGGCTTTATACCGCATCTTCGCGAGGGCAGCATCACAGTCACTCTTGTCAGCGCGGCAGTGGTACACGAGGTTGTTGGTGTTCGCTTTTATCATCTCTTCTCTGAGTACCTGGTACTTTGTGTCCGTGTAGAGCATTTGAGCGAAGCGGACATTCACTAAAGAAGAGAATTTTGGAAAAATACCAATATACGTTATAATAAATAAAAAAAATACATTATATAAGAATAGTTACTTATGCTGTCATATGTCATGCCGGTTCAGCCAACTGAATGACTGTGATACACCTATACAAATATTATAAGCTGAAGAGTTTGTTTGAACGCTCTAATCTCAAGAACTCCTAGTACGAATTGAAAAAATATTCTTATTCGTTAGAGCATTTACCAAGGAAGGCCATAGGCTATAAAACATGACGGTGAAATATATTAATCTTTGAGGGCTGGGCTGCGTGCGCTCCGAAAACTACTCAAATAATAATTGTTAAATAATTTAAAAAATGTCTGCGAACGACGGGACGCGGACGACGTCGTGGGTAGCTTGCGTAACATTAGTAGTCGAACGTGGTAACTTACATCCAGCTCCAACGAGATAACCGAAGCAATATTTTATATTCCCACTAATTTGTATAAAGAGTACAACCAGTAGGATCGCTTTCATTTTTACAAGTGTGCAATGCGGGTTACACTAATTGCCCAATTATCCGTTTAGCATACAACTTGTTAATAGTGAATGTTTTTTATCGCAATACAATAAGTGTTGTAGAACAGAGTGCAAATATTTTATTATTTTTAGAATTCACACGATTTTTCGTATCTACATAGAAAGAAAGCGAAAATAGATCGACAGCACATCTTGCTTATAAGTTAAATGGCTGTGATTAACCTTTCCTTCAAGTGAACGCCGTGCTTGTTTGTCTTTCTCTCTGTCATTGAAAAAAAGTCTACCTTATACCGCCCTCATAAGGCGATGGTTAAGCGCGTAGAAAGGTATAAAGCGCTAGATGTTCTGTGTTCAAATCTCGGGGAAAGAATAAATTTTGGTCAGACAGGGCACCAGAGTCAAAACAACATGCCAATCTAATCAATCTAATCTGTTCAGTGAAACGAGCGAAGAAAATTGTTTAGGATTTAAAATCAATATCATAATCTAAGAAAACAGAGCCCACTTGCTTTAAACAGCGTATCATTTCCGCGATTCGGCACGCACACGCAGCGGCCTATCTGCGAGCACAAAAAGCATAAATTCCAGTGCAGCATCCATGGCGTATCTGAGCCCCCATCCATCCTGATACTGAAAGACGCCCACCGATCCAGAACCAGTTCCTATCTAACGGCTTTGCATATTATACGAAGCATAGATCTTCATTACAAGCAATAATATAAATTATGTTTCAGCACGCGACTAACGAATTTAGGGAAAATAGTTTGCGACACCTGCTAAGTACGCTTGTTATAGATGAATATTAATAAAACCCTTTATTGTAATACTAAATTAATTAGGTATTTACATAAAAGAGTTAGTGGCAAGGGCAGCCTTATCGCTTATGGCGATTTCTTCCAGGCAACCTTTGTATAAAGAAAAAGATAACAATAAATGAGTAAAAGTCAACAAGAATGACAGAAAACATGCAAACGATTTTAACTTACAATGATATCATATTATACTAACACAACGAGATTTTTCCACAATTAGATTCGGGCTTGGTACTCTGTAAATCTTGGATTTGAGTCCCGATTATATTATTGGTATATATACAGGTATATATCTGAAGTCACCCTGGTTAGACGTATGGTGGACACATTTGAGTGTCTGCCATATGTTCAACTCCCAAAAATCTGAAACATAACTGAACTCCCTTCTTTGTCTCTCATTATGATGAGTAATAATAAAAAAAACTATAACAATACTGTATTGTAGCTCGTTAGTACCCGCTTTAACTTCTATATGACATTCGCATAACTGAAACAGACAGATTCGTTTAAAATATGTTTTCTATTCTATAACTACCCACACTTAGTTCTACCTTGTATTAAATGTACTGACAAACTATGTCTATTGATTTCTTATTATATATACTACCACTAAGCATCATAACGATAATTTACGGCCACATGATTATTTACAATTAAATAAATCATAGCTATTCCGGCAATTTCAACACTACCGCAAAATGGACACTAATTCAAAATTTATTACCACCTCCAGTGATCTTTGACATTATCATTAAATCTCTCGCTATAAGTAACAGATAGTCGCCATAATATCTCAGTTATTCCTAACAATGGCCCGAGATAAGCCCTTGATGTATTATTTTGTGGGGCAATTAGTACATGCGTGCGATCTTACGCATTATTGCGTGTAGATCATACATTTTTGTTCGCTTTACATTGCTGGTTGTTTATCTCCCATCTTAAACCTATTGTACACTTACCTACTCTGTATTGCTTTTAAATATAAACTTTCTTTACGTACGTACGTAGTAAGAATTCAAATTTCTTATATTTAATTATAAGACTCTTGAAATACCTGGTATAGCACACGAACCCTCGAAAAAATAAACATGTATAGGCGCATTGGACGTATGCTTAGTCAGCACATAATATTTCTTGAGTTCGTGGTATAAGCACAGAGTGCACTGAAGCTATTTTGTTGATTAGGAGCACAGATAGCACGCGCGCCACACTACGACGGCACCCTACTGTGCCTTCTCTACCATAGACTTCTATATAAGTAGACTGGAGTTAAATATTAAAGTCGTTTGCACAGTCAAAAGACAGGAGTTGGTACTTTTTGAGGTTGTCTACTAGGAGTATACTTGTTAAAAACAAAACTTTGTGTGTTTAAAAAAGATTACCCAACATAGATACAATGTATCGATAAAGATATTGATAAAATATATATTATAGCTTTAAAAAAGAGAAAACATCTTACGTACTAACTTATAAATACAAGGTGGGAAGCAGTGATCTCTTTCAGGCAAGCTGAAGTACAGGAGAAAAGAAAAAGACTTATTAAGTGGGTAGGTGTAAAGAATAACAAGCAAAAGAAAGGGTTCAACATAAAATAATACATAGCATAGAGATAGTGGGGGAGAGAACAAGTATAATTTTTTTTACTCTTGTTAAATTTGACCAACATTCTTTCTTTTTAATTGCGTGAGGCAGATGGTTTTCTAATCGAAAATATTGTTAATCTATGGCTTCTTAAGAGACAGAAATGAAATGCATTATTTGTTCTTTATCATTCAAGTGAGATATATTGATTTTACTTAGGTTTGATCAACCTGGAAACGGAAGACCGTTTCATTGTTAGTTTTGCATATCTTTTCTTATGATTTTATTAATTTGGGAGCTGCCACATGGGGGCATTTTTTTATGTATATCAAAGTTGTTTTATCTTCAAATAAGTTTAACTACTCACTCTTTTAGTATTTAAGTGCAACTTCTCTTTATTGCACTTAAAATGCATGTTTCTGTGTACCCAACGATATTAGCAACTCGTGAGCGCTCGGCAATCTCCGTTGAAACTCGGGCGCTATCTCTAAAGCGATTGGTTGAAACAATGCGGTTATAAGATGCCCTCTATCGGCTAATAGTTGTAACAATGGCGCCGATAACCGTCTCACGGCTCGCCCTATTAGTGCGGCACGAATTTCGATGCATTTTATAAATTATGCACAAGGAAGCAAGCTGATAAATTAGAACTGTTATTTATCGACGATTCCTATTGTAAGTGAATTGTAAATGCCGACTGTAGTTTACGCGAGTAGTACATATTTAAACGAGACACTTTAACGGTTTAAAACGCGATGATATATTGATGATATGATATTAGTCCCTCCTCTGGTATCCCATGACCATGGCTGCTGCAAAGTATCTGAAACGTCAGGCCGTAGTTAAAATAATTTTCAAATAAGTTTAACTAATATATATCTCGTTTTTATGCGGAACTTAGTCGGGATAAGCGTTAGTGCATAAGTTCTCCTTAAACCCGTTAGACTCCGTCTGAAAACAGACATCAATGGTGATAATAACATCGAAATATAAGTAGATTTCAGCTTTCATATGTTATGTAATATGTTGTCATTATTCTATCAAGGACACGTTTGAGGAAAATTAAACATTAATAATAGAACTTGTACAATAATTATAACGAACTAAGTAAGTTTTTGTAAATTTATTCAATTGGTTTTATGCAATAGTGTATAAACATTTCAATTCTCTTCGTATATGAGGCTGCTAGAGGCAGAGGGGCCTAATAACAAAGGCAAATAAAAATGCGCAATTAACTTAGGCGAGAATTAATTGGTTCGGTCACTGTGCTCTTGTAGATTCAAATTTGACTATGAAAATATTAATAACTCGGGTCATAAAATTGCAGTTAGCCTACTCTGTCTCTAGCGGCCTCATATGATGTCTTTATCCTAAAATCTACTAATTATATTATATATGTATCCTCTCATTACAACTTATAAGGTATTAAACTATTGCAAAACAATTTATATTCATAGCTCTTATTACTATATATAACTAAGTATGTATTATTAAACAGATTTTTAACATTCTATTTTAACACCCTTATGAAGCCCGTGAAATTATATGTTTCTTTATGAGTCCGTGGTTTACATAAACAACTGATTCCATAGTTTGCCTGGAAATAATAAAAACATAAATACAATTTTTTAAACGAGTTGTTTTTATTAAAAAAGGTGTTACCATTTTCCTCTGTGGGACATGGGGTAATCACATTTTTGTCACATTTTTTAAGCAAATAGTCGATCAGATCTGTGTCAATTTATTTTTACCGTTATTCCAACCCAAGAGACTTGCCACGTCTAGCGTTGTAATGACAGCAATTGTACCATTAATTAATGGCTTTTAATTGTTTCAATTGAACATATTTAATAGCAATTAATACGAAGCGCTAACAAAACCATTGTGCGTCGGGTCTTTGTGTCCCTTTATGGGGATAATTAAATGGATTATGGTGATCGGTACTAATGTGCTATTAACAGGAATGCCTTGCTAATTGTTGGTGGGCTCCGTGGCTGAGTTATTGCTGTTGCAGTACAGGGTTTGAATATCAGCATGGTGCGAAGAAGTATCTTGGTCGGGAATAGTGATCACCTAATTGATTGTACGTAAAATCAATCTGCTACAGACGAAGAAACGGGGAATATTATATATAAATGTAAGTCAACGTATGTAACGTGTCTAACGGTAGCAACGTATGGCTCCTGGGTTTGATCCTAATTAGTTCCAACATCTGGAACTACATCAGATTTCGTCCAGAAATCCGGATATTAAATATCGAAATTCTTTCCGAGTTACGAACTACTGTTCACAAATGAAACGTCAAGTTTAATCGCGTTTCGGTTCCATCTGTGCATTTCCGAACATCCAATGCCAACGATCTAAAACGCGATAGATTAATTTTAGCTTTATTAGAAAATTAAACCAGTGACCACTCTGCTGCCAAGCATCCGATACGTCGGGCCGTAGTTAAAATAAATTTCAAATAAGTTGAACTAATATATATTGCGTTTTGAACCGCTAAAGTGTTTTATTTAGATTTGTTTTTAGTTTAGCTTTATACTCTCCACGGACCAAGAAAAAAGACTTGGTGTTAATTTCCCCATAGTGGGTATTAAACTGCGT